GCATTAATGAATCACCTCTTCAGTGAATTCATCGGGAACTGGATGGACGTCTATCTAGACGACATCATAATCTACTCGGATAGCCTGGCCAATCACATGGAGCATGTTAGGATGGTACTTAGGATCCTAGAACGAGAGAAACTGTACCTGAGTGAGGGTAAACTACAGTTTCTCTGCACCTGGCTGAAAATCTTGGGTCGCGTGATTGACAAGGAGGGCATTCGCATGGATCCTGACAAGGTCGACCGAATCATCAATTGGAAGACGCCGACAAACCACGACGCCCTGCAGAAATTCCTGGGGGTGGTGGGTTTCCTGTCTGATGACATCCATAATGTCAGGGTCCCGATGGGAGTGCTATCTGAAATCATGGGGGACACTGTGCCGTTTCATTGGGAGTTCACCCATCAACGGGTGTTTGAGGAGGTCAAGCGCTATGTCGACAACTGTCGGGGGCACCACCGCGTGCCATTGGACTACAGCGCCGGTGCTCCTCCCATCTGGCTCATGACTGATGCCAGTGGGCGGGGTATTGCTGCGGTGGTGGCCCAGGGTGCAGATTAGCGCTCTGCCAAGGTGGCCACACTGTACAGCGCAAAACTCAACCCCGCACAGCAGAACTATGCTGTGCATGAGCAGGAGATGCTGGCAGGGGTTGAGGGGATGCTCAGGCATTGGGACATCCTGCAGGGTGCGAAGTTCACATGGCTGACCAATCATAAGGGACTGGTTCACTTACTGCATCAGCGGGACCTGACCGGGCGGCAGGCTTGTTGGATCGAGAAGCTGGGTGAGTTCGACTTCAAGATTCAGTACTTACCCGGGGAGGACAACATCCTCCCCGACACCCTGTCCTGTCTCTACTTGTTTGATGCCCCGGGTACCATCCGCACCCCCAGTGAATTCACAGAACACGACAACTCCGTTGTGCAGGGACAGTGGAGCAGATTGCCGGGGCTCATCTTGATGCCTGTCTTGGTGGGACCTGAGGCACTGATGGTCCCCTCCAGACACAGCACTAGGGTTGCGTCTAAGAGGGAGGCACCTGTCGGGCAGGTGCCTCCCGAAACGCCGGTAGCGGGCCACCCCAAGCGGGCCTGCGTGGTGGCGCCCGCGGCGACTGGTCGTCCTGTGCGCAGGGTGGGACCCATGGAAACTGGTCATCCTGAAACGGCCGCGGAATTCGCCAAGTGTGTCGCACCACGTTTCATTCTCAAAGGACTGGTGGAACGAAAGGAGGGGGAGGTAGCAGGTCAGACCCCTGTAAGCCCACACAACAACGACAGCAACGAACCACTAGAGCGGTTAGCACACCTGGGATACCCAGATGAAAGTGAACTGATCAAAGGTATCAAAGATCAGTATAACCTGGACCCTGTTCTTTAAACAGATATTAGACTCACCTGGCAAATACCGAAACTTCGAAGTATTGGACAGATTGATCAAACTGCACCTGCATGATAAGACCCTGTTATGCATGCCCAACGTAAAAGTCAGCAATCAAGCTATCAGAGAGGTGATTATCTCACAAGCCCATTCACTCCTGGCGCACTTAGGAGCATCAAAGACGTTGACATACCTTCCGGACCATGTGTGGTGAAAGAGTCTAGTAAGTGATGTTACCGCTTTCTGTAGCTCATGCAACACATGCAAGAGGAGCAAGCCCTCCAACCAGAGGCCCTATGGGATGCTACACCCACTCTCCATACCCTCAAGGCCCTGGGAGTCAATTGGAATCGACTTCATGGGACCCCTTCCACTGTCAAAGGACCACGACGGGGAATACGACTCAATAACGGTCATAATCGACCGTTTTACATCAATGGTCCATCTAGTGCCCAGCCGTGTTAACTACAATGCCAGGGACATTGCTCGACTAGTATTTGCCGAAGTGTATAAGCTACATGGCTTGCCTCGGTCGATTGTAAACGACCAAGATGTCCTGTTTACCAGCACGTTTTGGACTCACCTCAACAGACTGCTAGGCATTGAGCAGTGAATGTCTAGCGCCTATCACCCCGAATCTGATGGGGCAACCGAGCGGGCCAATTGAACCGTCATGCAAATGCTATGATCCTGCATCTCAACCAACCAGAAGGATTGGGCGTCACGCTTACCCGCCATTGAATTCACAATAAATCTTGCCCAGTCGGAATCGACTTCCCAGTCACCATTCTTCATCAATAATGGGCGAATGCCGCACGCCATGGTATGGAATAACCCCCGACAGGACGAATATCCGGGGGTACAAGCATATTCTCAGAAAATGAAGGAGTCACTCATACGAGCCCACGACTCAATGCTCGAAGCCTGCGTCAAGCAGACTTGGAATGCCAACCGAAAGCGCCAGCTCTGCCCTTTCAAGGCGGGCAACCTGGTGTACCTATCGACAAAGAATATATCCTTTCCTAAGGGGCTAGCACGGAAACTCTTACCCAAGTATGTAGGGCCATACAAGCTGTTAAAGGACTACAGTAACAACTCCTTCCTCGTGGACTTGCCTGATCCATTGAAACAATGGGGAGTCCATCCCGTGTTCCACGCCTCCTTGCTGTGCATTCACTTGCCCAACGATGACCACCTGTTTCCAGGATGGCTGGAGACCCAAATCGCGGTTTTCAGAGAGCCTGACACCGAGTGGGCAGTGGACAGAATCCTGTCACACACAGGGGCCCGGGAAGACGCGTCCTTTGAGGTACAGTGGCAAGCAGGCAATATTACCTGGTTACCATATGACCAGGTAACACACTTGAACACGCTATCGGAATATTTCGATCTGCTCGGAATATCAGAAATTTCAGAACTGACAGATGGACAAGGAACGAACCCTAATGATGACCAGCCAATATCTCTAGGAGCGGTTGCATTGGAGGTCAACCAACATATAAAACCCCATCCCATTCCTCCAAACCCCCATCTATCACTCCCTCCAGCCAATCACCAAGAACCATGCACTCCACCCCCCTCATTAACTTCGCCGAGCACGATCGAGACTTCATTATCACCAACCCGGACGATGTGGATGAACTACGTCTCATCACCTGCAGCCAGCTGAAGGCGTTCATCATATACTCCTACGCCCTTCATAACAAGGCTCCCTCGGCTTGCCCTGCCTGCCCATTGGGCTATGAGTACTTTGCTTGCGCCTACAATCATGAGGGACTTACCACTACAGCCTCTGTCATCGACAAACAAGGCGTTGTAAAGTGCGAAGGCGCGTCCATTGAGATGGGAGATCTCTTGGATGACAATGATGAAGACGTCACTTTGTCCGCTATGCGCATGGACCAAGTTGACTGCATGGTGTGGCACACTGCCCTCTCTGCCGCTCATCAGCGGAACAAGATCGAGGAGCACCGCTTGATGAACAAGAAGAGCAAGAACTACTTCAAGAAGCAGCAGGTTAAGATGTTTAGAAAGGGGTTCAGGAACCAAAAGAGGAACGCGCTTAACACTGGCGCCCCCGGAGGGACCAAAGCGTCTGGCAGTGTCCAGCTGCCTGCCGAGGACGAGATGAACACCGCGGGGTGAGGCTCCGCTGAATGAGTCTAACCTTTGGACGAGAGTGTGGCCTCTCTCTGGAGGGGGAGATGTAATGGCTGCTGTCATATGCACTAAGTGACAGTTGCTTTTTCAGAATACTAATACTGTCAACTATTCCCCTGAGTCTTATTTATTCTGTCCCTACTTCTTACCTATCTTTTATTGCTAGAATCCGACACGTCCTATCTTACCTTTATCATATGCCTGCGCTCGTTACTTATCCGTGTCTGCTTCCTATCTTCTCCGAACCCTTAACCCTACCTCTTATTTACTATAGTTTAAATATGGGCTACTGTCATAGAATTAGGGCAGCGTTTATCATACCCAGAATACCAGACTTTAACACCGTCTATCAGTCAATAATGTTCTTCTACTTGTGCTGCCTACTTCGAGCCTTCACACGTTAAATAGTAGACGTCACACTTTTCCTTGCTCTTTCGCCGCTCTCATCAGGGAATTGACCCGACAATGATAAAGCTTTACCTTGATTTATCTTCTCTAAAATGGGTGAAATAAGTATCATTATGATAGATCTGTAGATAAATCATTATATACCTGGAGTAACATCAATGGAATATACCATGTCTATCTTTCTTATGAATAAGGTATGCTCTACAACATTTATCTCCTTGTTAGCCAAAGGCAATGTGTACCGTAAGCTAAATAAAGGGCAGACATTGCCAAGCACTCAATTGTACTGACATAAGCCAGGTTGTAGTCCATGCTTGCAGCTTAAGTCTAACATGCTACAGTTGGCAATCAGCATGACAATTGATATCACTTGACAGGGGCTTGTAACGCAAGATTCTGAATGTACTATCAGCCAAATCAAACACAAATTTGAGTGCTGGAGTTCCACTGCAAGGTAAGCTTGTCATGGTACTGCTTCCCAAGTCTCTCTCACTTGAAACCACTTACAGCTGCTTGCAGCCCTCTCATGTGAGGGCAGTCTGTGCCATTTATGTCACAATGTCTTGAGGTGGTCTTGAGCTGCAAGGTAAGCTTGTCATGGTACTGCCTCCAAAGTCCCTCTCACTTGAAACCGCTTATAGCTGCTTGCAGCCCTCTCATGTGAGGGCAGTCTGTGCCATTTATATCACAATGTCTTGAGGTGGTCTTGAGCTGCAAGGTAAGTTTGTCATTGCACTGCTTCCCAAGTACCTCTCACTGGAACCAGCTTACAGCTCCTTGCAGCGCTCTTATATGAGGGTGGTCTACACCATTGATACCACATTGCTCATGTGTAGCAGGGCACTATCAGACCTGGTCAGAATGTCTCGGGGCGGTCTTGAGCTCCAAGGTAAGTTTGTCATTGCGCTGCTTCCCAGGTCCCTCTCACTGACACAAGAATTTTGAAAATTGGTCTTTTTTGCATCATATGAAATACATGTAAATTGACGCTCCAATATGTTTTATTATAATAATAGTAGTGCTATTAGACCAATGACTGGAATGCGTCAAGCAGTACCTCCTGCTTCTTTTAGAGCGGCTCTCTTTTGGCGAATCTTAGAGAGAGCGCTATTAGCTTTGAGAGGTCTTTTGGCAGCTGAAGAAGTTGGAAATATCTGACTAAATTGCTGTAAGAGTTTGAACATTTCAGAAAACATGTTGACTTACCGATTCCACCAAAGCAGTAGTTCTGTGGTCTCCATACGCTCATCTGGGTCCTCCAAAAGGTCAAGCAGAGAGTGATAGAACATCTCTGAATCTGTGATCGTGTCAGTGCATGAGAATACTGAGGATGAACAGAGTGCAAATCGAATCTATGCCAATGGTTAGTCACAAATACACAATAACTTGAAGCGCTATAGAAACCTGGGTGGCCACATATGCTACTGAAGCAGATGTGACAGTAGTCATACCATGAAGTCGAGCATTTCCTGCACGTGTTGCCTTGGGCTCTTTGTTCACTGAACTGGGCGATGTAAAAACATGTCTGAATGCCTTGTTCACCAATATATACAATAAGCATGCATGTATTCAAAAAGCGCACTCACATTTATAAGCAAGCAGCTTCTGAGAAGGCCATCCCAAGGATCCTCTGGATCATAGGCCTCCTTGGCATATAGAAATAGAGGTCACTGGTCTCCGCTGATGGTGAGTTCACCACTTTGCAGTCTCTGTTTTGTGCTGATCAAGTATCAGTGATTGGTTTTGGAATATAATGACTCAAACGACTTACTCCGCATCATCCCAATCCAACTCAGCAGGACAGAGTAAACGACCAGTGAGAGGGTGATTGAAGCCCTGACTGGTCTTAGAATTCCGGGATAAAGGAGGCACTACTGCTTCACCTGCTGGCGCTATCCAATCAATGATGGGTTTCAAAGACTTTGTGTCCTCCCCCCTTGCAGCAGCCGCTCCCTTGCCAATCTTCTTGGATAAGTAAGAATATTGTTGGCAGATGCATGTGACTCACCAGTTCTCCTATATGAAAAAGTTCTTCCTCTGAACCTTCATTCAGTCATTCTAAGAGCCCTGGATAGGAATCCAGGAGCTTTTCAAATACCAAGTGCTCTCAGCACTCCCTGAGAGCTTTATGAGGGGTTCAGTAGTAGAAAATAAGACAATGTTGACTCAGCAGGAAAATCTTCTATGGAAGCTTCTTCCAGTTGTTCTAATCTTAATATTCCATTCGTTAAAAGAGAGGGATAGTTGCAGAGGGCGAAAACTGTACGACCAAAGTGTCGTCCATGTGAAACAAGGGGATCAGATTTCAAGCTAAAATACTGATGTCAGGGCGCACATTGCTAATAGGTTAAAAGACGTATGCTCTCTTGCGGGGACCCAGCTGAAGAGCCGATGAACCCCTCTTGCGAGATTCACTTGAAGACAAATTGTCCTTGTCCATCTGAGTGTGTGCACAATTGTCTAGGATGCCTGGTCCTTTCATTTATACATGACTAGCCGATAAACCAGGGCAGAGCGCCAATAGATGACAATAAATGCTAAGTGTCATGTCATAAGTAACATCAGCACTCCAATAGCCATGCTGTAAGACATCTACAGCTCCTTATGTTGAGTGTAATGGTGGTAACAAGCACTAATTTGGATAGGATGTAGGAACATATAAAATACCTTCAGCCCATCTGTGTTGAGCTTGTCTGAGGCAAAATGCAACAATCAGTGGTGTTAAATGGCTTAAATTTGAATTTGCGGTAAGCTCATCAGCGCCTCATTAAATGCACTTTCCTTTATACTTTAAAAGGATTGAAATTGACTTGAAGACTGAGAAAAGAAGTGAGCCGGAATCAGAGATACCTATGTTCGTTCTACGTTTTCCTTCACAAGCATTTTAAAAACTCACCTGTCCAACAAACAGAAGTTCCCATACCAATGGCCAGGGCGTACATCAGCATCCAAACAATACTCAAATACCCCAAGTAGTTGAAGATCTTGATCTCCAAGAACACCTGGCAGTAGCGGAAAAGAACTGTAGTCGTTTCTTTGAGCTGTACAAGAGATACAGGTTGAGATGGTTAGAGGAGATTCACCGCGCAAACATTCTAGAGAAGTACGCACCACCTGATGTGAACTACTACACTGCCGCTCAGATGCAATGGGATGCACCATCTCCATTCTCTGGTGAAGCTCTAGGTGAGATTGCAAAATTAGTATGGCGTTCTCTGGATAAAGCTAAACCTTAACAGATGAACTTGACAACATAACGCCAGAGGAAACTAGTTTGGATGTGTGTTAAAGAACTTGAAGTGAAAGGAATACAATGGACGTAAAAGTACAAAGTAGATGATTAGGGGTTAAATGCAAAACTTATATCGCCTGTGCTTTCTTTCCAGCATGACTGGGCTGGGAATGTTAAGAGAGAAAAGAAGTGCTTCACCAACATTAGCCTCAGAGAGCTTAGTTATAGGGAGAAAGGGCCTAAAGTCCACTGAATTAAGAGTATAAAAGTAACACTAGCGCAAACCTCTCAATGAAAGTAGTCATTTGCTGCCCAGCCATTCCGCCCCTCCTTCCACTTATCAAAACCCTTATCTGTGTGGAAAACAAATGAGGCCCTCCTACCCTCGTAGTGCAGGTTAAAGTGAGTGGTCTCAGAGGAGCAGAAGATGGCAAAGTCACCGCAACAAATCTCCAACACCAATCCCTGCTCAAACATCACCAAAGCACTGCCTGTGAATTCACCTAGGGGTAAGACAAGACAGAGGTTCTTGTCAAACCAGTCTCAATGACCCACAGTGGCCACATTAAGATTGAGGACAAGGGAGAGGAAAGGAGCCACCAGTGATCATTCTCCACCAGGAAGATTCTGGCCAAGTTCCACCAAAACTTCATACTCCTCTGGCAAAAACTCCTTCATCTATGATGATGTGAGTGTCTAGTCAAGCACCAGAAATGTCACTCACCACCATTTCAATCCACTCAAAGAGTTTGCCAAATGTAGTCAGGATGTTGTTATATAGTTCCTGGTGCTCCAAGATGTCTCTTGAAGGATAGGGTAAACACTGCATATGATTAGTGCGACCAATGTCCACCCTAACCATGTTATGAGGATGGATATGAGTGGGTGCATTGTCTCCCTGTCGGATGTAGTATTCTCTTTAGAATTCAGTATTGTGAATATGAAGACGACTCACCACAGTTGAGTAGCGATTCCAGAGAGAGAAATGCAGGCACTGGAAGGGATAAAGAAGAGTCTTCTCCGCCAGCTTTTCTAAAGTGGAACTGGTGTCTTCCTCCACTTGTGGCACCCCTTCTGAATCGTAAAACTTGCGGACTTGCAAAACCAGATTGCTTTCAAAGCAGGCAAGCAAACTACTGGTGAGGCAAAGGCGAATGGTCTCTGGTAGTGAGGGACAGATAAAGGCCATGAGACTTCCGTTTGAATTGCGTAAATCAAGCATACCGCTGGAAACATGAGCTCCTAGTATTTAGGACAACAGAAAGATCATCTCACCCATTGAGAATGTGCATTGGTATGCGTAAGTATCTGTTGTGGTTTCTGTAGCCCTCTACATAGAGTTCATCCAACTTAACTGAAGCATCAGTGAGACCGCTGCATTGCAAAATTCAGAGCTCACGCACCTTGTTACTTAAGTCATCAAGATCCCTAACAACTTCCCCAGCCGCCGCTTTCACGCACTCGCTCTCTGTCCATATCGCATTCTCCTTCCGGTCATTCTCTGCAGGGAATCGCACATTGTTACCATGCATGTGGTCAAACAATGTTCTGATGACAGTAACACTGAAGCGCTTTACCCCACCAGGGCGATGCATCAAAGATTTTAGGAGGCCATTTATGCCCTTACCACCAATAACAAGCATCTGTTCAGTGATGTCCGATTTGAAAATGCCCCAGGCTACTGTATCCCTGGCAGGGAGAGCAAAATTCCTGAAAAGATCAGTGAGAAAAGTATCGCAAATGTGACACGTGTATATTACGCACTCTTGTCTGAACACATCAAAGACTCTATCACTGAGCTCCAAGTCTGTACAGTCCAGGGAGTTCTTGGCCCCCACTCTTGTCAGAAATGAAGAGGGAAAAATCTTTTGCAGGGAAATCGGTATTTGGGATCTAATCCAGGCGATGGTAGGTATGATACGTCGAGTGATTAAGTCTGCCTTGTCTGTGGGAATGCAATAGGAACATGAATAAATGAGGCCAAGTGACATGTTACTCACCGCCATTCCCTGGCTGCCTCAACATATTACCAACTTGCCGAAGCACATGAAACGTCATGGAGGCAACTTTCCAACGTATTTCCAGACCTGCGATGATAACGAGCACGTAGAATGACCCGCCCGCAGCTAGCAAGATGAATTTGCAGCCATGTTCATACCAGCGATGAAAAGTACGTTCAGATGGGGCATTTTCCAATTTTGCAACCTCCTTATTGTAAAATTGACGAATGTTGGAATGCTCCTCAGATGCTGTGATGATACTATAATATGAGTTGTTGATCAATACCAAGAAACCAAGCTAAGCACGCAAATACCTTTGGCATTGCATGGCCAACTGCATGTATGTGATCATGGCTGTAAAGCTTGAGCCAGTTGTGTGAACTGAAACCAACCGACAGCGTGCTATCATAGCTTCTATTGAGCAAACACCTAACTGGATGCCTTCCTGCTGTTTGAGATAAGACACGGTGTTATCGACCCATACGCGAACATTCAAATGAGAGGCAGTAGACTCTACATGAGGAGTGGCAAGTGTCGCGATGAGTGCATCAGAGGTGATAAAGCTGGTGGATTGGATAGATGTAGCCTGCGCCTGCCACATTTGAGCTGCACGAAGGCACCTCCCATTACGAGGACATGGTGGCCTCACATTAATAATGTCTTCAGGTGGAATAGGGCCTCCAGGGGGTGCATAGGGATGTTGATTAAGCTGACGAAGCTTTCTGGATGCTACCCGGCGTTGGTGACCGTGACCGTTGGGTTTGACGTCGTCATTGCTATTGTCCAGATATGAGTCATAATCTTCATTAGTTGCCTCTGTGTCTAAGCTAGTCTCATCTATTGCCTCCTCATCATCAGAAGCAAGGCTCTTGCGGAAAAATCTTCCACAGAAGCTGAGAATTTGTGACGGTAGGTGAGGGACTTTTCAACAGCAAGAAAGGCATCATCTTCAGAAGAAGAGTTGGCTGCATGAGCATTCAAGGATGTTAAGTCGTTAATATCGTTCATGCTGATATATCAAGGTCATCATCTGGAATGGAGGGCCAAGGTACATGGCATTCTCACCTATCATGAATCAAAGGCAGCCCTTGAGAAGTTCCTGGCAGGATGCGCAGATACCAAACTCTCTCAAGCAAGGGTAGGGCCTCTTGATTTCTATTCACCTGCCCTAGAGCATACTCAATGAGCGCAAGTTCAGCCGCTGTTAGTTCCAGATTGAACTTGAAAGTCTCTGTTGAGAATGGAAGAGATGCGAATGTTGACTGAGCCATGTTAGAGCAGGGAGGTCTGAGCTCAAGGTCACGGTTGCAATCAGTCTCAAACTATAGCAAACAATGACCATACCAATATATATATTCAAGTTCACAGAACATATGAAAAGTAGCCGCTTATATAATTAGTAAGTTTAGGTGGAGCTCATTGTTGTCAGCACCTGACAACGATGAGCTCAAATTCCCACAATGATCATGTGATCTATGTCACATGCAAAGCAAAGGCATCACCGTCACCGTGTCCTGGCTTTAACAAATTGTTAAGGTCAGAAATCGCATATGCTTCGCAACTTGAGAACAGATAAGATGCTGGTATATAATACACATATAGACTAACATTCTCCGATACACACTCTGTTGCTGGGAATGTGGATTAGTGATAATGAGCTTCGAATACAACGATTATAAGACTTACTACACCCAATGAAGCTCATGCGTTTGAGTGAAAAAAAAATGCGGGCATCAACTCCTGCAAGTGTTGGACCTGTAATGTACGGATGCGAACAGGAGTTCTGATGATCGGTCCAAGAGCTTGTCTCTTGTAGCGTCCATCCTTGTCCACACTATAAATGTTGATATCTCTTCATAGGATTAATATGGCATACCGAGTGGATAGAAAGTCAAGCTAAATACCTGATAAAACCAAGGTCCCTGGCTACGTGCTGAATCTTATCCAGAGGTGGGCCCTTTAGACGCAGGATGCATTTGTATATCAGAATGACATTGGCGGCAGCCATTCTGTCCAGTGTCACATTAAGCACCTTCTGACACCATTCATAAAACTTGAAACTCAAATTAATCAATATCAGCAAACATAAGCTAGTAACTCACTAGGCATACAATGAACGCAACTACTTCCAGGGAAACATCTCCTTGCTGGTCCAGAATTTGATCCCAGTAGATATCGGCTATGCTAACGGAAGGATTAGATGCTACTGGACGTAAGACTATATGGTGCCAAATTTCTTTGGCCATCTGTAGGCTGATAATTTCTGCAATGACATCATAATCAGCCTAAATAAAGTCAGATTGAGGTAACTATTACTGCGGCGAGTGTAAGACACTGACAGAATCGGAAACAAGCTGTGTCTCGAGAGCTGCAAGCATCCTTGTAGTCCATGTCTGTAACTGGTCTTGATTGTTACAGAAACCCATATATCCCCCTGGCTGCAAGCAATGCCCGATGACTTTGTGCCAATCAGAAGCAAAGTTATTTGGCTTGTGATTGTACTGACCACAATCAAATGTCAGCCGGTTGTTCAAAAGATAAAAGATAAACATATTGCCTGTTCTCTCAAATGGTGCCAATGGAAGCGCGTCCCTGGAACCAGTTCTACTGGGGATATGATATGACTATGAGCATGCATCACTCGACGTGTTGAAAGATACTCACAGTCTATGGATTTACAATCATCAAATGTCATGCCGCTCCTGGAGAGCGCCTCCAGGAAACATTGGGTAAGGAATTGATGTCTGACACCTGGCAACTTTACTACCTCCATGGCATGTCCATACCTACCTGCTACTAGACTTCCTATAATGCATATTTTGAACCACTGTATGACGGTTGTCCAGGGATTGTCAAGTGTTAGGTTGGCTATGACTGTCTGACAAAGGGAAGCATGTTCCGGAATTGATCTCATATTGGCAGGCCAGCTTAACTCTTGAGAGAAGGTGGACGTCAAGCCTGAGGGTTGCATCAAGTCTTGTGATGGAATAGATGGAGGTGGAGACGGCCTGATTTGCACTGGGGCTAGGAATGACGTTGAAGTACCCTATTATGGTCAGTAGATGAGTGTCCCAGAAGTGTACGCACATACCTAACTGTGAGTTGTACGATCCTACGGTGTAGTCAGTCAAGTGACTGTATGTTGCGCTATCAAAAGACATGGCAGTAGTAAATGTAGGTTGCCAAGAGAATCCCATCGGCCATGGCGCTAGCTTTGTGCTGAAGTTGAGTTCAACTGCTCAGATAAGTCAAGTCAGATAAAGATGTAGAGTTGTTGTGAGTACAAAGACGCACGATCAGGCCATGTCCAGACTGATATCAACTTATGTTTGAGAACCCATGACAAGATATCTGATCATTCTAAGAAGTATTGCAGGAGACTACTCACAGTGAAGCCATAAATAGGTACAAGGACCTGATACTCTGCTCTTTCAGAGTCCTCAACAAGGGGTCCACTGTGGTCATTCATAGTGATATATCCTATGGGAGGATTGGTGGTCATAGCTACATCAGCTGGCCACTGTGATTGCGTCAGATAAACCAGAGCATCAGAAATGCTAGACGACCTACATAGCATGGACCGATGCTAGTCCCAGCTAACATGTAACATGCAAAGTCCAAGCTCATACGCAATTCATCAAAGCCACCCTACAACATGAGGACCATAGACGTTATTGATCTGACAAAAACAAAACAAAAAACTCGCCTCCTCCTAATGATATCTTAGCGTGATGCCAAGGGAGGCTATTGTAAATAATACTCACAGCATAGTCAAACATCATAACACGTCCTGCACTTTTACTGTAAATAAATGTATGCATGACAATTCAATGCGGGGAATTGGCGAGGGAGATGAGGGAGTTAACCCCGCTGACTCTTGACTTTATAGCTTTCTTGATAGATCCGTCCATCACAACCAAACAATAATTTAGCCAAACTACCGGTTTTTTTTATAAGGTTCGAGCCCCAGTAGAAGTCCCCTTTACAAACATGAGGTTGTGTGATCAGAGTCCAGGCTGAACATTAGTCAAGCATATGTACAGCTATGTAGCCAGGCATTCCTGCCACCCTCCATTCTAGGTTACCCGCTTACAATATTGCATATAGGCATGATCGATGCACAATCCCATTAGAAAAGGTGACTGCATCTGGGAGACCAAAAGTATAAGATCAGGCACAGGTAAGCAACGGCTTATTGAGTCTACACACCACAGTAAGATGGGCATATATCACCTGAGCCTATGATAAAAATCTGGCAGGGTAAGAGAGATGAAAAAAAAAAGGACGAATGGAAGACACTGAAGGAGAGTAGGATAATATGTTGGTGGAGTAGATAGGTATTGAGTGATGGAGGAGAATAATAAACATTGTATGAAGCACATATCTGTGTGGATGATTGAAGCAAAGGGAGAAACTTACAATGATCCCTCAAGCTCTCACTTGCACCAGAATTTTGAAAATAAGTCTCAGCCTCGTGATTCGTAAAATGCATGTAAATTGATGCTCCAATATGTGCGTTATAGTAATAGTAGTACTATCAGACCAATGACTAGAGCAGTCCTCTCCTGGCGAACCCTAGAGAGAGCACTGTTAGCTTTGATAGGTCTTATTAAATGTCAAAAGGCTCACTAGAATGCACTCGATCAGTCTTGATGACTGCCATCGGTAAGCTGCTAAGCATTGCATGATGATAGAGCTCAGATCTGGTGGCGAGTCTCCAAGGAGGAGAGAAAAGTCAGAAGGGTGTATAGGATGTAATCAAAGAAGAAAACTTACTATGTCAAAGCATTCAGAATGTGAATGGATGTTCAAACATTCAGAATCTTGCATTGTGGGTCTGGCAAAGAACGCGTAAGTCGTTGTCTGTCACAGGCCATCTGTCGCATTGTGACTGTCACATTGGCTTGTTAGTATTCTGCCACAACTTTACCACAAAGTCCAATCTAGTCCAATCACACACACTTTTGCCTACATAATAGATATATCAGGTAAGTAATACTAAGTGTCATATGATCGGAGTATTTACCTATACCACTGATCTTAGCAGATCATAAAATGGCATCAGAAGTATTCAATACCAGTGGATCGATAGGTGCTATGCCCAAGAGAGTGATTGTAAGTACTTGCAATATTGATGGATCATCGACGCTTACAATTAACATATCGCAGATGCAAGCCGACTATTTCTGGGAGCAGGTAAGCTGACGACAATTTACTAATAGATCGTTGTTTAAACTTTTTAGGACACTGCCACCGCTACTGCTGCTGTCACCACTGGACCTGGATCCCAAATCGGGACAACGTTGAGCGGGGTGGCGCAAGGCCTGCTGAATGCAGCAACAGAGACTGTGTGTGCAGCGGCGTGTTTGATGAATAGGTTCCGAAGAAGGGTGAGTTGCCGAGTATCAACAGTTTCTGTTTGCTACCAGCTAAGATTCATCTAGGTGTGACTGTGAATCATTCAAGGCCATTATCACTAGTAGTCGCACACTTATACCAACATATGCATACACTGTACCATATTTATAACACAGCCTATCAAACGTTAAGCGTTCAACACTATACTAGCAGTCAAAGTACCACATGCAAACTAAATACCAATCAATGCCGCATGTGATTTGCATGTTACTGTGCTCTACATCGGTAACGTTACCATATACTAATTCTTCCTTGTCTGGATTTCGCGAGGGCTACCAACTCTTTTGTTTGCTGGGCTTCATTTTGTCTCTTTCCCCTTCCCTCATATTTCGCGCTTCGATCCCACAGAATTTCAAAGGCTGTCTCAGTGTGGTTTAAGTTTGTTCCAGTCGCGAAAAGGGGCTCATTCTTATATAGATCTAATCTAAATTTTTAGCGCTGTTCATTATCCGATAATGACATTGAATTTAACATGTTTCTTTGCAACTGCAATCCATGAGCACGTGAGCACAGACAGTGTGACTGTCTGTTACTATTTGTGACATGAGTGTGACTTAGTGGACTGTCACAAACAGAGTGTAACCCATAGTACACATGCAACCCTCCAGAGCTCCAACACGCAGCGAGTCACTTGGTTTTGGACCCGAGTTGGACAGACAACTGCCTGCATAGTCAGCACGAAGCGTATCCCATTGCCAGACTATATTCGACAAGATGGTTCTCAGAGAGAGTGTCTCGAAAGTGTTGGATGCCATTTTAAAGAGTATGTTCCACGATCATTGCCACTTAATGCTGATTACCTTGTGTAGATCATCGCCACAATGCTGATTACCTACTGCCAGTCTCAGTCTCTCCGCAGCATAAACCCACGGGCATCGCAACTAGTAAGCTCCAGCTGAGGTCAAGATGGTGAGACAGAAGAGTGTGCTGAAACCTGGGGCGCCATTACAAAGGGCAAGGTGCGTGTATTTATTGATTGTGACAATTCAGCTCATGGGAAATGGTTTCATAGGCGTCTCTGCTACTCCCACCTGAGACTCCCACTTGAGAAATCCTCGAGCCAGGAGAAGGTCATGCCCAAGTTCATGTCGTATCATGTGCTCATGTGCGATATTTTAGTTAAATACATACATTCAGCGAAAATTTGATCTTTCATTTCTCGCTCCCACCGACAATGTTTCCTGACAAGTCCCAGCACACAGCACTTCCCTCCCAATCCAAGTCCGTCCACCAAAGCCACCCCTACCGCCACGACCCACACCTGCTACCCAGCCTTCCCGCCTCACCATGCCCTTCACTTCACAATGTGATGCGACTTGGAGCATTAGCGCGTGTACGCGTTCTACTGGGCTCTAGATGACTGTGTTCTTTACTTCAAATGGCGTCATTGAGTGGCTCGTCTATGAAGGTGATTTCAATGTGCTTCTTACGGTTATCCTCATGTGAGTCTGAAATTCTGCTTGCTGTAGTCCCTTCAAGATGCTTTCCGGGACCCATCATCACCATTTTACATTGCTCTAGGACAAACAGGGTCTGAATCCCCAGACGCTCTTTCCTCTCTCCCACATTCTACTCCATCTCAGTCCAGTCACTCCTTGGCTCGCCGGCAGAGAATGCCAGAGCTAAGCTGATTTCTATGGGCTATGATGCGGGGTCATTTTGGGAGCAGAGTATCGTATGGGGACACCATGATTCATTTCGGTAGGCACCTCATGAACTGGTTGAAGAACAGGCTCATAATCTCCTCTTAGACACGTCAATAATGTACACTATTTGCTCGAATCTGAACTCACGTCGACTCTTGAAACGGCTCATGTCCCAGCGATGGTCATAGAGCCAGTACAATAATTTGCATCCCCATTGCTTCCGTTCATTAGAGGTCCTGCTGGCATGAAGAAACTTCATGATATCAGTGCAAGCCCAAGTAAACATGGGACATTGTCAGTCTGTAGGCTCCGTTGGTCCACGCCAATGGTGCGTTTACGATCTACAAAACCAGTATAGCACAAGAAACCCAGACACAACACCAACTTCGACGACAGCATGCATAGATATCTCAGTTACTTTGGTTCTTCCAGACGCATGAGGCACTTTGATGTTGAGCCGCAAATACTACTAGATTCAGGGACAGAACTACGCCCAGAGCCAGAGCTCAAAACTATTTACATAGTGTGCGTAACCATCATTGAGATTTCTGGCGGTGATTAACACACCCCACAGCGTAATGGGTGTTACCAGCAGTGGAAAGACAATGGTCTGACATTTCCCTGCGTTCCAGTCGTCAATGCTGATACAGATTTGAATAGTTCATCAACACTGCATCTGGCTTGAAATTGAGAGTTGGCATGGGGCTTGAGAGCTGTACAAACAAAGTACAGATGTCGCAGGCATTCTTGCTGGACAGAACTCATGTCATTCTCGTCGATACGCCTAGCTTCAATGACATGACGAAGAGCAGCACAGATGTGCTGAAGATGATTTCTTTTTACCTGCAGACTATGTTCGTACCCACCATTGGCATTGTGGGCAGCCTAGCGCACTAACAGATTGACCTCTAGGCACAAGCAAGATAAGCTTCTGTCTGGTGTCATATACATGCACCGAATCTCGACACCGTCACATCATCGAATGTACATATCATATCGATGGTAACTGCCTCATTAATGATAGAATGTTTGACAGTCTGGTCCAGTGAAGATCACACTGGGGTTGAGATAGCCACTCCCAGGTCCAACCTGATGTTGGTACTGCGATGACCATGCATGAGCACCACCAACAACACTGACCGTCACCGTCACTGGATGGCATTTGGCGACCGCATAGGTGTACATGAACCCAGCACCACTCGTAGTGTCCCATCCAGTTTGCATTTAGGGGATAATGTAATATTGTTTGCTTGCCTACTTTTAGTCCACAGCTGGCTGAAAACCTGTTGAGAATCTTGTGTTCTTGTAAGCCAGATGCTTATGATGATCGAGTGTCACGTGAACGTTCCATGATATCAACCATCTTTCATATTGTTTATCGCAGACTCGGGTCTCTTAGATACCATCACATTGCTCCTCTGTACCACCCTTGGAAATCCACAGTTTTGTTCTGTTAATCCTCGCTCGATTCGTTTAGTGTTTCCCACCATTATCCTGACGGGTTTCCAGTTCTCTTACTATTTGACATTGTGTGGTTGAGTACCCTGAGCACGTTATTTTCTTTGGTAAGCTCCATTAACTCCACTAGTCCCTGCACGGGCCATGTCCACTGATTGGACATCGCGCGGATCTCAACAACTTGAAGGTGTAGGTATTCGAGGAACTCAATCGCAGCACTGGCCTGGTAACCCTGGTAACACTTTGCTCCTCTCCCTGACTTTTGTAGGCTTCATTTGAGTTGCTAGTTCTCACATAGACGTGGTGACTCTTGCTTTCCACTTGGCTTCATGAGTCTCTGAATCTTCTTGAACCCTCTTGAATGCCCATTTGTGGGATCCCTTAATGTTGCTGTAGCTGCTTCTGCTCACACAAGAATCAATTAGGCATATTGGTAGTGCTAGGAGGACTTGGATAATAATGTCATTGGCTACTGGTGGCCCCGAATTGAATCAGGTCAGTTGGCTCAATAGAATTTTTCTGCGGCCCAAACTTACTAATTTTCAATAGAATCATGACACCAATGGCATCACAAGGTTCCCGCTGTTGGCCGATTACGAAACAGGTCAGAGTCCCACCTAGCGGTAAATAGCACTGTCATTTTAACATAAGACAACTCCAAATATTGTAGGATGGTCAACGCTGAGAGACAGTATCCATGGAACCGCCTTCTTCGCCTTCATCAACCATAACTGCGCTCTCGCATGATGAAGACAATATTCAAAGGATAGCCAAACTTGTCACAGAAGCCATAATATTGACGTCTTCGCTCTTACACTTTGATACAAAGTCACAAACAATGGTTGACTGGTCCTGGTACAATGTTTCCTTGTGCACATTTGATATCTTGCCGTGTGTTGATGCAACGCAAGGCCTGCTGAAGATGATTGCAACATGGTTCCTCCAAATCAGTTTGACGACTATAGAAAAAGACGCCATCTCAAATATCCCTGCTGTCTTTGTGCCGACATGAGGCAACAAAACTATGTTGAGTTGATTGTGTATTCTTGGCTAGAAGAGACAGATGGAACATTGGTATGGAGGGCAAGATGTGCTATGGATATTTGCAGATACCAAGGTCAATTTTTTTTGGGTTCAGACTATATGCATTTCTTTGACCTTGCTGGTTATGCAGTAAAAATCGACAAATATTTTCAGTTATGGTCGCAAAGCATCAGTATGTATCATCTCAGAGGTGAGTTACAGTTACCAAGTCTTACAATGACAAATCCAGTACTAAGTGCTACAGAAAATCGGCCTCAAACAATACGCCAGGTGTGGTCTTATCAAGAACAAGATATTCTGTTGACTAGGCTTGGCTCCTTGACTGGGAAAATCAGCCTAGAGGAGTTTCTTATACTGTTCCAGAATTGCAAATTGTGCAAGCAAGTTGGGACTAGACGGTCTATGAGGTTTCACAGGTGCTTACTACAGGATACCACTTTTGAATAAGAGTATCATTAGGCTTGCTTGATTAATGTATCTAGGACATGTGGTAATTACCCTGCCAGCTTCTCTTAAAGAAATCCTGGTGTCCTAAAACTTCCCATGAGCTGCACATGACTACTATGTCTGTACTCTCACCTAAACCTCACCATCCCACACTACTTCTGTACATAATGATGTCGGTCATCGATAACCGTCTTTTGTTGCTCCTTCCACCCCCAGCAATTTCTCGTAAGGGAGCTCTTGCTCTCTCTTCCTCTTCTGTAGGTGTCGACGGACTAAGATGGTGGATTGATTGCCAGTGGAACCCGACCATCAGCTAAGAGTCGTTCACTATCTATTAATCTATCTTTAATGTTTTATATGTAGCTTCAATTTGAGTTAAGATTACTGGTCTTCCTGCTGGAAGAACATGTCTACTCGGGCGACCTATGGCGTCTTGTTATGGCGTACCAAATTGAATTCATGCAAGGAGAATTGTTGCACAATTCACAATTGCCTCGCAGAGCCCTTCTTGACAGAGAAAGAGAGTTGATGGAAGACAAGAAAGATAGAGCTCAGTTGGAATTGTCGCTTTATTCTCAGGCCATTGATGTCCTTCAGCTGAAGGTGGGCTGTAAGTTCATTGCATCATATGTATTTGCATGAGGATGACGATATTTGATTTTTAGCACATCCTGCCAGCTCACACTCTGTGATCCAGCTCTCTGCAAGAGACTGGCATCCTCTAGACAGGTCCTCTAGGGTTGATTCATTGGTCCATCTGAAATGCAGCGATTGGCTAAGCAAAGTCTCAACAAGTGGGGATACTGAAGATGAAGAAGGCGGTACGGTTTTTGGCAGGGATGTTGGACCTCCTATGGTTTATACAACTGAAGAATCAACATCCATTGCATCTAAGCTCATGACGATATATAAGACTCTGGTGCTGCCTCAAGTGAGTAAGGTTGTTTTTCACTGTTGGATCGATTCTTATGACATCTGGCAGGTGGGTCAATGCCCTTACCAGTTGGTCAGTACATGGGTTAAAGAATGTACAGAGGATTTCTACATGGACGATCAAGCAACAGAAAGAGCTTCCTTGCAGATCCTGATATTATGAGCTGGTGATTTATCTAATGCGGAAGCTGAAACCAGCTTCCTTAAAGCAGAATTGGGCCTAATGCAATCAAGATTGCATCGTGCTCAGACTGAGGTGGAGCTCCTCTCAGACGCCATACAATACCTTACTGAGAGTAACATTGGTAAATGTGTTCATTATTCACATCAACAGACTCATCTTGACGCACATTTATAGCATGGTCCAGGGGGGGAGCTCAGCCTCATTGACACTTATTTGTTGACCAGTATAAATGTCAATTCAATAGTTCTTCTAACACAGGAGAAAGCAACAGCTGGACTGACATCTGAACACCTATTCATTCCTGCAGAGTCTTAGGGGATGATGTACAGCGATGATTTACTTGTATGACTGTTGAATGATATGGATTAGCCACCATTGTCACATGTATATTTATAAATCAGGTTTTTGGGCTGTGCGAAAGCTGAGCTCATCGTTGTCAGGTGCTGACAACGATGCCCAGGTGCAAGCCCGCGTCGATCTGTGGATCAGTTATTTCGTGATCTTAGTATAGTCTATTCTTCATTCAGATGATGAGCTGCATGCATGAGATGACGATTGTTGCCTCAGTTGCAGTTGCAAACGCCTGTACGACAAGAGAAGTCAATAATGAATTAATCGATACACCCCAAAGACCCCCAGATCCAGATTGACTCGAATACATGTTGTGTACATTAGACTTCTCAATCATTACCCAGAACAACAACATTCTGCGGTACAAGTACCAAACGATGATAGTACGAAGTGATGATGGTATACGGTAAGTGGCACAGACAACAGCCAAGCTCGAAAATAATGTATAGGATTTGCTATCGGAGTGTTTCACCCCGTGGGCATCCAATGAGGGGTAGGGCAGCTGGGGCTGGTAGCAACCCACGTGTCGGAATTTCAATTGAAGTAAGTTCCTTGCCAGCAAGAAGGCACGCTAGCCGTAGCTCCTAAGTACACTGTACACAAAACAGAGATGAGAGCATCCACACGGAATACGTCAGAAATAGGAACATATACCTCAAATGAATGTTTGTTGAATTTGAGAGACGTCGTGATGCTCATGTAGGCATCGAGAGTGTCAGGGCTGACAGTGGCACGCGCAAATGCGGTTGCTGCTGAATCACTGGAGTAAAATGGATGCACGACCTGTGCGGGCGCATTGTTCAAAGAGAGTGTATCTGATGGAAGTGGGGTCGGATGCATGATGTTCCCCGAAAGATGTGCATAAAGCCGCAATTCCTGGATTTGATAGGTGGTCGTCAACATTCCTGAGTCGGTAGCTGGAGCAATGAAGAAAAATAGGCCACAGGTGCACGATATTATGGCTACATACCTCATATGAGAACAAACTGAAAGTAGTCTGTGCTGTGATGCTTTGGAATTGCCCGTCAATTGGTGTTTTAGTCGACTGAAATACTTGGATGGTGGGCAGATCATTGGGACTTATTATGGCAAAACCACAACATGTACATAACATGCTGTTCTCAAAATGCATGGTCTTACATGCCAGATCATTTTCAGCGTAGATCTGGGGCTAGTAAGTTAACACATCACTTGAATTTTAGCTATACATCTTCATTTGTTTGTCCTTAGCCTTCAATGAACTGCGATGGCATCCCAGCCAATTTCACTTGTACTTGTGGCCATGGGTTTCAGCAGGAAAGTGCCTTCACTAGACATCACAAATCCTGTATCAAGGGTAAAAAAAGACTGTTCTCAGCTTTAAGCAGAGCAAAGGATCTTCTTGGGTCGGTCAAAAGGGTGCAGATCACTGATCACAGAAGGTCCTCAGGCTCACAGCCTACTCCTTCCGATGCAAGCCCACCATTGGCCATCTTCCCTCCGAGTCATCTCACAGCCAGCAGCAATGCTCCTTCAAACAACACCACTGCCTCTACATCTGTGTTACCGCAGGATAATGGCACCATACCTCATAACTGCGACTTGGACCATCAGGGGCACGAGGACAGTAGCCATGAAGATGCACCTTCAGCCCAGCGTAGGACCAGGCGTAATGGCATTCAGTTGCCAAAGCGCTACCGGCAATTTGAGGATGTTCTACCTCAACCTCTTCCTAGCATCCCTATTAACAACGTCCAGCAAGCTTCAGACTCACTTCCCTCTTTAACACATCCTCCAGAATTGCAACCTCCTTTTCACACTCCATGAAATGTCTTTGGACTAGTACACCAGTTTTTCTCCTCACACCCACCGTCTCATGATCCAGAAGAGGTCATCACACTGGAGGACATCAGCGCCATCCCAAGGCCAGAAAAACCTCTGCCAACCACAAGCCCTGCTGATGAGGCTTCCCCTTACTATCCCTACTCTAATCAGTCGTCTTTAGAACTTGGTAATTGGTATTGGAATGGGGGAGTACAGAAGTCTCAGCAGAGTTTCAGTGAACTGGTTGACATAGTCACAGATTCTGACTTTGACCGTGCTGGCGTTCTGGCGACACCTTGGGACAAGATCAATTCCACTTTGGGTCAGAATGACTATGGGGAGGGCGAAAACGAATGGGAGGACGAGGATGCAGGCTGGCGCAAAACTGACGTGTCTATTCAGATCCCTTTTGCTTATACCAATGAGCATGCAGGTGTTAGACCATACACAGCCGCAGAATTGTACCATCGCTCTTTGGTTGCTGTCATACGAGAGAAGCTAGTGAATGTAGGAGATGATGAGCTCTTCCATTATGAGCCCTATGAGCTCCTATGGCAGCCTGGTCACCTTCAAAGTGAGGTCAAAATACACAGGGAGCTTTATACTTCCCTGGCTTTCATGACCGCACACCAGGAACTGCAAGATTCTCCTAGGGAGCCTTATTGTGATCTTCCTAGGGCAGTAGTTTCTCTAATGTTCTGGTCAGGTTAGTACCAAATCCCTGGAGTGGCAGTCAAACTGATATTCTAGCTAGACGCCACTCACCTGACTAGTTTTGGCAATGCAAAGCTATGGCCTGTTTACCTGTTCTTTGGGAATGAATCAAAGTATCATCAGTGCAAGCCTTCTTGTCATCTTGGTCATCATGTCGCATACTTTCAGAAGGTAATCGCCAAATTTTTACCATCAACATTATGCAGCAACTGATATCTAGCCTCCAGCTTCCTGATTCATTTAAAGACTTTACTTGCTGCCACACAGGGGGAAAGGGCGTCAGCCAAGAGTGTACTACACACTGTCAGAGAGAGCTCTTCCAGGTGCAGTGGGAGATTCTACTGGATGCAGAGTTTTTGGAGGCGTATGAACACGGTATCATTATTTTGTGTTATGATGGAGTTATGCGTAGGTTCTACCCAAGGATATTCACTTACTCGGCAGATTACCCAGAGAAGTGAGTCAATTTTAATGACAAAGTCAGAAGCTAATGAGACCAGAGCTCTTATCACAACTATCCGTCAACTAGGTGGATGTCCCTGTCCAAGATGTTTGATTCCAAAGAGTCAACTGCACAATCTTGGTATGACTCGAGATCAACAGCAGTGCACTACACTCCAGTGCTCAGATGGCGATCAGGAACAATTGATCGACACCGCTAGAAAACTTATATATGAAAAGAATTATGGAGTAGACAGCACTGCAGTAGAAAATCTACTGAAGCCTTGCTCTTGGGTGCCAACCTATGTAAGCGACTTGATTGATTCTTTCAGCCAAACTGACAGGTTGTCAGAACACCTTTTCTAAGTGTCTTAGTTGTTGAGGCTTCAATATATTTGAAGCACTAGTGGTGGATCTTCTTCATGAAGTGGAACTTGGAGTTTGGCACTCACTCCTAATACATTTACTTAGGATTATATGTTCTATTGATAAAGATCTAGTGCATGAGCTAGACAGGAGGTCTGGTAACTTTTTCCTTCTCAATGAGAGGATTCGCTCATTTGTTATGTCCTCTCATAGATACCAACTGGTTCCGTCATTTGGACGATCTACTATAAGAAGATTCACCACAAATACTTCAGAGCTCTCCAACATGGCAGCATGTAATTTTGAAGATCTCCTTCAGGTACGTGCGACGTGCAGGCTAGATTAGCTCAGCTGATTTTCTGAAGTGTGCTATACCAGTATTCGATGGTCTTTTTCCAGCTCCTCAAAACCAAATAGTGCAGGACCTTCTTTTCACCCTGGCTCATTGGCATGGCCTATCAAAGCTCCGCATGCATTCAGATTTGACATTGGATATCCTAGATGCAACTACTACTGATATCGGCAACCAGCTCCATAACTTCAAGGTCAATGTGTGCTCAGCCCATGATGCCAGAGAGCTCGACAAGGAAGTGAACGCACGTTCGCGCCGTCAAGCAAAAGAAGCAGCTCGTTGGACCCAGGCTGGCAAGAACAACAAATCTGTTACCAACAGCCTCCTTACTACTACGACGGTAGAGGAACCAGTGGATCGCAACAAACTTCGTAGGACAGTTTCCTTCAACCTGCAGACTTACAAGATCCACACTCTCAGAGACTATGTGTCTTGTATTCGATGTTTCGGAACAACTGATTCTTACAGTACTGAACCGGTAAGCTTTGACAATTGCAGCTGTACTGATTATCTGAAGCATCTGGACAGGGAGAATTAGAGCACCGCACTGGCAAGAGACGATATCTTAGAACAGATAGGAAATCCTTTATATGCCAGCTCACTCAAATTGAGCGTCGCCAAACCCGTATTAGGCATATCAAGAATCGTCTTGAAGAACCAAGAGCTAGTGAAGCAGCAGATATTATGACTTACGAACCCCGCATACACCACCACATTGGCCTGAGTGAGAAGTTAAATGACGACATTGGCTCTTACCTGCGGTTGCATGAAGGTGATCCAGCCATGAAGGTATGTATTTTCTACCAATGATTCATTGATGGCTGAACATGCTTTCATTATAGAATTACTTTTCACGCCTAAAAGAGCATCTTCTTTTGCGCATTCTGACATCTCAACCAGGCGATTCATGTCAACAAGCAGAAGGAGGAACAGATCAAGTGCTCTTCAAATGCAATCATATATATCACCATAACATCACTCGCTTCAACTACACAACTTACGATACGCGACGAGATCAAGATGTCATCAATCCCAAGACCTTACACCGCAACATCATGCTTCTCAATAGCACTAGCGATAATAGTGATTGTGGTGGCTGCTATCGCTATGCCAGGGTGCTAGGAGTGCACCATGTCAACATTGTGTATACTGGCGGTCCCTATCATACTGCCCTTAGAATGGAGTTTCTTTTTGTATGATGGTATGAGCCAGTTGGGCATGCTGACCCTGGCAGGACCGCCTTGGATCGCCTTTATTTTCCTGCATTGGATAGTGAAGATGCCTTTGGATTTCTAAGTCCAGCTGATGTTATGAGAGCTGCTCACATCATCCCTTGTTTCTTCAAAGAAATGCAACACAAGGATGGAAAAGGCTTGTCAGGCATAGCCGGCGATAAAAGTGATTGGTGTCAATATTTTGTCAATTGGTGCATATGATCAACCTTCTTAACCTTTGCTTTACTGATTTATAACATAGATTTGTAGATCGAGACATGCTGATGCGTTGTCATTATGGTCTAGGGGTAGGGCATGTATATTCTCATGAAGAGGTGCTCAACCCTCCTCCCAAAACTATCAGTCTCAATGAGGCCCCCTGCAATGAACAGGTTGATGGAAATGAATATGAGCTGGAGGATGCATTGGAGGACGATCACACAGGTGTTGAAGAAGGAGATTTATTTGACCAGGAGAAAAACCAGAGTTCTGAGTTGATTGTAGAGGAGTTAGATGATATGTTTGTTCAACACGAGTATGATTATGAACCCTGATAGCGGTAGGGGAAGTCATTTGGAATGAATGTTGAAAGCTATGTTAGACAGGGGGACCAGGCACCCGCTCATATTCATCCTCATGACATGGTATATGTATCAGCACCTCTCTAATGTTCAAGATCATCATCTGATTTTGCCTACTACTACTAGTAATACTGTCCAACATCTGCGTCCAGCGGTATGAATCATATGGCACAGCCACTACAGCTACAAACAAACAAAACCACCTGTGCCACATCAGATGCATCAACATCAACGAAAGCTTTGTGCATTTTGGTAAGATTATGCATGCCATGATCTTGTATCTATCTACCTTTTATTGTTGATTTTCCAATTCTGCAAATTCTACTAAATCCAAACCATAACATTAACAGCATCAATGCCAGTATGTCCATTGATAGCCTCTCATCCCATGCTTCAGACTGTGATCAATGCCTTTAACAGAAGAAGATTCCGCTGGACCACAGTACCCCTGCCTGGCCAATGCAGTTGGGGCGGTACGCCCAAAAGGTAAGAAGGTGAGCATACGTTACTTTTGCCATCATTATATCCACGCTGACTTTTACCATATACAGGGTGCCACTTCTAGTTCCAGACTTTACAGTGCAGGGACTGCAATTCGACCTTCTTAAGTCGGTTTTTGCTTTCTAATAGTAGTGCTTTGACTCTGACATTGGCAGGAATGAGGTTTATGGGGAATGGGAGGAGTTTGTTCATCCGTCCGGAGCCACCTACTACTACAATAGGAAAAGGGTGAGCACCAATTGCGTGTACACATTGCACTTACTTTTTGGAAATGTAGAATGCATACACTGGATTCAATGTCAGAGATTGCTCTAGGGATCGCCTTGAGAAGTTCGAAGCTTGGGTCAAAACAACACGAGGCCGAGCACAGGAAGATCTCATATTAGTTGCTGAGCCGGTGAGGACTCAGAATGTGGATGGGGATGTCTACCTCTATTATCTGGTGGCACTGGAGGCACGCATCATCAGCTGGCCAGAAACTTTAGATGGCACCCATCTTTTCAGAGAATGCGACTCTGCCCACCAATGGAATCATAGATGTATGTGACCTTTTCATGTCTCTACCTGACCTTACATTGTGCAGGACTCGAACTTGAGGCCCAATTTTGGTAAGTGATCATAGATGGCAGCATAGCATGATTTATTTATGAAACTATACAATAGGAAGCACGTAGAGTTTTTCCCCCGAGACTTCAAGTTGGATCGCATCCTTCTATGACAATTGTGAACTGAACTTGATTGGTTTCACACAGGTGAGATCTATAGCATGCAGCACTGAATAGTGTGACCTGAATGAACAGCAGACATGTTAACATTAGAAAGTTCCACCTCAGCGACTATATTTTCTAACAGGGAAACTATGGAGAAAATCATCAATCGATTAGCCAGTCTCGGTATGTTCCCGCGTGTTGCTCTATCACACCTTGATGACCGGATATTAGATGATCTATTGGAATCTGAAGGAATCATAACAGAGCCAGGCGTTGCATTGCTTGGTTAGTAAGCTCTTTAAAAACCGATGATTATATACTTATCTCATTACCAACAGGTAGACTGTATCACATGCTTCGTCAGTTGTCTCCTCATCTTAACAGACATTGATGCTGAGTAATAATACAGGCCATCATCAATACCTGAACTACTTTGGCCAACCTGAAGCTCGCCTATTACGAACCCATTCAATGGGCCCAGGGACTAGAACGCAGGGACCTTTTCCTTTCATACTTACAGTTGCTATGTTATGCCTTCCAGTTTTGGTTTGCGAACACCTTAAGCAGATTTATGTAGACGGTCTGGTCAATTATCTTGACCTCAAAAACTTCATCAATGACTTCAACACTCAGAACAATGCGCAAATCACCTTGGTAAGTGACATTTCAGATCATGGAGGATTTCTTGTCATTTAACACCCAGTGACAGGCAGGGGTCATCATGGCGATCGATGCCGGTTTCCTTGCTGTGCAAGGTGTCGGTACTGGATTGGTCGCAGAGTCTATGTTGAAGGGATCTATTATTTTCTCTGTGGGCTGCCTGTTTGCGGGCATGTTTGCGCAACACTTCAGCGAGAAATTGAAATCTTTGTGATTTGCGGTTTGTTTTATTTTATTTTCAGCTGCTAAAGTCTAACATTCAATTCACCAGGCCTATTACCTAGATCAAGGGATGACAGTGGTTGTTGGGGTGTTCAGCGCACCCCAGTTTTTTTGTTTGATGAGGCAAGTCAAACTTTTGATCTGTCGGTCACGTTTACTTACGGGGGGAAAAGCATCATGTGGTTCAGCTTTGGGTTCCTTGCAAGTGCCTTCATAGATGCCCAGCACTCCAAACCCGCTCTCATTACATGTGCCTGCTGCCTAGTTGTTGTGACATGCATTTTAGGCCCCTTGGCTTGGTATGGTTTACGTGCAGGGGTAACACCGTATGTTCATCTTGAAGATGACTGATCTAAATAAGCATGCTAAAAGGCAGCTGAGCACTTGGGCGGGTCTATTAAATACTTGTTTTTCTTTTGTCAATCAGATCCTGTTCTCTATCAATGTATATATCAATTATTAGGCAATATCAACCCAATAACATAGCTGGCATACATATGCCACCAGGTACAGCACATTTTCCTGATCATAAAAGAATTACCTATACCATGGGCAAATGGCGCCTATAGCCATTGGATAATAACTATGAGGTATTCTGGTACATGACATAGACATCCAACATCGTTACCAAGAATTTAGAGGTGGACAACCAAAGGTGTGAGATGATGAACCTATGCTTAAATGTCACCCCAAAGGCCAATGGTGGCGGGCCTGTACCAAAGGTCCTCAATGTTGTGGCCAGATGATAGAGAGTAGCCATTGAGTAACTATGGGGTGTTACATTACATAGTCATCCAATATCATCACCAAGAATTGAGAGGCAGATGACCAAAGGTGTGAGATGATGAACTCATGCTTAAGTGTCACCCAAAAGGCCAATGGTAGCAGGCCCACACCAAAGGCCCTCAATGTTGTGACCAGATGATAGAGAGTAGCCATTGAGTAACTATGGGGTGTTACATTACATAGTCATCCAATATCATCACCAAGAATTGAGAGGCGGATGACCAAAGGTGTGAGATGATGAACTTATACTTAAATATCACCCAAAGGGCTGGTGGTAGCACACCCATACCAAATGCCCTCAATGTTTCAGCCAAATCATAGAGAGTAGACATTGAATAACTATGTGGTATCTTACAGTCAACCATTAACAAGGTTGGTCCTGATGTACTTTGTTTGTACCATCTTATCAAACGTAACTAGACAAACCAAAGACTCGGCGATTACCTGATGCTACAACTCGACACCGACGTAACAACCGCACTCCAGCAACACACAAGCCGAACTATTCCCCTCCACTTTGGTCCTCCTACTTTCGAAGTTGCTACAGGACGGGAAAAACCGGTGTGTTTTCTAGGGCTGTGTTTCTAAACTTCAACGCAACTATTTCTGTGGAGGGTTTGTGTCTTCCTCATCGGCTGGAACGAGATCATGAAAAGGCATAGTTGTAGCACGGGCAATCTCAACGCCCAGCCAGGCCAGCGGACTTGTTTCCTGTTCTCTGTGATATCTGCTCAATCCCCCAACGGATTAGTACAGACGCAGGATGTAGGTCGACCATTATCATCTTCGCATCAAATTGTGATGTGGTTGTAGATGTCTTTCTCGACGGCGCCCGTTTAGCGAGATCGCTCTCCATCACCATTTCCACGACCCCCTTACACTCAGGTTGGTTTTGCACAGCTATGCTGTTAGTATCCTCCGTGGTGTTCCGCCCTTTCTAGTCTATGGTTGTCTGGTCGTTATTATGAAATTGACACCAAAATGTATGCTATAAATACTGCTTTCGAACTGCATGCTGCATTTTTTTCTGCCGTACGAACCAGCATTCCTGCTATTGTGCCGGGTGGGGCAAAGTCAACCATGTCAATTCTGGAGGTATAACCCTACCGCCCATTGCAAAATTGTCCAAGGCCTCGATACCAGCTGTGAACGAAGCCTCCTAATTTGTGTCTGCAGGGGGGGTAGGTTATGGGATACACGACTACATAAGATCATTAGCATATCTGGTCTTAACGAAAACTAGATAAAACACTCGAAAGTTTTCAAAGTTCCTGAGTGATATGATGTCCCTGACAGACAAGCAGACATAATTCTCAAGATAGTATGTGACATGGAGTAAGTACATACGTGCTTGGACTACGCTACACGTCGAGCCCCAAAATCGAGCGCTGACCTTCTTCGAACTGAATCTCAGATGTTTCCACCTCTAGGCCTGTGCCATGAGTTCAGGAGGGGACATCAGGTCTTCCTGGTGAAAGGCGAACCAAACGCTTGCTGCTCCAGGAAGCATTGGTTCACGTTATTAGCAATGACTCGGAGAAAGCAAAGTGTCAAACTTCAAGAAGTCATTGCATATCTTCTGCCGCCGCTAGCGTACCTACACACAGCTACACAGCTGTTTTATATCAATCATCCGTGCGTTTGTAAGACATGGGGTTTCATAACACGCATGCTCACCGGGATAGTATTGTGTTCGAACATCGCAGCTATCCGTTGGCCACAAGCAATTTCGAACTTGACCACCTGGAATTTGTTGCACTTGCCAGTAACTTTAAGCGAGGTCAAAGTCGGGTGCTCACGTTCATGCTTATGCTTTCACCCACTCCCCCAATTATTTACGCGAGTTAATTAAGTTCGAATATCAAAATCCGATCCACTGATCTTCCAAACTGATTATAAGTGATACACAGTGAGTACTGAGTACATACATATCATCATGGTCCGAACGAGTACGCATGGATAAATAGAATCACAACCCAACGATTTTATCAAACGAGCGACTAGAAATCTGTTCCAAGACGAAAGCGAAAGCCAACCCGGTGGATGACCCTGGCCTGTGGGGGTAGTAAATGGGTATCGCAAGAGGGTAAGGGAAAACCACGACCAGTTGCCTTGCTGAGGGGCGCCGATCTGAGAGCCTAAGCAACCACTTCAGCTTCATCAACGAAAATATCGGAGTAGTGATCTAAGATTGTCTCGATCGCCTGTAAAGTACAAATCAATAAAGCTGAGCAAAGAGTTAACCAATGATCAAAGCTTGATAATCACCTTATTCTGAAAGGGAGCATCCGCTATGCCCCCGTTCCCATGACCCGAAAAACTCCCATTGCCAGGTATTATCTGACCAAAGAGAGTTTGTCCGAAAACGATGGCGAGATTCTGGATAGACATGGAATTATCCGACTCATACTCCGCAATCCTGCAGGACAAGGCCAATTAATCAATCAGTGCCGATTGATGACGACAAGGGTGAACGCACTTATGCAAGTGCCCCAAAAAGAATTTGAGTGTAGCATAGTTCGGGTCCGGTAAGTCGTTGACTCGCTCGTGTAAGCGTATGTGCCGCAGGCGCTCGTTCTCGATTTCTGGGACGCCTGTGAGAAATTGCCATATTTGCGTAGCATAGATGGCTTACTAGCGGCTTCCACAAAGCCCTGATGCAGGGTTGATGTTAGTAGCGGATCAGGAAGCTCTCTGAACCACATCTTGAGGACGCTAGTGACGTTGTTGATGTCAGATATCCACTCTTCCGAATCTAAGTTGACAGAGTCCATGTCTACGGAAATAGCCGTGAGGGTCAAGGACCGAACGGAGCCGACAGATACGAACCTTTGTCTAAGCGCTCTTTCAGTGAAGCTACTTTCCGTGCCGTGCCGCTGATTCGATAAATCCCTTGTGATTGAATGCCATGCTTTTCGATAGCAGCACAGCACTTTTCGAGAATCGCTGGAAGTTCAACATTGTCTCTCGCCATCTGCTCTGCGAGATCTACGCCGAACGTTGGCCGGCCCTTATCAGGGATTTGGGAGTTGTGACCATTCCCAATTGGGGCATTTGCATGAACAGAAGAATATGCGCCAACCCCGTGGGTCGGCAATGGTGGCAGCTGATAGTCGCGTTGGTGCAAATGCCAAAGGGAAAATATGAATGACGTACAAAACCTTCTTCTGCTGGACCTTCGCGTCGCGGACCTCGAGGAGTGGCTCCGCCACGTGCGTATGCATAGTTCTGCATGTAGATCTTGAAGTCTGCTCGATTATCAATAGACTCGATCGTAGATTTCAGGCCGATACCTATTTAATGTGTGATGAGGTGTTTAGTAGGTATTAATTTGTGACTGATGAGATCTCACCGTCTTCTGGCGCTACTGGAACAAGAGTTGATCCGTCGCTCAGGACAATGCTCTCAAATAAAAATGCATATCTCGTCAAATGATATTGAGTCCCGAGATCTATTTCGTCAGCACATTCTTTGAGAGCCTATGAGATTATATCAGCGCAATCACGACGTCATGGTTGAATTTACTCAACACGCAGTATCCGAGGCAACTGAAAATTAAAGTATTCTTGTCTCATTGCTTGGGTATCAGTAAGCGCCTTGCGGTATAAGTCAGACGCATTCGATACACGCGCGCGGATGTCGTCTTCTTGTCTTTGTATCTGGAATGACGAGTGAGGGACCGTTGTAAGCAGTAAAATGGATGCCTACGTTTCCAGGATTCTTCCCCTTGAGCAGAAGGCCGCCTTTAGCCACTGCTTTTCCAAGTGCTCGTTTACCTGTGACTCCTCCTTGGTTCTTGGCCTGCAAACCACCGTCCTTGAGGGACTCCCCCTCCTTCTGAAGTAAAACTCGCTCAAGTTCCTCCGAAGAAACTTCCAATCGATTTTTGGACTTCTCCATATTCAACTCTGATTCTTGAAGGGCACGTTCGTAGCGACTGGCCAGCTCCTTAGTCTAGGCAACGTCAGAAAATGTTCTTCGTGTAGAACGATGCGACGCACCTGCTTTCTGTTCTTGTCCACTTCCTTCGCGAGTGAGGCCAGCTCATCGCTCATCTCATTTAGCCGCTGTGCAAAACGAATCCTGTTCTCTGCCATAACTTCATGGATTTTCATGGATGACTGCCAAGCACCCACGAAAGACCTATGAATTGTAATTAATAACACGCGAAGAATACTCGGACCATATTCACCCAGCCTTCCCGTCGTTCATAGAGTAAACCTCGGATGTAGTTCGCGCAAGCTTCTGCAAACTCTTCCCATACTCCTCTTCCAAAACCGCTCGTTTCTTGAAAAAGACTGAAGCTTCCTAAGTACCGAAGGAACTTAATACAATGCCCTTGTCGAATCGACAAATTGAAGTAATACTCACGCGACACGAGACCATGCTCTGTTTGATCCGATCCAGCAGTAAAGGAACACCACACTATAGCGCCAAGACATGAACAGCAGATATGACAAGGTAGGAAATACTTACGTCCATCTCGCATAATACTCTTAATACGTTCTCATCAAAGTTGGTCTCCACAAGACTGATAGCGTCGCTCGGGATCATGGATAGTGTATCCTTGCGTTCAATCGTCACCGGCACGCTATCTCGCCACCTCGAAGTGGATGATCGACCCAGCGAGTCCGAGCTTGACCTGGGAGGAGGCGACGACGGTTTAACTGGTAACGACGACAGGGCAGGAGCAGTGGCGGATTCGTGAATAAGAGACGGGTTATTAGGCTGGAATAGGCCGTAAGGAAGAGTCTGGCTGGCATTAGGATCAGAATTATCTGTTGATTCCCAAGTAGTTGAGGAGTAGCCTTCGTCAGCCATGGCTACATTCAGCGCGGGTTGTACAGGCTCGGGAAGATGGCGAGCAAGAATCCCAAGCAGTGCGTCGAAAGCTCTCTAAGGAACAACTTGGGAGATACTCACGGATTATGTAACATTCCTGAACAGGCCTGTTAAGCCCCTGAACGGGGCCTAACGGAAAAACCGCGAAGTGCTCTTTCATTGTGTAAAATAAATAATCTGCTCTCTCTGAAACGACATGTATAAGTGTGACATGACTTGCGTAAGAATGATCCAATGACTTAGTAACCAAGAGGGATACCGTATGAAGTACCACAACATCAGAGACAGGAACACGGAACGAAGGACAGGAAATCTCAAATATGCGAGTTGATAGTTTCTTTAGCGGCCGTTCACCACCCCCGCGCAACGCGGACAAGCGGTACTGAATTGTTCCATGATCAATCCTTGATCTGGAAGCATTCTGGTGGTCGTGAGTTCGCAGTCAGATATGATCAAACAAGATACTGACGTTTGAGAGCAAGTAGATCCACAACTGTGCGTCCCCGTCTGATGCGATGGACTGAAACGACAATCCCTCTTGCGACAATCGACCTGCGCAATGATTAGTTATTGATGGAATGTGCACTGCAGTTAATACATACCACTTGCTGTCTAGTGACCGTTTGGTGGTTGCAGTTGTACTCTGCATACTGAATGATTTTGTAGCACATTCCAGAAGAGATTCGCAGTTTAATAATCTACTGATAGCATGGAGGGCTGGCTTATAAGTTACTTTGTGATCCACACGTCACCAAATCAATGTATACTCACCTGACGGCAGAAAATGTATCAATTTGCTTTATTGAGTTTCGTCAGCTGTGCTCTTGGGTCCACGAGTCAGTGCAATCCAGTTCGCGATCGCAAAAAAAGCTTCGCTCCACTGAACTGCTTTGGGTTCGGGTATTGCCACCCCACCAGAGCCCCGGGTCATGGCCCTCTCCAGACAATAGATACAATCTGCCGACGATCCAAGGCAAGATCGTCTTCCGCTGCGGAGCGGATCATTGGTCACGATAAGGGGTGATGACACCACCAGTTGTGTCGATGTTATATTCGCTGTTGCCATCAGTAGGTGAGTGGTAAGAAGAGCACAACTTCGGGGATGCTCACCAGTGGTAAGTGCGCTGCCGATAAGGCTCGATCCACTTGTATTGAATAGAGGGAGGCTTATAAGATCGATCGAGAAGCGGTAAGTGAATTGGCCACGCCGCTTTCATGTTACCAGGTAGGCACGGAAGAACGCATTAGTATTACCTGTCGTGTTAACCGCATGTCGACCGACAGGCACGGGCCGAGACAAGACCTTCAAGCCTTCGCATGCTATAAGATCAAACATCCTCGGACTAAACGAGGTCTCACGAAGGTTCTAGCGCTCAGCTCGGCACCGGCATTCAAACGTTCCATGATGATGGAACGAACCCGACGCACTTTGACAGAGGGAATAAAAAATCGTGTAATTCCAGTTGGGCGAACCAGAACAAGTAAAAGATGGTGCACAAGATTTGCCTAGATATCATGCTGTACCGAAAAAGACATTCGTACTGAGCACAGTTAGCCAGCGGTACGAAAGTTTACCTTTCGAACAGCCCATGCACTTTTTTGAAGCTGCATTAGTGGCACTAACTCAAAGTGTCAATCAATCACGGTGACGGCAAAGACGCAAAAATCAGGTGTCACACCACAGCACTGAATTTGCGCTCCATGATTTGTTTCCCCCCGGTGCCAATCATCGTGCATCTTGCGAAATACTTCGCCAGTGACAGCCGTACACCTTGGAGTGCATGGAGTGCCTCAGTTGTCCCACCGGAACCGAGCTTCGAGATTAAGACACGGAGATACTCGTCGCCGGATCCTTGATCAGTTCGCGCGATTACTTCTTCCAAATGCTGTAGCAGAATGCACGCGCTTGCGTACGGAAAGAGCAAAGTGCCGTCTAGCAGAAAATCAGGCACTAGGCACACGTATATGGGATGCTTTACGTACCATACTGCAGAAGCTGTGGGGAATCACACAGCAGGACCGCCCACCACGATTTCGGAGCAAGCCCGTCTTGGAACATTGATATAAGATCCCAAGCAGCATCTTGCAGATCCTGATTACCCAGGCGCTGATGAAACTCGGCGTAACGAACAGCGAACATCAAACGGTGGATGAAGATGCCCTGTGCGCCGGACTGCATCCGAAGTGCTTGGAGTGACGGTGCAATGCCAGCCACGTAACGGGTGAATTGTTCCGGCCCTGATGGTACTTCGTTCGACCCCAAGAAAGCAGATTCACAATAATTCGTACCTGCGGTGATATATTCTTGTAACACGCGATCAACCACGCGACCGAGGCCAGGCCAGTCTTCCGCCGAAGAGGAATACGAAAGTGCAAGTCCGTATTCCTTTTCTTGTACAAAGGTCTGAGCGGCTATCTGCGTGAAAAAATTTATGAACACGAGAATTTGGGGTGAATTGGAGATAATGCATACGCGACAAATAGTTCGTCGGACTTCCTCCCGCTGATATTCATAGCACGTCGCGTTGATGTCTTTTACCACACCAGCAAGATCTCCGGACTTTAAATTGTCAGCGCCAATTTTCTCTCCTTGGTCATGGGTAATTGACCCGACGGAGCGCAACCTGAGCGGAACGTGCATTAACACTTCGTCGGCACTTCTGACGCCAGTCTCCCCACACGAGAACATGTACGCCACAGTAATTCTCCAAAGCGCAGGATCAGCATGAAGGTACTGTGCGTAGCTGAGCACGTAAAAATCTCTGATATTGAGACCTGAGCTGCAAAAGGTATGAGCACTGTTATCCCCAGTAAAAAAGACTTCAACACACTCCTCATTTGCCTCCTTTTCGATTAAAGACAACGCCTGCATCAAATCTGCCATATGTGCAGCAAGCCAGGGGTCGAGCCGCGCTGCATGAGACAGTGCTTTGGCAGGGTCACCGCTGAACAGTGCTGCGTGTACCATATCCTCCAAATTCGTTGGATCTTGGGGCATTTCATCGAGGACCTGAGACACAACCTCACTTCTAGAGACGTCAGTATGGATTTGGCCTTAAATGGGAATTACGAACGGTAAATCCTGTCTTCGTAGTCTTGCATCAGCAAATACGCCCCATGAGACAGAAACTTCTCTCCAGTCCGCGCCAAGATCTTCGCAGACACGACGAATCACCTCGCTGCGTCCTTCGAGTATTCCAACAATGTCACTTAGACGATCCCACCAATTCTCAATCCCGTCATGCCGATCAGACTCAGAAATACTGTCTAGTTCAATTCGCAAAGCTTTCACCTTATCCTTCCATCGGTGAGAAGCATATGCAAAATCGCGCTCCGCCTCAAAAGACTGAAGGCGAGGCTGAGATTGAAGCAATGGGGATAATTGTTGAGCAAGCCGGCGGAGGTTGTCGGACGGGTGAGTTGAAAGCGTTCCGAGGAAGAAGGTTGCGGCCTTGGAAAGACCTCTCAAAGTCACCCTGTACGACATTAGCTTCGTGAGTATTATTAAAATAGGGTCTTACCTGACAAGATACGGCCAAAATGTCTCATCTTCCCAAGGACGATCCAGACCCGATAAGTGATCGCCTTCTTCCGTGGAAGGTTCGATGAAGTGGACATTCAGCCACTCCATCAAATCATCGCCTACTGGTGCATCCTCGTACCCGTACTCGGGTACGTATAAAACAGCAAATAGCGCAAGACAAGTGTATAAACTGCGGTAATGATCACCACAAAATTGGGAGGAACCCTGAGACTGAACGGAGGTTTGCTATCTCCCGATCAACAGATTGTTGTGAAACAACGCGCGAACACTCACCGAGGTGTGTATCCAGCACTCTCTGGTAAAATTGACATAATCCAGAGTTAGCTTTCTGATCACATTATGGGTTTCTTGACTCTGTAGCCTGATGTGGCACGAAGTTAGTGTGTATAACAAATAGGTCGTCGATCGAAAGTACCATTCCTGTCCCCGGCTTTGCGCCGTGTTAATCAAGTTTTGTAATGCAGCGAAGATTATGGATGTATCTCCGATGAACTATCCAAACATGAACGAGTGCAATAGAGTATCAACCATGTGGACACACCAGTCGTCTTTCAGATGACGGCGAAGTTTCACTGCTCGCGAAGAATATGGGCTGCTCTTCCACACCACTGTTTTTTATGCTCAGAGCATCTTTCTAGCATAATAATGAACCGGCGTCTCGTTTGAAGTAATGTGACGGTGTAAAACCTACTCGGATAGACGGAAATACAGCATACGACTGATTCAAAGGCGATTGAGCAGACAAAACTGTCTTCCCCGACTGGACGAACTGTTCGGCGTGTCCAACTTGGATGAGAGGAGGGAAGAGGTTAAGGTGGTGATCGTTGGAGCTCATCTGGTTTTGACAAGTGACGCTTGTGACGCTGTAATATCGATCGAATATATGAGTTTCCTGCTAGCTTCTGCACTAACACGTGTGGAAATAATGGAACGAGTCCGGGACGGCCTACCTATCGAAAGAAAGTTGGTCTCAGTGGTGGCCTTGGCAGTGGTTGGTCTGACTCTGCATATTGATTACATTAGCTCCCTTATTCGGCATGATAATCCCTATAAGTACTTATTAAGTAGTCTGGAGTCTGGACAATATTATATAAACCGTAGGTCAAACAAACGCAAATATTGACAAGTGCTGCTCAAGTCAAGCAAAACGCCAAGGTAGATATGATCTACCGCAGAAATCAGAAAGACATTGACAGCCATGCTCGTGTGTTTGGCACCGTGAACTCAGATTATACTGAGATATACACCCTCGTTAATCAGCCCCAATCGAAAATTACCAGGGATCTTCGAAGAATCTATTGGGCTACCCAAGAGCTGGTGCCATCAGGTGCGGCGCATCCTCCAGATATCGTAGTACTGACCACACCTTCCAAAAACGATTATTCTCCAATTTTAAGCCTACGGAAAAGTCGCCCGATGAGTGACGGTCTTGAGCGGTGCCTCCCTTGAAGCTTGAAGCTTAAGCTTAAGGTTCACTGACGCATACATATTGCTAGCATAAACTGATTAAAAATAACTTCATTTTTTTTCAGCGCCTGCACACTCGTTTCGTTATCCGAGGATGGCCCCGTTCCTCGATCACTGATAAACTTAGGTAGCTGCGCCCGGGCGCAAGATCAGCACACATCATCCCCCCAGCACTATGTGCTAAATTGGCATGGAACGGCTATGTGACATATTAACGTTTTATTAGGCACCCCAAGCTAAAGGGTTCTGCAGGAGGGCGTGTTACGACGACCTAATGTAGCTTGGGCCTTTTCAATCGGCATTTATTCGAAAATGCACCCGCACCCTTGATGTCATTTCCGCGAGCATCTACGGCCACCTTATTCCGAGCTCGGGATTTTTTCCGTGGGCCTACTGTTAGGCGGTCCTATGACATCTTGAAACCTTAGGAAGAAAGATAAGAAACTTCCGGTAAAGTAGGGCTGTCTAACGCCTTCTTTGAGAGAGGTGGTACCTCTTGTGAAAAGAGCGCAGCAGTTGCTGACTGATGCAGATTAACCTTGCGGCTGCCCCCTGTCTCTAGGAAAGATCGCGATACAAAGCCCATATATCTCAAGACATGATTAGCAAGGTACGTACCGTGTGGTGCTCAGAGTTTCGAGAACCCTGTGCGATAGCATCGACGCTCGATGTTACCCCACTGGGCAAATCGTTCAATTTTCCTTCCAATCTCGATTGACCCAGTTCAGCCCTCCAGACTTAGAAAAGGCCCAGGTTTTCGCAAAGTGATGGCATCCTGTACAGCCGTGAGAGTTGCCTCCTGCGGCCACCTCATGTGGATGACTGATTTGAAGACCCATTGCTATGTATCGAAGCTTCTCGATAGATCAGAACATTGAGGCATGTGCTCGCCTTCATTTTCGGGCATTCCATTTTAGCAGTTCCACGGTGATCGCAGATTGACAAGCTACGAACCAGTTTGCATGACATACAACCTGGTTGTGGACTGCGTGATCAGCTTGAAATGTTCAAACTGAGTCGTCTTGAGTGAACTGTGTGCCGCATACGATGCTCTTGTTTTTTGAAAATATTCAATCGTGATTAATATTGTTTCGTTGTGAATTTTTTCTGCACAATATTCAGGAACCCGGAAGATGGCTGAGGAGGTTGTCTCAGCGCCCGCCGCGGCTCTTAAGTTCTGGACCTAGTAGTGTTATTTCTCAGCTATACTTCCTGATTTTCATAATGGATGCACGCACGTCTCCAATGCCAGGAGCATAATCAACGGTTCAGAAAATCGACAGTGTCGTCAGCGTGTTGAAGACCAAGTCTGTAGTTCAGTGGTGTGAATGGGCGTTTTGATCCGAGTGGAGTTATTGGCGCACAAAAAATAGTAATATGCCACTCTTTTCCATTCAGATCACCTGAGCTTTGCCTGAATTGTTCTTCAAACCCTGGGCATTTCATCGTCCTATGGTAGTGCACATAACTCAGTGGTTATTATCGGACATTTTTTTTTTTTCATAGGGTATTTGGCATGTCCCTCGTTTGGATTCCCTTCGCGACCTCAAAATCATTTTAGCTCCCTAGAGTCAACGCCCACGTACCAAGTTCGACCAGTCATTCAGAAGGCGATGTTTGGCACGATTTAACCATCGCCATGGACCGACATGACTTCGCCACCAAGTAAAATCTCCTAGCCCGGAAAAAAAAAGGATCATAAGACGACCTCGCTGTATAGAATGAAGCCACTCCTTGCGCTTGGTATGATTGGGCACGATTGTCTGTCTCGCCTTCGATGTCGAACCAGTGATCCTTATCTCCCAGGACCATAATACAATTTGGTGTTCCCCGATTATGATTGCAGAAGGGAGAGCAGATCGTCCTCGGTTGTCTTATGACCTTCAGAATGGTGAGCAGAACCTGATCGCTTTCGAAGCCCCAGCGGTGACAAAAGACTTTATCCAGCCAGTTGAGAGTAGGAACACCCCAGCATGCCATCTACCCATCTTCATCGTCGGAATTCGCCCTGAGATGCAACCGTCATCAAAGATAATCCAACGCAAAGTCCTGACTCCTTGAACATCGCTGCTCATGTTGTTCCAGTGCGGCAACCACGGGGAAGAATATGCACCTTCCTTACCTCAGGAATCGGTGCGTTATGTATGCAATGGCGAACGCCACCTTCGAATTTACAGCGCTTGTCGTCCTTAGGATACGGGCCGCAGACCTCGAAGTTGCCTGGGAAAAGGGTAGCTTCAACCAGTCGAGACGAACTCTACCCCACTGCTAGACCCTTGCCGGAGCCGTGATAAGACTGGGACTATCACGACACCCAAAGGCCAGTGCAGCATAAATGGAATAGAAGATTTTGGATGTATGCTAACCTGCGGTAGGCAGCTGTTACCAAAGGGTCCGGATGACGGTCCTAAAAGTGGGATAGTAGATTTTCTCGGCAACACCTGCGTAGCTGCAGGCCTGGTAGGTCGATGATTACATTCTTCCACACCGCTGTTGTGATCTAAAACCTTTCTCCAGTCAAATCATATCAAGCATCACACTCGTGGCATTAGTCGATATACCGAAGTGCCGAAGACGAACTTTCCAACCTGCAGTGATGGAAAGTAGCAGCGTCAGCTATGAAGCCATATTTGATACCACGCAGTACTGTGGTTTCGCTGCTATATATGATTTCTATCTCATATTCATGCTGCGTGTCGTTTGCAACATAGCATATAGGCTACTCCATGCGACCCGTCGGCTTCCTGCGGTAGCAAGCAATTTTGGCGTGGTCTTTCGGTCTTCCTACTCTCGATGTAAGAGCAGATCAGCACCACAAAGAAAACAGCCCCAGTGAAGCTTCGTTCAGCTCACCATCAGCCCTTCACTGCGTTATCAGCGTTTGTCCAGTCCCATCCTCGACGAACTCGGCCGCTGTTCCGCCCCTTCGGCCGCGTTGACCAGTCGCAGACCGCCTCGAGAGTGCTCGGCTACTGGATCGAGGTTCTAGGATGTATTCCAAGGAGGTCGCAATGGCATCATACATCATGGATTTCACGAAGTCGGCTTCATGCTAAGACTTGAAATCGAGCTCCACAGTCAGGAACTCGCGATTCACTGGAGAAGATTGGCTCACACCGATCCTTCGAATTTCCATCTCCGCGACTCCACTGCGAGATGCTGAACGTTCTTCTCCCAGATGAGTATGTATCCCAAACTTGGCTGGAGCTCGTAAAGATAACTTTAATGGCGATCCACGGGTTTACAGGACATACGAACCACATTCGGACACGTCAAGGCCTAGGTGCTCTGCGTGAAACAACAATAATGGCCCTGGCTAACATGCCACAACATCCAAGGATTGAAACGATACTTTGCCATGTTCTAACGCTCCCACCAGGATCAAATTTAAGGATACGAACCGACTTTCCTGACAGTACTATGAAGGATACAGCTCGGGGACCTAGGGCCGATGACTAGCGATTTTTTGTCGCGAACCCCCAGCCTGTTCCAGTCATTGATAATGCATGTTTCTGTCTATCGACGTGTCTCTTTTTTGAACTCCAATTTCTGACCGTTGGAGTTGTTCACCCTGTGTCGAATTCAGGCAGTACAACTGTGCCCCCAAGTCACAGTTCTAATTCCTCAACTTGCGACACTTTCTCCAGCTCCGAGTCGATCGAGGAGCCACCTTGATCCAGAGACCAACCTGAATCAATATTCAGTCCGAGTTCTTTGAGCTTTACACACCAGAAAAGGGGGAATGGGCATCTGTACGCGAGATTTGGGATGGGGGGGAACAGTCATAATCATTGTATCACTCTTCTCAGGAGAGTCATGGGTGTCCCTTTTGCAGAAGTTTGTTGTCAGCAGCTGTTCCTTAAGAAATCGCCTGTCAGCGAATCGCAGGAGTGGTTTGAGTGCCACATCATGGATTTGGTCTACTTGGTAAGCCCATGAAATTTTTCTCCGTGCTTCGTAACATGCTGTTACCTCATACATGGCAGCGCCGTCCTGGTGGTACTCGAGCACGTGATGTAAACGGGCTGTTTGCAGAACAGATGGTTAGGCTACGAAGGACACGGTAGTTCATTTACTCCCCTTCCCTTGATCCATCCACATAGACTAGCAATTGATATTCATGCTAGGCGTGATAATCCATTTCCCTCATCGAGACCGAAGGGCTGATATACAAGCTAGATCCTTACAGATTGCGCGTGGATACTCGATTGAGACCTAGAACCCTCTAGCCACTCAATGAGTCACTGAAAACACTCAGTGACGTACCAGGACCGTCGACGCTCGAGGCTTATAGAAAAGCGAGCCGATGGCTAGAATGTGGCTCTACGTCAGAAGCTGACTCGGGATGGAGCGAAGGGATTGCTATTGCCACAGCGGACCCTGTTTGGTGTACATACCTCCAATGCCGCGAATAGGATATACGGCGGCGCCATCGACGAAGATGATTATTAATTGGCAAATATTCTCGGATCGCGCCATGTCTATGTCAAAGTGCAGAGATACGCTCTTCGGGTAACAGCTCCCGCCGAGGGTACCACCTGCAAAGACTACCGAGCACCCAAAGCATGTATCGCACCTTTTGCGCTATGTTGCCGACAAGAAGAGGCTGAAACACGGCTTCGAGACTTATCCCCTCCCAAAATCAAGGACTGATTCTCACGGCCAGCAGCGCGAACCAAGCACCAACGCCATAATTATTCTCTCAGGCGCAAGGCCACCCAAGAATTAGCCTTGTGCGATGTGTATGCTCTCCCCCTCCAAGCTTTCACCGCTTAGGTGACCTGTGGCCGGAGTATGAGCCAACGGACTTCATTTATGCACCAAACTTCACAATTCATCATGCCCCGCTTCTACCACCGTATGTACTCATGTCTGAAGACAAAAGTAACAAGGCAAGGTTGTTTGTAGCATCGATAAATCGGAATCATTTGCTGCGCAGTGGTTGTAGTTGTCATCAATGTGTTCGCCGTGATGAAGTATTTTACTTAGCCGTGCTGAGGTGTCAACTGGTATGCATTATGATTGTGCAACAAGGTTGTCAGCTATCAATAGTGCTGACGTCTGGTCTAGGGTCAAAAGCAATGTAAGCAAGCGTGCTTTTATGCTCCAAGGACCAACAGCCTCGCATAAAGCATTGAAACATCATGGAGAACTATTAATGTATATGAATGTGACGAATGAGAAGGAAACACACACTTTCTTCCATAACGGTCTCTTTCGTGACTGTAAGCTGTTGGTAATATTAGGTGTAAGGTATGTACTAGGCTGTGGGCTAGAGCCACCTGCCAGAAGACGTCATTTACGCCTGGATCAGCAGTACCTGCGCACTTGATGCTCTGGCTTCAATAGGACATTCACCATTTCTACTCGCAACGGTGCATTTATAAGCCGGTAGTATTCGAGCCTAAGCTTGGATCACCTATAGTACGTCGAGGGTGAAATTTTGAAACGTGATCCTACTCTTGATTTGGAGTCTGACGAGTACAGAGCTCAATTCGGACTGCGCGGGCGTGTAACCACCGTTTTCCCAATGAAGAGTAAAATCCTATCGAGACATCCTCATGATAACAATAATGCCGACGAACCGGCCGCCAAGCTCTATTGGTCAGAAGGCCAGCGCGAACCTCATGATATGCTCAATGCGGTGCATGAGATTGCACAACGCGAGTCACAGGTCGACGATGACCGCATCCCAGAGATGATCTCGCTCCATCAGAAGGGGACCAGGGATTGGCGACCCTGAACGAGGTATCTTGAACATCGGCGTATTTTGGAAACTTCGGCCGATCACGAAGCTGAGCGGAAAAGAGTTTATGCACGCGTGGTGGCAAGTGGTAATCTGTAGGTGTTCTTCTTTATTGCGCTCATTATCATGTACATCCAGTGACTGCGACAACGCCCATCGTTTCCTCTGGATAAACGGCTTCCGTCACCATGACGTCAGCCCTAGCGATCTCATGATTTACCGGACCCCAATTTGTGGTCTAATGATGGGTTCCATCAACGATTATGGCTTATCATCAACTCAGGATGGCCCCGGCGGCCACGAGCGCACAGGAACGGTACCTTTCATGGCGATTAAACTTCTCACGAAGGAAGTCAGTCGAGGGCAAAACAGAGCGCTTGCCATACCAGCACATTGCTGAATCGTGCATATGGGTCTTCACCTGGGTCTGTCTTCGGTATGAGGACGGCGAGCTCCTGAACAGGGACAGGCCACTCTGAGGCGCAAGGAAAACAGAATATAAGTCTCTTGATTACACCAATCCAACTGGAAGATTGCGCGGTCTTGCCTTAGTGCGATCGCCATGTCTTACGTGGAGGACCCTGAACCCGTACTGGAGGGTGAATTTGTGTTTCGGACATGGTTCAAGGCACTGCTGTCATCTCGGATTCGCTGAGAATAATGTCCACCTACGAGCCTACACCTTTCGAGTGCACGCACCACTCTACCATGTTACCAGATATACCTTGTGCATGATACCTTAGTTTGTAGAACATATATGCATCCGTCTGACAGTAACATTGGTGTAGTTACCCTATGTCGTAGAGTTGGAACAAAGATTGAATTGTTTGCCGACCAGTTATAGGACGAAGATCCATAGTGCAATCCGGAAAATGATTATAATGATACATATACAATACAACAAGCTGCAGCGAAATCCCAAAACATCTATGCACCGAAACCGTACAGAGTACGCCCTGAGCGCTTCAGAGCGTAGACGACGTCAAGAGCAGTGACAGTTTTCCGCTTTGCGTGCTCAGTGTATGTTACCGAATCACGGATGACCTACATCAAGATATAAGTATGCATACTTCGATTCGATGAGCAGATATACGCACATTTTCAAGGAAGATCTTAAGGACACCACGGGTCTCCTCGTAGATAAGACCAGAGATACGCTTGACACCGCCACGACGGGCAAGACGACGAATGGCGGGCTTGGTTATGCCTAGGTACGCAGGTGAGACAGAGGACAAGCCCAGAAATCAACGAGTGACTCACCCTGAATGTTGTCACGAAGAATCTTGCGATGACGCTTGGCTCCGCCCTTTCCAAGACCCTTCAAGATATGTCAGACAGGAACCAGGAAAACACCGATTGTAGGCTCACCTTTCCGCCCTTTCCACGGCCAGACATTGTATTGTGTTAAAAGTGAAGTGTAAAGTGCGTGACTTTGTTGTGTTGCGACGGTGAGGCAGGAGATATGGGAGCCCCACAACAAACTGCGAAACTGCTTATATACTATGGTGAGTGGCTGTGCTGAATTACCGTATCCGGGATGTTGATTGGAACGCGTGCAGCACGTGATGACGCGACGCGTCTGTATATAGACCATGGCACACATATGCTCATTCCCACACCAACACCCACATATCCACAATTCGCCTGTGCTTTGTGTAAATCATTCCTTCCTGATTAACAATGGCTCGTACCAAGCAAACCGCTCGCAAGTCCACTGGTGGTAAGCAGTTTTGTCACTTGTGGGTCTAGAATGCGGAACTCGAGCTCACTTCCTATCAGGCAAGGCTCCCCGTAAGCAATTGGCCGCCAAGTCCGCAGCTCGCAAGACTGCGCAAGCAGTACGTGTGATATTTTAACCATCTGGACTCTGCTTACAATGCTTGTTTTCTTCAGAGCACTGGTGGTGTCAAGAAGCCCCATCGTTTCCGCCCCGGTACCGTCGCTCTTCGTGAGATCCGTCGGTACCAGAAATCGACAGAGTTGCTCATCCGCAAGCTCCCCTTCCAACGACTTGTTCGTGAAATCGCTCAGGATTTCAAGGTCAGTCGTTTCTGTATCACTGTAATGCCTCAGTCTGATTGCTCGTTAGACTGACCTGCGCTTCCAATCATCTGCCGTGATGGCTCTTCAAGAAGCTGCTGAAGCGTACCTCGTCTCGTTGTTTGAAGACACGAACTTGGCTGCTATTCACGCCAAACGTGTTACTATTCAACCAAAAGATCTTGCTCTTGCACGGCGGTTGCGTGGGGAGCGTTCGTAGACCCATATCTTGTTCGTATTTGTGTACCCTATTGTATTTCTATCTATTTTACTTCGACACCTCGATATGTGTGCTTGCCGCGTGACTGGTAACTCTATGATATTTGTGATGCATTGTTAGAGTTGCGACGTGGAGAAGCGTGAAGACAGTGTGGTCTGGTGTGGTAAATCGAACGATATATTAGTTATTGAGCACTTGTGGGTCAACAAAGGAAGTTGATATTGCATAGCACAATGGGAGAAATGCAATTACGACGCAGGTATTGGATATTGGACAATGGGACACTGGGACAGACACTGGTGGACTGCACACGTGACCACGCGACGCGTTTCTATAAAGCAGTTCTACATGGTTGTATCCAGGACCGTCATCACATAAATCAGGCCTCTACACTATTGTCCATCAACTCTCTCTGCTCTCTGTCAATAAACAATCATGGCTCGCACCAAACAAACCGCAAGGAAGAGTACTGGTGGTACGTCCCCGCTCTTCCGCTTCACCGCCACTCAAGCTCATTAACAACCAGGTAAGGCTCCTCGAAAGCAGCTCGCTGTGAAGTCGGGAAAAAAGGCTCCAATAAACGCACATCCAGTATGTTTCACCTTTGCGAACTTCTTCTGAACACACCTAACCTCCTCCGTCAGGCTGGTGGAGTCAAGAAGCCCCATCGCTTCCGTCCTGGTACCGTGGCCCTTCGTGAAATTCGTCGCTACCAAAAGTCGACGGAGTTGCTTATCCGCAAGCTTCCCTTCCAACGTCTCGTCCGCGAAATCGCACAGGACTTCAAGGTTAGGGAATCTGAATCGAATCGCATTCAATGTGGCTGACATATGTCACAGACCGACCTGCGCTTTCAGTCATCTGCCGTGATGGCTCTTCAAGAGGCCGCTGAAGCATACCTCGTGTCACTGTTTGAGGACACTAACTTGGCTGCTATCCATGCCAAGCGTGTGACAATTCAACCAAAGGACCTTGCTTTAGCACGCCGTCTGCGTGGCGAACGTTCATAAAGGATTTTCATTTAGATATATTAATTATGTAATCCTCTTCAAGGGTCGTGACTTTGTCGCACCTTGCTATACCTGACTTTGACTAGCGTTTACTTGATTTCCTGTAATGAGAACCAGACTTCTTAGTATTTTGCCACCCAGCTTGTGCAACTTTTCTGGCCTTTCGTTCCATCCTCATACCTGAATTCAAGGCGGTAGGAGTACATTTGCATCACATCACATCTATAAAGTAGTTCCACTGCAATGAACCGTGGTTGTACGGCTTGGAGACCACCACACACCACTGACACCAGGCATCTGCACACTCTCTGTCACTCTCTTTGTCAATGAACATCAATGGCTCGCACCAAGCGAATCGCCCGCAAGAGTACCGGAGGTAAGTGGTTTGAAGTTGCGCACTTATACTCAAGCTCGTTAACAACCAGGTAAGCCTCCTCGAAAGCAACTCGCTGCAAAGTCGCGCGAAAAGGTTCCAGCACACGCACATCCAGTAGGTTCTAGCTTTCTGAGCTTCCGGGCCCACATAATCTCCTTCACTCAGGCGACCGGTGGTGTCAAGAAGCTCTATCGTTTCCGTCCTGGTACTGTTGCCCTTCGTCAAATTCGTCCATACCAAAAGTCAATTGGCAAGCAACGCCTCGTCCGTCAGGTTAAGGTCAAGCATTTTAAATTTGGTTCCGCCAAATTCGCCTGACATATTTCTGTCGCAGACGGTCACCGACCCCCGGTTCCAATCTAACTCGGCTGCTATTCATACCAAGCGTGTGATAGACCTTGCTCTTGCACGGCGACTGCGTGGCGAATATTCGTAGAGGATTATCACTCGATATTGTTGTGTCTTTTGAATTAAACTTGAGAGCCGGCGCTGTCACGGTTATGAGAGAAACGATTCAGGTTGTACTGGCTGACTAAGTCGCAAAGTTGTTCTCTTCTTCCGAGTTCCGACACTTGCCCTCGACCCGATACTTGCACAGTTGCAGCCCTTGCGTGGTACATGACTTGCATATGAAACTCATGCTTCGCCCTGAATGGAGGCTTTGGCCCATCTCCACTTTCCTTGGTGTCACTGACCTCAAAACCGGCGTCACCGTTGTCCTACTGTTCGCAGTAAGCCCTACAGTCACCCCGTCCAATGTCGTGAATATAAATTACTTTACAGCTCCTCAACAAAGTAGCGGGCGTATACGGCTTGATCGCTGTTCTGACTGGTGCAGTTAGCTCTTTTGCACAGCTCAGTCTATACATATATTCAGTTCTCGGCCTCGTCGCACTAAGCTGGGGACTGAAATCCGTCAAAGATGTTCGTCACTTTAGCAAAAGACTTGATTTCTAGCTGACACTGATTTTGTTACAGGAAAACCCTCATCACACACTCTATTTTGCATACTTCTTCTTTGTGGACCATATCCTCTCGACAGCCTGGACGGTCTTCTTCTCCATGGTTTGGTGGATGTATACCCCGCATGATGGGCAGCAAATATCCAATTCACCTGCGCAGGAGGCCATACGGCATGGTGCACCAGCTGTTAACCATACTATGACGGATGCGCAGCGAGCTGCAGAAGCAAATATCTTGTGGCATGAGGAGAAGGGCACTGCCATGGGTGTCATCGTAATCAGCTGGCTTGCCAAGGTACTTGATTACCCAATTCTACGCACATCACGTCCTAAATTCAAATTCCCCTAATTGCACAGATATACTTCGCACTATTACTCTACTCATACGCCACTCACCTCCGCAAGGGCTCCTACAACTCCATCCGACACTTCCGTTCGTATTCAAGTGCTCCCGCAGGCTACACCGCAGCACTCACAGAAGAGGAGGACGAAACTGATGATTTTTACCTACCCTCGATACGGAGGCACCAGCCGTCGCACGTTCTCAATGATTCTACATCACACCTTCCAAACGGCTCACCGTATTTCCCGAACGGCTCTGCTTCATACGTCCCAAATGGCTCCTCCTCGCATGTTTCCAATGGCTCAATATCGCATCTCCCCGATTTTGTGAGCGCCCCGGGAAGACATGGGAGGAAGGCGAGCAGGGGGTTCTCGGGGAAGACCAATATACCCGGGAGGAAGAGTGAGGTGAATGGGGAGGTTATCTTTGAAGACGCTGCGTCTTAGGTATATACTGTTTTTTTTTGCGTTGGTGGCAATCTATCGACGAGCATAATATTTACGATAAGATGCTTGACAGGCCTTGATGTTGATTCCATGAGCAAAATGACAAGGGTGCTGATCTACTAGTCAGCTATGTCTTGGTCACGATTCTTAAAAGACTTTTATTTCTTGAGGCAAGCCTTCGTACTGCCATATCAATCGATGTATTCTTCGGCTGGTTCGATGGTTCCCGAGTTGCGAACAATATGACCTGCCAAGTATGTGGACTTGGTCCAATAAATTCTTGGTTATGCAAGCCTCGAGTTTTATATATAAGTACATGAAGTTCGTGGTCTCCGTGGCGTCCATGTCTCCGTTCACCAAAGCAAAGCATCTCGAAGGACGCAAGTGCTACTACGTCAGCCTGTCCGTAGCTTCTTTGCCTGTGGGCCCTCGTTCGGAGCCCGACCCTGAATTGGGCTCGATTCGGATTCCGCACTTTCTTCCAAGAACCTTTCTTCAATATCCTGCACCCATTTACCCCCCTCGGCTCCTTCAAACAACCATACGTGGCTGAACCAAGACTCGATCAAGTAACGCGCAGACATCACTTTGTTTGACGACACACCTCTCTGCAACACGAACGGGCTCGGTTTTGCCCATCATTTCACTTGAGGTGCGCTTTACTAATTTCCCTAGTGACGGAACCTCGAGACGCTTTCCCACTGGAGGCGGTAACTCCCATGAGAGCTGCTCGCAGAGATGGTGAACGATGTCATCTGCGTTGCCAAGAAGGACGATCTAGTTAATACGAACAGGTGGTTAGTATTACCGACATTTGAAAGTGAAGTCTGGCACGAACGTCGGGATTGATATGCCGGATAGGAGTCTTGTTAATCAGAATCTACCGCAGTGCTTGGCTCAGAGAACGAACAAAACACCTATAATAAACCAACCTGAGGAACAGAGTGCGGAAGATGCGCTGTCGAGGTTCAGCTACTCATCTTAAAAATGTGTGCATTTTCAACTTACAGAGAATCTCGGATACGGGTGAGACCTTCAGCGAGGTTCCGATGACGATTAACAAGTCGACTTTATCTCGATCGTCCTCGAGGGCATGCTCAAAGCCATCCGCGAGCTTTTCTCCGAAGAAGGTGATGTCCGGCTGAACGCCCGAATGTCATTGAGAACTCGCAAAAAAAGAACAAAGGGAGTCAACCAACCTTCATCACGCCGACAGGTATTTCATCCTCTTCTTCCTCACTATCCTCCTCCCATTCCTTCCTACCCCGCTTCTTGGCCTTCTTCTTGGCAGCGACCTTCAGTGCTTCCTCGGCTTTCTTCTTTGCCTCTATGCATACAGTGCAGGACGGGACACGATGTTCCATGATATCTTTTTCGATTTCGGTCTCTGGTATACGCCGTCTGCACTGGATACACGTAGCGGTCGCGAATGATCCATGGCACTGCAGTACGCGAGTAATTCCGGTGAGTGTTTCTAGCGTGTCTATGTTCTGGGTGTAGTTCTAGTGACGACTTTTGTCAACTTCAGGCGAGGATAGGGTACAATAGGACTTACTCGGAGCAGCTATTGATAATCTTCATAAGGTTCATTAGCTCTACGGAAAAGGTGTCAAGACCACATACCTTGCCTCTATCTTCTATAGCTTTGATGAAACGGTGACAAGGAGAAGGTATAAAATTAGATGGATAGATTTGGCTGTAATTGCCGCATTAGTTGGAGTGTTATTCTCTCAGGGTTGGAGCAACAACCTTGCAAATGAGCTTGATGGTCACAATCTCAGCCTGTGGTTAGACATCATAGAACAGCGATACTTACTAGAATACTATGCAAAGCAAATCCAAATTAACGATGCCATCTCACGCAAGACGAGGTCTCTCACCAGCAGGGTTTTCTCTAAAATAGTGTATATCGAACCTGACAGATGTTAGCTTGAGAGCACACGAGATCACCTGATTATCTTACATCTGTTGAGGGTCATCGAGGTCATAGGTCCCCCGTTCCTTCAGCTTGGCGTACAAGCCGTTGTGTGAGCCTAAACAGTTCCTGTTTAACACTGCGTCCAAAATACAAACCGGAGATGTACGCACGGAAGTCTGGAATACCGCATGAGACGCCTATGTACATGTTCAGTGATTCAATCCTAATTTAGCAAAGGTAAAAGACAGACTAATGCCAGCGCCAGTGAGCACGACAATGCGCTTTGAAGCTCGGATCAGGGAAACCGCATCGGCGACGGTGTTATATTGGGGCAGTTTGTCTCTGAGATGAAGTCTTATTGTGAAACATTCGAATCAACATCAGTGGAAGCTCAAGAGAATCTATAAGAGTTCGCCCACTGTTTAGACATCGCGACCCGCAGAAAATATAGCATTGTTTGAGGTTGCTTATTCCGCAATTCTGGGCACTATACATCAAGTTAACGTTTCTATTATAGATGACATCATGAAATGGTGGGTTACCAAGGAAATCCCGAAAGCGAACAGAAGTTTCACTATCGGAATGTTTCGAGTCATAACATATTCCCTAACAAATGAACTCATTCCTGTAAAAAATTTGATATGGCGCATGATTGAGTCCATGGTTCCACGTTTTTTGTGGACATGGGCTTACCACGTTCTTTCAGGTGATGCGTCATCTCCCGGACTTCTTCCTTTGACCATGCTTCGTCTGCTAAGGTGTACAGAGGTAACGTCAGGACAAGCACTGAAAAGACGCTCCAAGGAGTGCTCTTTCATACTTCGACATCAAATGATAATACATACCTTCCCGCTTTAATTGTTCTATGACCTCAGTTTCCATTTCTAGATCACCCAGGTCGCCACTCTCCTCTATGGCACTGTCCTGGTCATGCACAGGGACAGCTAGACTTCCTGAGTCCAAGTCTTCATCGAGGTCACTCCCTTCGACTTCCTCTTCTCCTTCGCCCAAACCTTCGAGCAGGTCCTCGATTGTATCTGGATCCACGTCCACGTCGTCTGCAGCATCTATGAAGGCTCTTAGCTGAAGAGCATATAGTGCACTATATGTCTTTATATTTTCCCTATTTTCCGCGGCGGTTTCTTGAACAGAGGGAGGGTCTGGTTGTCCGTCTGATGTGCACATTTGTGAACGAGGATGGAGGTGCCTAAGCCTGTCGTTAGTCTGACACATTGAAAATAGCGCAGCTAACGAGATACTTTGGGGTGCACTTAGCTGGGCAAATTACAACGCCTCTGGCGGTCGTAGGGCTCAAGCGCGAGCCCTCGCCAATTGCGTTTGTCGAAACTGCAATTCAATATCCAGGATCTGCACATTTCACGTGATCAACAATTTATCGCGCACGTGATGCCCCTGAGAATAGACTCCAGCAAGGACCAGCATTAATATTCATGGACGTCGCTTCTCTCATTCAACTACGATGTCTCTAGATTTTGACACTACCTTGTTCGGAAGCTCTGACTTTGAAGACGATTATGACGCGGATGCTCTCGATTCACCAATTTCTAGCTCACAGAGCGCATATACCCATACTTTTACCTCCCCAGTTCCAGAGCAACGCGAGAGCCAACCCAAGGAACTCCCTGCTGCAGATCAAATCACTCACATAAAGACACCTCAACTGCCGATCGAGGTCATCGATTACATCGCTTTTTTCTTGTTCGACTCATGCCCTTCTGGCTGCTTTTCCCATATCCACTCGTTCTCTCTGGTTTGTTCTCAGTTTAGACACGTTGCTTTGCGTCATTATTTTTCTTTCATTCGTGTTGCGTCTGCAAAACAACTTGCTGCATATACCAATATTCACTTCTCATTGACTTCCCGCAATACCCCATGCGACAGTATTGGATTCGACTTCGTCAAGTGCGTTCGCTCGCATATATGCTCCAATACACTCACTCGCTAGGATAATCCTTGACAGAACACTTATAGCACCATCGCACGCTCTTGAAGCAGCATCGTGGTACCCATCTCTTTATAGGAACCTGAAGGACTTGATAATCTCGTTCTCATCGGACGGAAGACAATCGCAGACAACCCGACTAAAGCGCATCTTCTCACCACCGGAAATCCCCCTGACCCCATGGTTCCCTCCTCAGCTGACGTCTCTCACACTGACAAAACTCTGGCGAATCGACGTACCTCTGCTGAAAACGGTTGCATCTGCGTTCCCTTCTGTGAGGATCCTGCATCTTAGTTGCTCCGAACAGCTAGACGTCTCCTGCTGTTGGCCTTGTTTTGAAGAAAGCTCAACTGCTGTCGTGCACTCGCCAATTCCGAATTACTTTCATGATATCACAAAAATGACGGTATGATTAACTGTGTCACTTCTTTTCAACAAAATCCGACGCTTGACAGGACGACTTCGCGGATTCACTGGAACCACTAACCCAGCTGGCCGATCTTCACCTCGGTGTCTTTCTCTCAGACGAGGAGATGGTTGAAAAGCATCTCGAGCACTACGACACCCCATTGACTTTCGACCACACGCTCCGCACAGCATTCAGTCCCACCAAAGTTGCATCTCCGCCTACCGCAACCACCCTCAGTCAATCAGAAACCGAAACTCCCACTAGATTCATATCCTATTCAGTAGACCAAGATAGCGACAAAGAGGATTCCCATTCCGGAGCCTGTACCGAAGACCTGCCCTTTCCCCATGGCCCAGAGCTCTGCCGCACATGCAAGCTCGTTGGATCCCCCTCCAAGGTACGCACACGAGAGCTAGAAGCAAGTCTCGCGCTCGCAAGAAAAATCAAGACGTTACAGACGGTTGGCTGGAGCTCGTTCTTCACATACCAGGTCTTCGAGCCGGAGGAGACCAAGGTTGGCGATTGGCGAAGGAGGACAACAGTCTACATTCTACGCGCGAATGGGAGGGTGCGAGTGCGTAGGAGACCCTGGTAACGCGATTTTTTGTAATCAGATGAGAACACATTTCTTCTCTATTCAAGATCGAGTTATGGAAGCATCGTAGCATCTCTTCGTCTCTGAAATTTTGGTACCGCTGTTCTGTTCTGTATTACACGCAATTGATGCTGCCATTTTGAAATCACATCATCCGAAAGTCCTTAGTTAAGTCGTACGTGGACGACAAGTTGAATGCGTTATCGGATAGCAAGGAGAACCAGAGAGGCAAACAATGGGCCAATCGATTGTGCCACTCGGAGGTAGTTCAGCCAATGCTGGAGTGTGGTCAAGTCCACAACTTTGATCAATTGTCAATTGCACCGTCCACAAATCACACGTGTGTACAAGCAACTCATTCACGGCGACCGTTCAGTAGCCGAAAGTATTATAAGGACAACCCCACCTTTGCGTTCCCCTCGTATTGCATCGCACGCTCGCCTCCCGAGTGGCTCTGAAAGTCTAATCTTCGAACCTCATCATATTTATACCCACACCCCTAGTTTACTTACACTCCGTTATGACAACTGCTATTACGAAAACCAACCCCAAGACGGCTGAATTTGCTCGGCTTTTTGAATTATTCGATCGCATTGCAACGCGGCGCGCTAGGGGCTCCACGGAGCTAGCGATCTCTATGGACGACATCCAAGCAGTCCCAATCGAATTTGCACCTGTCCTGAAGAATTTGTCGACTGTCCTCTCGATACGCGCTCAACGCGACCAAGAGCGCCTCCGTAAGCCCACGGGCCGCCCCCGCCGCAACACTGTCGCTGTCGCACCGACGCCGAACGAGACCACCGAGGTTGTAGAGGCTATGCGGAGCCCTACATTTCCCCTGGAAGAGCATCACCCGTTCACATTTAAGCTCATGTTACATAAATTATACAACGTTGACGAATGGGCCGAGAAGGTGAAGAGTGCTGTGGAAGCGTCAAAAGAACAATTCAAACCCCTGGCGGAGAGGATGCAAGAGGTGGTCAGGGAGACGACAGGAAAGGAACGAGCTGCAAGGAGGAACATCGCCCGGTCCAGGAGTCAGTCCGTGTTAAACTCCAAGTGCAAGGGGAAGGCGGTTTCCCGAGAACACATTCCCACATCGCCACCACCTCCGAACGACTTCAGTCGAGTGTTGAAGAAACGCTGCGTTGGGCGGCGCAAATCTATCAGTGGGCCACTCGCTCGGGGTGTATGGGTTTACGATGCAGCCATATCTGCTATTGAACTGGAAGGCTCTCGCCCATCCCTGGAAATCACCATCTCGGAGTCCAGAGACAGGGTGAACAATACCAATATTCGGTCTCGTCACCAATCTCTCGCTGGACTGGAGGGTATTCAGGATCGGGACACCGCCCGTAGGAAGGTCAGAATCGCAATGCCTTTGACACGCGACGATGTACAGGGCACCGCATCCCTCCATCAGCAGACCGCCCCACGCAGTGCTCGGCAAGGCAACGCTGCAAGAGATTTCTTCCATAAGGCCACTCCCGCACGTGGGTTATCCATAGTAACTGAGGCTGGACCGTCAGGGCAACACATGAAACGCCCTCTTTACGCACAGTAGTTCGGTTCCAAGCAGGTTTGGTAGGATAGTCTGGACAATTTATGATTCACTCAACAAATGAAACGACCTCTTAACGCACAGTAGTTCGGTTCCGAGCAGTTTTGTTACGATAGTCTGCACAATTCACGATTCAGTTTGTATATAATACTACCTCAAGGCGACTGTCACATACTTACTTCGACTGTTCCATAGTACAGAGTGCCACATACTTCCGCTATAATATATTGCAGTTTTCATCATGACGATTGCCGGTGATTCAAGGATGTCGAGATTCGAGTGACGAGCGCTGTAAGTAAGAGCTAAGTGCTTAGCCTTTCCCTTGACCAATCAGGAGTGCATTAGACCTGGACTTGAAGGAAGTAAGTATCACCCATCGAAGGTCTCTCATGGAAATTGGAATGTATTCGATGAAAGTCTTGTAAACTCGCCGGACAATTTTTCATCCAGTCGGAGTCGATACAGCAGCCTTATGCGCCCCGCTTGAGAGAGCGATGTCGAGGAGTTCCACCAACAGCATTGGGAATGCGGGAAATGGAAAGAACAGGAACTCCAAGATGTGAGAGAGGAAGACGTTATCAAGCGCATTCCCAGTATAGAAGGATCGGGTAGTCTCCCCTAAGGTAAGTACGTACTGTAAGACAAATGCCCAAAAAAATTATAAAAAATCTCATATATAATCCCTTGATCAGGAACATCAGTGGAAAAGGTTTGAAGAGATGGTCAGTCAAGTAGCGACAGAGTGCTATTAAACATCAAAAAGATGACCTCTCCGACATGATCTCCTCCAGCTTGTACCTTCTCAACGCAGCATGGAATTTGACATACCCATCAAAAAATTTGATGTAAGCGTCATAGGCGTCAGTACGCAGTCTCAGGAATTCGAGGACATTGTGATGCGCTTTCACAGTTTTCTCGATGACTTCATGCAGAACGTCTTGTTTAGTGAGAGAACGAGAGGCCGCCATGAGTGACAAGTAGTTTGCGGTGTCACCTTCAATTTCTTCTTTATAGTATGACAATATATCGCTATTTAATGACAGGTTAGAAAATCTAACAGGAAATCATTAATTGATGAACTTACTTTGTGTGGTTTATGGCAGTGGTTAGATCCGGCATACATTGAATGTATTCCCGAAGGGGGAGCGTGGAAGGGAAAATGAAGAATCCATATGCATCCGCCAAGCCTGAGAGCAGCCTAGAATATTCGGGGTACAAGGGAGTCTCTGGTGAGATCTATGACGGAGGTGTAAAGATTGAAGCCGCTTTTATTGAAAAAAATCCCATACCTGCATATCCTTGGTCTCATTGTCAAGTAAAATGGAGGACATGAAGTTGAGCGAAGACGCGACAACCAAATTTGACACCGGGGGGGAATAATGGCGAGCGGCCTCCCGCAAGAGTTCATCGAGCGCATTCAGGACTGGATCGCCCTGTGGCTGGCAGCTCGCGAACCGCTCGTTGAAACGGTACACATGCACCAGATCTTCTCCCCTGTCCATCATGTCGTCGATGCAGGTGCTGACGGAAGTGAAGAGGCAGATCCACATCTTCGTTGCACGGTCAGGGAGATGGTCATAAGCGTTAGACATTATAGCCACGCCAACGGCCATGTACGGGAGGATGGAATACTTCCCGTCCATCGGAAAGCCGCGGTTGATGGCCTCCTGGCAGCATTCAGAGTACCACGCTTCGTCAATCGCAATGTCCATATATTGCAAGCCACAACGCTGAAGAAATTCGGCGATGGCCTGGCGGAGGCTTGTTAGGACCTATATTTGACATTAATCGGGGCCTGGAAGCGTAGCAGAATAAATGCACGTACGTCACCATCCAGGGGTGAGGTGGACAGGTTTTTAATTGACATCGTAAATGATTAGCAGATGGAGACTGGCGAGAGAATGGTTGCAATGGGTTTCACCTACCCTGTACTTATACTAATGTGAAACCTCTCTTAGAAATAGCTCTGCGCCTGATGTCAGTTATTGCAAGTCAAGCACGGAAGAGAGTTCTCGCATTCCGCACATAACCGTTCCGACATGACCGTGGAGCGACCGTCAGCGTCGTGCAGATTGTCAAGCAGGTTGAAAATGATCGGCAACTTCATAGTGAATTGCCGATAAGTAATGTCCTTCGGAACCAAGGACCGGATGAGTTGCTACCAATGCTACTCGATTCGAGTAGGACGCACGGCAGTCCTTTCAAAAGCGCCTGAGCTCTGCATATCATGGTGGGTGACCAAGATCCTACTAGGTTGGTATGCGAAAATACCATTCTACAATACCGGTGGTTCTCTATATATAATTAAATCCCCAAGTTCTCTTGTGGTGAGCGTTTGCAGTGAGGAGATTACCGCGGTGCCACCATCTGATTGAGCGTGCTCCGAGTCCGTCGACCAGATCTGGGTCCCTGGGAGATAAGACAACTATCCTGATACGGAAGGAAAGACTACAATGTTCATTGTACGGGACTAGGCAGAACCGGTGATCTGCTACATAGTTGTGCACTGTCGGCTGTGTCGGGTATCAGGTTCCCTACTATTAGGCTGCAGAAGGTGTAAGGCGGCAAGTACTCAATTGCCATGTGCAAAATAAGACAAAAGCACCCACCGAAACTACTTAGTAACCTGGAACAGTCCTAGTACAAATTTACATCGTATTTCTGGAATGTCTTACCGGAACATTGACCAGTCGAGTGTCGTGTAGAATATCACAAGGGATATGAAGCCATTGAGAACGTAACTAGCAGTGTCCAGGATCGGGGAGGAGTCGTTGAATGATACGCTATCTAGATCTTTGAAAATATTCGTGGCAAAGAAAATGTCCTTCAAGTTGTGTAAACAAATGTATATGTCTTTGTCTGCCGCAGAAACTGCAAGGAGATATTGGTATTCTTGTGTCGTAAAATTCCTTTAAAATGAGTCCAAAAAAGACGATCGATAGGCTCTTGCACCATCGCGGTGGATTCAGATTCACGGGTAAGGAACGTGGAATAGGCTGTGAATCGAAAGCCCATGCACGGATCAATTATCCGCGGCCAGATGGGTTCCCCATTCAGCTGGGACTTTGAAGAAAATTGTTCGAAGTTTTCTGGGAAGGTGGTTAAGGGCCGCCATCCCGGCTCTCAATTCCTAGTTTTTCTTCAACCTGCATTAGTTGGCTGCACACTATGCTGCGTTTTCGAAGCGAGGGTCCATAGAATAAAAGAACTTTTCGTGGTGCATCAGCGATGAAATGCAGGAAGGTATCGATCAACTTACGAAAGGAACTGGAATCAGAATGACAGCGACGCCTCCGAAAATAGTGTTGGCCCATTTGTACGTGAGCTTGTCGAACATCGTCTGAGAGAATAGAGGGAATCCAAAGCTACCAAAGTTACCTACAGTTTCTCAGCATCTCTCAGCATGCGAATACAAAATATTGGTGGCAACGTACGAGCTAAGCCTTGACTTGCAAAAGCAGACGACGCAATTGGACCGTAGCTATGCGGGGAGATTATGTTGAACGCAGACTGTGGGGAGGTGCTACAAGGTACTTGCAAGTCTGCCAAATATATGAAAACCACTTAATAATGAACAAAACATGAAGATCTGATTGAACCGTTTGATGAGCGCTTCCGGTCCTAGTACACATAGAATAATGAACACACTGTTAAGCCGACAACAGGCCACATCCAGAAGATGCGAGGATCTGCCGTCCATGCATAGATGAACATCGAGGTAGGCAGCAAGAGTGCAACTACACAAGCGGTGCATGGCCTTGCTTCAGGGCCTCTCTGAGAGACGTATTTCCTGAACAGATCAGTTAGTTACAATACATAAATTTATGCAATTTGCCTACCGGTGCATTGCATCCTGATATAAATTGGCACAGAGTTCCAATAAACTTCCAACGCTGCGAGGATGAACTGCATAAAAAGGTCAATCCATCAGTTTCAGGGCACTTACATGACGGTAATGAGCACTAATCCACTCTGCCACGTTGAAGTGATATAGGTTCTTGAAAACTGCGGACACGGATCTGCTCGAATTACTTAGCCACAACTCTTCACTTTATTATGTGAGTAATAAATTCGCATACCCGGGCTGGACGCAGAGGACGCCGGACATGAAAAAGACCCAAATCTGTGGAGAGAACTTTAGAAACAACGAAAGACGGCGAGAAGGGGTACAGACGCAGATACTGGTCACGATCGACTCAGTGAGGACAAACACTACTGAACATTAGGGCTACATTGCACAGCAATCGTCAAATAACGTACTGATTGGCCGAGTACACAATGTTTTAATCAGTGCGCTCAATTTCGGCCTCATCTCCGCTCCCCGGACGTGGTACCGATGGTTCCCAGTTTCCCTACAGAGCTTCCTAGCGATGCCTCGAAGGATGATTTGAGATCGAGTCCCCTCCATTATAAGCAGGCTGACGAGGGAGTAGGTCCCGTGAACGCTGCATCGGATTGTCATTCGAGCGTATCATGGGGATAAGATGGACGCACATCGCTTGAATTCTCTGGATCCATCTCCCACTGAAGATGAGGGTCGAGCTCCAGCCAACCAGAGATGATAGACCCTAGACCAGTGGTAACTATGGCCACCAGGAAGAACACGGCCACCGGTAGGCCGCGTCTAGAACATGGAGCGTAAAAGCCCATGACAAATGATAGAGTCGCAGGAGCTGCGGATGTGGACCAGCCAGTGACATTTTGTAGGGATCAGTAAGCCTTACAAGTGATTCCATTGAACGCACAGACGACTAAAGTGATACACCATTTTCGCAGCCATGAGTAGTTGACTGGATTCTTCGGCTCTCCGGAATGAAAATCCACCTGGTAGTATTGGTGTTGAATATACTCGATGGACATGACTGGGAAAGTAATAATACTAACGTAGAACGAGTCTGTGGGGGAGAGTAGGGTCGACGCAGATTTGCAGGCGTCAGGAAAGGTTTTGATAGAAAGAGTCTTCACAGGACTGATGGGTACGTCGAGGAGAGTTGCAGTAGTAGAGGGTCCACTTTCTGGCGAACTGGGACGCGTCAAGATAATTTCGTCAGGGGCGTTGTCCGTGCCCATAATTGAAATTGGAGAAGGGTGTACCGCGGTGACCATGCTGAGTGGACTCTTGTTGGTCCAAAAACCCTTGAGGGCTTTGGTTTTTGAAGAGAACGAACACCGTCATCTCGGCAGCAGAACTGTCGTACTCGAAAAGTGGTGACTTCATTTTTGAGATTCTGGTGGGTGGGGCGCACGTTACGTATTCAGCTAAGTCTATTGAGATGACTGGAGGGTCGTTTATGACAGTGGATTGCCACCTTCAATTTTGCAGCGCACACTCGGAGAGGACTTCATACAGATCCGGCTGTTGGAGGATAGTATAGCCGTAGCATCATTATCAAGAGTTAGTATGCCAATGTAACAATTTATGGATCCACGGACGTCAGTATTGTGTTGAATTGTGGTGTAGAAATGGTGGGAACCGAAGATCGCTCTGAAGACAACGCACGGAAGTGCAACAACACGGGCCGTCACAGAAGGCCGGCATTTTGGCCGTTCTGTTGAGTCACAGACCGCGTAGTATGAGGTTATGGATCGATGGTGAGTATTATTGTTCCAATTATTAAATGTAAAGGATGAGGGTCACGCTAGATGTAGTATTAGCAAGCTGTCACCGCTATTTATTTTGGCTCTCGCGCAGCGGGTTAGAAGGATACTCATGCTGTCAGCTAGAGCTGCAAGAGTAGCTTTGAGAGCTAACACACCGACTTCGAGTGTTTGACATCTACTTTCTACCAGCTTCATCAGCAAATTCCACCACACCATCAGTGTCCAAAACGCCTCTTTTAACGTTTTCGCCACGAGCACGAAGGAGATCCTCAATATTTCTGAGTTTTCCATCTTCCGTGCTATCTTTGAACCAACCGAGATTATCAGCGATGAGATGCCTGACGGGGTAAATATAGTTGTAAGATCTTGCAGCGCCAAGATTGATGAGCCCGCACCTATTCTTGCATCCGGGGCATTGGACAATGACAATACCGCGTTCGTATGCACGCTTCGTAAACGTATGCGAAGAACGATGGGAGCACGCTTCTGCTGTACAGGTAAAAACGATGCCTAAGCGAGCCTCTTGAATGGGAGAATCGTCCTTAATTTGATCCGAAGACCCAGAGGGATGTGAAACCGAAGAGTTTGCCAAAGGCTTGGACGGATGCGAGGACGAATGTGACCGGATGGTTCCAAGAGCCAGACAAGGCGTCTGTGAAGCTCTTCGGAATGGCAATCTAGCGTATGGCCTAACGTTGGCAGTGTGGGGTATAAGGATAGGGCTAATGTTACGAAGAAGCCTTGAGGGTAAGAGGATCCTGTTCATACTGACAACTGACTATGAGCAAAGTTAGCGAATGACATGGCGAGCATTTTCAATCTCCGCAAACTATTAAAATCGTTAATTAAGGTTTGCTTAAAGTCAATTCTTATCCTCTCGCACAGCGTCAAAGTGCACAAAAATTCGCAAAGCTGAGAAGCCTATCGCCGCAGAAATAAAACATGCGGCTCGTGACATTTCCTCGAACTTCCAAGATTTAATCCATTGTGCGGTGCGTATGAAACCAAGAGGAGGTATTTTGTGAACGCAGGACCGTATATGCTTCATCTACTGATACCTACGTTATCCTCTGGCTCTATCTGCACGCTTCGAACCAACAGTACTTGCGTAAGTTCTGTGCCATACTACCGTTGCTGAATTGGCATTCAGATCGAGTAACGGCCGGACCGCTGCAAGTAGGTTTAACATTTAACTTGATGGAGTAGGCACTCGTCTCGCCGTTTTCCGATGGATACGTGCTTGACGGTGGGCTACCCTCACGGTGACTTAGCAATGGGGAGTTCTGCTCTGTGGTAATGAGCGGTGTATTTTCTGCGTGCCAAAAAGCGCTCAATCTGGCTATATCGTCTGACATAGGAAGTACCTGCGCTGTTAGAAGATTTTCGCCCGTTGCTGGTCTGAGGAGGAAGGTTCATTTTGGTCTGTTTGGGGCATGCAGTCTGCCAAGATGAAATACGCATATATAGCCGATGGGGGCCGCCAGAGCTTCCGAAGGAGCAGGAACTTGAACGAAAACCCGAAGAAACTGATGCGGCGTTGCGCCATACGTCAGCCCAATAGCACACGCACAAGCGCAAGTCACATACATGAATAATAAACTGAACTCGGTTTCGCTTCATAGATATCATACGACTAGGCTCTGCCATCCGGCGAGAACAATGCTGGTTAGTCAGATGGTGTCAATGGAGTAAAGAACACCATAATACACCAATTTCTGGTGTATTATATCAAATTCGCTCTTGGCGCCGTAAGTCAAGCTTAGTAGCAGGTCCCTCCAACGTCAACTCGAGAAATCTGTATGCATAGAACGGGGTCGAAGAAGAGTGTAATAATTTCGGAATACGGCGGTACCAATGAGAGCATCATAGGAGGTGCTCACGTCAGCGGGGTGTACTTATGGACATCCATCATCCAAGCTTAAGCGCTTAAGCAGCGAGTCGCATTTCCAGCTCCGCATCCACTATTGAATCTTTATGTTCCCAGTTTGCAAAGTCGGTTCCGGTCGAGATGCGCACGCGGATGCCTAGTTGCCTTCGACACTTCTCTTCCGAAGAGTAAAATCTGCTAGTGCAGTATATAAATAAATGATAACAAAACTGCGATACCCTCCTCGTCGGACCTCCTTATCGCAGGGCTCATAACAAATTCGCTTCTAGTATATGTAGAACTACTTATGCATGATTACAGTGATCCATTCTAGAACTAACATCCTTTTGATCAAGCACAGACATGTTACCAACGTCCCCTGTTCTAAATTCGCATCCTCTTCAAGTTCAGAGTGCTCTCGAAGCCCATTCGGACGCTGTCACAAGCCCGGCGTCGAGCGAAGTCAAGGTGTCCTGTGACTGCTGCGCCGCTATTGACACAGATGCATGTCGTTCCATCGGTCTCGAGAAGGAGAAACCGTCCTGCTCCGGCAAAGACAACCAGAAGGGCTCATGCTGCAGCGGTGGGCACTGGAACGTGACAGCGAGCCCTTGGGGATGCAGCAGTGAGGAGAAGGACGGATGCTGTGGTAATGGACCGGGAGAGCGTGTGGCTTCGGGCTGCAGTTGCGGAGATGATGAGAACTGTGGTGGAGAGGTAGTAAGTAGTTGCAGCGAACAGAAAGTTGATAACATTGACTCTGATGGTAAGTTCTCTTCCTCAGCCCATCGCTCTAAATTTCTCTCTGGGTGTTCGCAACTGACATTTGTCTTCTACGTTCGGCAGATTCTGCTTGCATGTGCTGCATCAATATGCTCGTCAATGAACCAGGTCTACAGGGTGAGCTGATTGACCCATAACTTCGATTCCCGATACTATCGTCCCATTGGTACTAGCCCATCCCACATCATCTTCCCCCAACAATCTCGCCGGCGCTACGATTGCTTACCTTGACGCTTACGCCAGCACCCTTCGTGCGTGCTGCAGAGCCCTTGAGAAATACTGCTCTCGTCGCTCCTGCTGCTTCGTCCCACGTCCCGCCGGCTCGCTGACACCCTCGTCCTCCGCCCCTTTCTCCCTGCTCTCGTCGCGCTCAGGGACTGGCCAATCTTCCCAACCTGAAATAATTAAAGTTCCGACAGCGATCAGTGCTGGTGGGGACATCAGACCTGGGGAGAAGCTTCAGCTGGAGTTACGCGGCATGGACTGCGCTGACTGCGTGGTAAAAGTCGGACGTGCTTTAGCGCAGCTTCCCTCGGTCACTCTTGTGAACCTGGACTACTTCAGTGGCCTTGCAGAGCTGCAGTACGACGTCGAGACTATCACTCCCGCCGCCATAGTTGCATACGTCGCGCGTGCAACTGGTTTTGGCATCAAGGCCTTGACTGCGACCTCCGGGGACGCGGCGGCTGCCATCGTCACGCTACCCCTCTCATTCTCGACCATGCCGCCTCCTGAAGCCTTCGATAGCTTTGATACACGTTTTGGTTCAAATCCTCACATCATCGAAGTTTCTTTTCCCGTTCATATTGACTCTTCCCATCGACCTCGTGACGTTCTTGAGCAGTTCAAGGTCTTTGGTGCTGAACTCGTTCCTGCTGGGTTCGACGGGCACCGTGACATGGCCACACACGACCTCATCGATGTGGGTGTCCGTACAATCGCTTGTGCCGTCCTCTCCATCCCTGTGCTTATACTCGCTTGGTCCAACCTCCCTTACCAACCAGTCCTCTACGGTTCCATCTCTGTCGGGTTCACCACACTCATCCAAGTGTTCGCTTTCCCGATCGTTTCCTCAGCCTGTCGTTCGATCATTTATCTACGACAAGCCGATATGAGTGTTCTCGTTGCCATCAGTACCCTTACCGCCTATGTATTTTCTGTTGTCTCTTATGCATTTGAGGTCGCAGGCAGGCCCTTTTCTTCTCCCTTTTTTGAGACCAGTGCTCTCCTTGTCACTCTCATCTTCCTTGGACGTACCATATCCGCTGCCACACGTCGCTCAACAGGTTCTGCCCTTCGAGAACTCCGCAGGCTCCAGCCGACTGATGTAATCCTCCTTTCAGGCGAGAACGAACTGCCCCAAAGTCTAGATTCTCGCCTGATTTTCTATGGAGACATCATTCGCATCCCTCCTGAGACTCGAATCGCGACTGACGGACTTGTCGTCAGTGGTTCGAGCGACGCGGACGAGTCATCTGTCACAGGCGAAAGTGTTGCTGTACCTAAGCAAAAGGGCAATCGTGTTATCGCCGGCACGCTCAACCTCAGTGGCACGCTCGACGTTCAGGTCACCCAGCTCGTCCACGAAAACTCGCTCTCTCGTATCACAGCCCTCGTCAAGCAGGCTCAGTCGTCACGTTCCCCTGTTCAGGACCTCGCCGACAAGCTTTCAGCCATAATTCTTCCCGTAGCAGCCTGTTCCGCTTGTATTGCATTCCTCGTCTGGGTTATCGTCGGCCGCTATGTTTATCACTACTCAACAACCTCATCCTGTGTTGATGCTCTCACATATTTAATTGCCATTCTCGTCGTCAGCTGCCCTTGTGCTATCGGTCTTGCTGTAAGTCTGCTTATTCCTTGCACCTGGCGTTGTACTCACTCTTGTCGTGTTGATATCTGCCCACAGATACCTATGGTCATTTCTGTTGCGATCCGCATTGGCATACGTGAAGGCATACTCTTTCGTTCAGCTGACGCACTGCAGAGGGCCCATGACATCAATGTCATAGCATTCGATAAGACCGGCACACTCACTCAGGGCTACTTTACGACGGAATGTGTTGAGATTCTAGTCGAAGGTGCAGAGCAGATCATCAACACGCTAGTCAAGGACAACCGACACCCGATTTCTCAAGGTGTTCACCGCTACCTCACCGCTCGCCTGTCTGCTACGACACAACATCGTGGAGGCACTGTTACAGACATTGTCTCGCTCCCAGGGAAGGGGATAAAGGCCTCGGTCTGCGGGTTTCCTCTTCTTGGTGGAAGTCCTACATTCACCGGCGCATGCTCTCATCCACTTTCCTCGGAACTTCAGTCTTCGGGCCTTACCCTCTTCACCGTCACACTCGCTGGTCAAGCGATCGCGTTCTTCTGTCTTGCTGATACACCGCGACCTGATGCGAATGCCCTTGTAATGGAGCTCGCTCGTCGCGGCAAGGATGTCATGATTTTTAGCGGTGATACACCAGCTGCCGTGAACCATCTTGCACATGCTATTGGCATCCCCCTCGACAAAGCTTTTGCCTCATACACCCCTGAGGACAAGGATTCCGCGATCGCCGCATTGCAAGCCAAGGGTCAACGGGTTTGTTTTGTCGGTGATGGCACCAACGACGGGCCAGCTCTCTCTCGGGCTGACGTTGCGCTCGCCATTGCAGCAGGCTCAGATGTAGCGCTTACCGCTGCTGGGGCTGTGCTTTTGGGCTCGGATCTCCGTCGTGGCGTTCTCGCTCTGCTAGACATTGCAACAGCAGCGCGAATCCATGCATACTGGGCCCTCGTGTGGTGCATTTTCTACAACATCTTTGCGATCCTTCTCGCATCGGGTGTGCTCGTCAAGGTTCGTATTGAGCCACGCTGGGCTGGGATTGGTGAAGTAGTTAGTATTCTCCCTGTAGTCGCCATTGGACTTGGGCTTGACGTTCGCAGGAGATCACGCCTTGGAATGCGTGGTTATAATTAAAGCACATGTCTATCCATTCTCATTCATACTTTATGCATGTCGTCATTTTTTTTTACTCCCCACTTTGTGTACACCCAAAATGTTTGAAATCTATGACTGATATATCATGTGTTTCACTCGTTCCAGTGGGCAAGATTTGATATGTCTCGAGCAAATGTAGGTAAGATGAATACTATCATAGGTATCAAAATAAATCATGTAGTGTCAAACAGCTTAATCATGGATTTGATATCTTGCCCACGGTGGTGTACTTTCGCTGGTGGTAGAGCAAAGGCAACGTCCGTAATCCCTCATTCTCGAGCTGACCCTCTGGCTCTGGAATGTCCTCCACCCTCAAAACGCGTGCGATGAATAGCTCCGAAGCCAACCCGCCACTGCCCTCTACTTGCTGCACCTCCGCTTCCCACGCATCCATGCTCGAATGCAACCACCGCGTATCACTCAAGGGCAACGACCGTCCAACCACAGCGCAAGAAATGGCGCCTAAAGCACCTTTGATAACCGGGAGACCATCCGCGGACAGCACCCACTGCACCTCCGAATCCGCGAACGGAAAGGGGTGCAGGTCTGGACTGGAGAACAGTCGTGCAATATCGGGTTGTGCAGCAGAGAGTATATTGACGACCATGTGAGACGACATCTGCGTCTGCGCCTTTGCTGCATGGGCATTCAGAGCGAGAGCCATGCGTGATGGAACACGGAGGGAGAACGCGACGAGTGGATGCGGATCGAGTGCGATGGACGTGAAGGACGACAACGTAGCGCCATGAAAGATCGATGATACTTTTTTCTGTCCTTGCACAGACGAATTACTGTGTTGTGTAGTTTCATGGTCTGGTAGGGTAGACGTGACTACCGCCACAGGTTGGGCTGTCTCTCGGAGAAGCTTGCGCAAAGAGTTTTTAACGAGCTTTGTTTGCGCAGACGGTACAGAGCTGTAGCTTCGGAGTAGGCTGTGGTTCAAATTATGCGCACGTCTGATAGGGCTCGTGCATGACTGAAGCATACTGACGCGGTCATACTTACAAGCCACTTATAAAAGTACAATTATGGTTGTGCTGACTAATATGGACTTAAACCTTTCGCTGTCTTGACTATGAATGGGAATAATATTGTTGTCAGAGAAGATGTAAGTCAGAGAGTCCTACAGGTCGCTCTTCTCGAGCATTCCCTGTATGTTCAGATATGCACATGATACATGGTACTTCACAGTGAGGTGAGCTATGACTATTATAAGTAGTAAGTATAGGCCTACTGGCACTCATTAGTTTTGTTTTGCGCAGGTATTGAGTGCGAACTTAACCGCATACTGCATATGCATTTGCCACATCGCATCCCAGACCAAGGGGAACTCTCTTGAATAGTTCTGTGACAATAAACAGCCTGTACCACAGGTTCAGCACATGATTATTACGTTGGGTCTGATCCCATCACGTCGGATTCACTCCTATGGCATAGTTGCCGTCATGAGGTGATTACCGCCTCTGTTTTGCCGCATCTGACGTACCATCACAGGGTCCAGTACTATGTACGTATTACATTTGTGGCGATTAGTGATCAATAGACAAGATAGCACAGCTTCTCCAGCTACCTATATGATCACAGTAGAACCCCACCAGGCAGCTCCTCACCTTTCATGATGGATGCTGTATCGAAAGTCGGTTTATTGGTCTCCCGCTCTACGGCCTCGAGCTCGTATGGTGTCTTTTATATGGCTGCACTGATATGCGTTGCATTTTGGGCTATGCTGTGTTTGCAAACGTGAGTGAACACTTCATTATGGGATACCTTGATTTGATTTATTGTCAAAACAGGTTTTGGTACTTTGCAAGGTACACTTCGAGCTTTTCCTTTGTCCTTGGATTGACGCTATTTGCATAGCTACGACACTGACAAAAAATTGCTCAAATTTCTGGTCTGTCAGATAGCGTGACCACAAAGGCTGGCACTGACATTTCGATAGGTCGTGTTTCTATGGTGACATCCATACTACAAACCATTCCGTTCTGTTGTCAAACTTTTGTATAGGGTGATCAGCACGGCGCAGACGTATGTTATCGTGTACGGAGGTGAGTTCTGATGTTTCTTAAATGCCACTGACGACTTAAACGGCCCACATATAGTATGGGTTTTTACGATCGACCATTTCGGTGACTATTCATTTCTGGTGCAAGTTGTTCCGTACGTACTGCCTAACCTTCACTGAATGATATCCTCAATATTGAAGATCGCGCCCCTCCCCTAGTCCATTCGCTGTGAGCGGCACAGCCATTCATATCCACTCAGTTTCGGGAGCTGATCCTTCGGATTTTGCTAGACGCAGTTTATTTTTGCAGTAGGTCTCGTTCATCTTCAATGCCCGCAAGATTCACTTTAGTATGCTATAGGCTACAGCCACAGTAACAGTCCAAGCATTCTTTGTCTTCAGAATATGTCGCCGTAAGTCTAAAACACATATTCTCCCTTTACGCGCTGGACTTATTTGTGCAGTCAGCGGAGGTGGGCTGTGGATGGTGGCTGTTGTATGGGTATGTGCAATTGACTGACGACTTCTTGATCTTATGATTGTTGCTCTTATCCAGGCTGCATTGGCGATTTTTCAGATTGTTGCTGCTTTCAGTGAAGTTTCACTCCCTATCATAATTCTACTTCGCTGACGGGTTTGATAGTTATTGTCGTAAAAACGTGAGGAGCTTCACTACTTCTGAACTCGTGCTACATTGAATTCTGACGTCGCCTTCAAAGTTGTCTATCGGGCTACTTGCCATACCTCTGGACACCCTTGCCAAAAGTGACCATCTTTTCTTTTCAAATGAAGACTCGGTAATTGAACTATTTGCTAAAGGACCTTGCGATCGCGTATCTCGCAGTTTCCCTCTTCATCGACATAGCCATCGCAATATTTCTCCTCAAACTATTACATCGGCACAAGAAAGAAACACAAGTTCGAAGGTAATTTTTGCTCCTTATCATTACCCTGCCTAGCTTCGCACTTATGTTTCACTTCCAAAGCACATTGAAAATTATACAGCGACTCATGGTCCTGGCTGTCCTAAACATGGTCTGGACAACGGCATTTGCTATTTGCGATTTAGTCACAGTAAACCTCCTTCCCCTGTTAAAGTCAGCCGAGCTGACCACAGACCTTTGACACGCAGTTCCTTTCCCTCCAGGAAGAGGATTTCTACTTGCTCTTTGACATGCCTATCTGCTCTTTGTACTGCAACACCCTCCTTGCAAACCTTAACATGAGGGCGTCCCTCGGAGAGCAAGAATCAGTGGTGGATATGGACTTGACGACGTTTGATGCAGTTGGACCCCCACCAGTAACTCTGATGCTGAGAAATGATACTAAGGTCTCTACGCAGAGTGGTTCGCGGGTTAGCTTGGAACTGGCAGAATAATCTCGGATTGCCATGCTCGTTTATTTGACGTTCGTTTATTTATTATGTCCCGCATGATACGTACCTTCTTTGATTGTATATTAGACATGTCCACGCTGGTTACAGAGATTGTGGGTACTTTTGCTAGAGGGCAACGCCGGCAAGTCAGGAGTATGTCACCTCTAGCGAAGGTGTGGAAATAGAAACTGACAGTCCAACATGCGTCAATGCAATAACGAGCACAGAGCCAACTGCGTTGCAATCATATGCGCAAGGATAAGGATACCAGGTCGAGGAAACATAGATGACGACAACCTCTGCAACGAAAGGTGCGAAAATATGAGTGATTTTCCAAAAGTTGATTTTCCCCTCAGACTCCGAGGCCAGTAAATAGCGGATGAAGACAAAAGCTAAATGTCGGATACAAGGAATTGAGTTTTCGGTGTCATCTGAGTTGTATCAATCCTTGACGAGGAAAGAGTCCTTACATCTGCTCCAAAGAGAGAAGTTGAGGGTGTGCAAGACGGGATTTGACTGGGGAAAGTGAGCTCTTGAAGTGGATAGCCATAATCGTAGCAAGAAACGTAGAGTACTAGCATATGGATCAAGCGGTTGGTTCGAGGGTGTTTTATATGAAACTGAGCTTACTGTCTAGATCGGCTTGTGCCTGTGTATAATCCCGTAGCATTTAGCACAGTGCGAATACACAAGAGGCTGTTGTAGTAGCTTGTTTCAAAGGACAGAACACAACATGCTGTTATAAGTAGGACATCCCTGAACGAGAGTTAGCGCATCAACATGGGCAAGGTCAGGGATGCTGCTTACACGCAACATTATCCGCTTCTTTAGGATCACAAGTTTGAGTGCACTGTGAAGGAGCGGTCCCGTCGCTTTGTCTTTTGTATGACACACTCAACAGCGTCCGAAAAGTATGGGTGAAATAAGAAGCGCTTGGATGAAATGAAACAAGGTTATCAGTCGCTGATGAGACGAGGCAGATCATACAGGCACGCATCGTTAAATGTCGTCACAAGGTCATATCAAGAGGGTCATATGGATTGTTACGGTCATCCTTTTCCCCTAAACCTTTCACCCTTCACACCGTCACATTTCACATGCTCACTCTTCTAATACGTGTACTTCTAGAACATTCCATCGTACGATTCTCATTCTCTTTTTCTCATTGGCTCATTACTATTGAAGCTCCGCTTCTATTATTCATTCGCTGACTCAATACCCCTATATATACCTCTTCTCTACCGTTTGTACTCTTTAACTTGACCTACGCAGACCAGGGCCTGCAATACTACTGCTTTACTCGTACGACTCTAACACTAGGGTGTTAGCTAGAACTTTCGACTACTTTTGATTACTGCTAAGACGTCTGACGACGCTGAGCGTAACAAAAGGTCAAGTTACTTTTCAGACCGCCTGTCCTACGACCTCGGCGACCACCAACGAACCTTGACTAAGCACCTGCGGTATCTACTGCCGTTGCTGACCGACTAGCCAAGACGGCTACTCGAGGGAAACACTACCCCGGCTTTGACTGGGACGAGATACTAGGAACCTGGACTGCTCCAGACGTAGACAACAACTACTTCACTATCCACCAGTGGAGAACGTTCAGAAACAAGACCGCTAAGAAAGGAACTCACTGGGACTTCGACACCCAATCCTACGTTGACAACGACTTCCCCGAAACACCACTCGTCTCCCCCATTCCCGCACCCGCTCCACTTCCTCCCGTACAAGAACCACTTCCCCCATCTCTACAACCTCCCCTAGACGACTCTGACTCTGAACCCGAACCAGAAGACGACGACGACGATATGCCTAAACTCATCGGCAACGTACCCCCTCCCTTCAACGGCGACACTCGCGCCGCCAAAGGATGGCTTCTACAGGTAGAAGCCTATCTTGATATCAATGACTCTGTCTACACTATCGACAAGCAAAAAATCGTTTTCATCTTATCGCTTATGACCAAAGGAGAAGCCGCTAAATGGGCGGAAGGGCAATTCAAGAATGCTAGCGCTTCTAAAGCGTACGGATCTTACGAAAACTTCCTTGAACAATTCAAGAAGACGTTCCACCTGAAGAACGTCGTGGACACAGCGATTCGTCGCATCTCCACCTTGAAACAAACAGGAAGCGTTCCCGCCTATACCTCCCTATTCCGCACCATCCTAGCAGACACGGGCATCACTGAAGAAAGTATGAAGATTATGTTCTTTAGAAACGGTCTCAAACGAGAAATTGTAAGCACTATACTTAACTTCGAAAACGTACCCGCTACCATAGACGACTGGCTTGAAAAAGCCTTAGAAGTAGAGTCTCGACGTAGTCTTACGGCACCTACTAACTACAAGTCCCGAGACCCTTACGCTATGGACATAGATAGGGTAGAAGTAGGAGGAGAAGAGGAGGAGGAGAGGCAGGTAAAGAAGGCCTACCTGACGCCACAGGAAAGAGAACGTAGGCGCAAGAGCGGCCTCTGCTTCAAATGCGGCAAGAAAGGGCTCATCAAAGACTGCCCTAACCATCCCACATTCACTCCGCGAAACCAAACCGCCGCCAAGAAAGCCAGCAGAGACGACGAAGACGACTACAAGGAGTTCTTAGAGTGGAAGGCGTTCAAAGCACGCCAGGCAAAGAAATCAGAGGAGAAGGATTTTGCCTAGAGGAGACTGGACCGGCATCAGTATCTCCTAGAATCGGACTAGTAGTACAATCGATTGGTGACTCTAATTCTATGCGTTTACCACTAACCTTTGACTCTAGCATTGCCGAAGCCGCAGCTCTAATCGACTGCGGAGCAGAAGGAGAATTCATCGACTGGATGTTCGTAAGACGGAACTCCATCCCCACGGAAAAACTACAAAAACCAATAAAAGTTAGAAACGTTGACGGGACACTCAACAAACAAGGTCAGATCACCCATGCTTGCAACTTATCATTCCGAATCAAAGGAATCCACATGGAAAGATGTTTCCTTGTAACCTCTCTAGGAGGAGAGGACGTCATCCTGGGAATATCCTGGCTAAAGAAAGAAAACCCACAGATAGATTGGACGAAAGAAGAAGTAACCTTACGAGAACGGAGCGCATACGTCGAAGAAGTCGAAGACGAAGAACAAACGTTCTTCGATACCCAGGAAAACCTAGAAGACGAATGGGATCCCGCCGCGGAAAGTATTCCGTATTCCTCCGAAATCCCTAACCTCCTTGACCCCGAACCTGCTGACGACACAGAAGAAGAATTAGAACCAGACGAATTCCTGATCGCCTATTGCAAAAACGATCACGTCATCGGAACTTACGAAACTTTTGAATCCCCTCTCACAGACAAACACATCCCCACCGACCACCAATATTTCTCTACCCTCAGAACCTTAGTCAGGAAAGCAGACAACATCTCTCAAACCCTCGCCCAAGACGCCACCAAACCGAAGAAAACCTTCGAAGAACTCGTACCAGAGATCTTCCAGAAGTATAAGGACGTATTCGGAGAAGTAGCTAACGGAACTCTCCCACCAGAACGCAAGTTCGATCACAAAATCGACCTCAAAGATACCTTCGAACCGCGTAAATGTAAAATTTACCCACTCAACCCCGCGGAAGAAAAAGCCATGAACGATTTTATCGATGAAAATCTCGCTAAAGGAACGATCATCCCCTCCAAATCTCCCCAATCATCTCCATTCTTCTTCGTCGGGAAGAAAGACGGCTCCCTCCGACCTTGTCAAGACTATCGCTATCTAAACGAACACACGGTTAAAAATAACTACCCATTGCCGCTAATCTCTGACCTTATAGATAAGCTCAAGAACGCGAAGATCTTCACCAAGATGGATATTCGATGGGGATATAACAACGTTCGACTCAAGAAAACCGACCAATGGAAAGCAGCGTTTGCGACGGCAAGAGGACTCTTCGAACCGACGGTAATGTTCTTTGGCATGTGTAATTCCCCCGCCACCTTCCAATCTATGATGAACGATACGTTCGGAGATATGCTCCAGGAAGGATGGCTAATCATCTACATGGACGACATACTGATTTTCTCAGACGACTTCGAAACCCATCAGAAGCGGACACATCGCGTACTAGAAAGACTCCGCCAGCATCGCCTCTATCTCAAACCGGAGAAATGTACGTTCAACGTAGAAGAGATCGAATACCTCGGCATGATCATCAAACCCGGATCGGTAGCTATGGACCCGGCTAAACTGAAGGGAATCTCCGAGTGGGAAACCCCGAAGAAAGTCAAAGAAGTCCGATCATTCCTCGGATTCGCTAACTTCTATCGTCGCTTTATCACTGATTACTCTACCATCGCATGACCCCTTATAGATCTCACAAAGAAGGATATGCCGTTCAAATGGAATGAAGAATGTGACTCCGCCTTCAGAAAACTAAAAACCATCTTCACATCTGCCCCCATCCTCCAAATTCCCGATAGACACGCCCCATTCGCCATCGCTACCGACGCCTCCTTATACGCCACCGGCACAGTACTGCTCCAAAAAGACTCAAACGGCGAATGGCTCCCCTGTTCCTACCTCTCCCAATCGTTCGCCCCTGCCGAAAGAAACTACCAGATCTATGACCGAGAACTCCTCGCCGTCATCAGAGCGCTCAAAGCATGGCGACATTATCTCTTAGGCTCCCCGTTCCCCGTAGAGGTTCAAACCGATCACAAGAACCTCACTTACTTTAGAGACGTGCAAGATCTCAATAGACGCCAAGCACGCTGGCAAACATTCCTCTCTCAGTTCGATATCCGTTTCAAATTCGTACCTGGCAAAGACTTAACTATTCCTGATGCACTCTCCCGTAGATCGGATCACCTTCCTGACGATAGTGTCGAAAAGGACAACACGAGTATACAACTCCTTCCCGATTTCATGTTCATCAATTCCGCTTCTCTTTCTGAACAATTACGTATATCTTCTTCCATTGACCCGGTAGTACAAATAGCGCTCGACGCACTCCAGAACCCCTCTATTCCCCCTCCTCTTCGTTCCGCACTGTCAGATTGGAAACTCTCTGACGGTATTCTTACTTACAAAGGACTTACTTATGTTCCACCTGGCGACCTTCGTCGCAGCATCACCTCCCTCCATCACGACTCTCCCACCGCCGGCCATCCAGGACGATACAAAACTCAAGAACTCCTATCACGTGACTACTGGTGGCCAGGACTCTCCACGTTCGTAAAGAACTTCGTTGACGGCTGTAGCATTTGCCAGCAAAACAAAGTTAACACTCACCCGTCCTCTCCCCCATTACATCCTATCCCCGCTCCTATATCTAACCGACCTTTCAGCTCATTGCTCCACCGACCTCATCACCGACCTCCCGCCGTCTAACGGCTACGATAGCATCATGGTCGTGGTAGACCATGGACTTTCGAAGGGGGTAATTCTCACCCCATGTAACAAGACTATAGACGCTGAAGGCGTAGCGAACGTCTTCTTTTCCAAAGTATTCTCTAGATACGGACTCTACGATAAAATTATATCTGACCGCAGACCCCAATTTGCCTCTAGATTCCAGATCGAACTCGGAAAACTCCTCGGATACAAGAACTCCCTTTCCACTGCGTTCCACCCTCAGAGTGACGGAGAAACCGAACGAGTTAACCAAGAGCTCGAGGTTTATCTCCGGATATTCTGCGCCAACGACGCAACTGGCTGGGCATCCATGCTCCCCCTCGCAGAATTCGTCCACAACTCCCGTCATCACTCCGCTCGCGGAACGTCACCGTTCTATCTCATGATGGGCTATCATCCCAAACACCTTCCTGACCTTCATCCCAAAAGCGATATCCCCAACGTCGAACAACGTCTCCTCATCCTCAATAAAGCACGTGACGAAGCTTTAGCCGCCCATGAATTAGCACGCAATACCATGAGACAACGAATCACGTCGAAGTTCATACCATTCAACAAAGGCGATAAAGTATGGCTCGAATCCAAAAACCTCCATCTCGGATATCCTAACCGTAAACTCGCACCTAAACGAGAAGGACCATTCATCATCGCCGACGTACTATCCCCAGTCACTTATCGCCTTACACTTCCCACTCAATGGCGCATTCATCCCGTCTTTCACGCCGCACTCCTCTCTCCCTACAAGGAGAACGACATTCATGGACCGAACTTCACTAGACCACCCCCTGACCTCGTAGACGGAGAGGAAGAACAGGAGATAGAAGCCATTGTGGGCCATCGAGGGTCGACCTCACGCAGATACTACAACGTAAAGTGGAAGGGATTCCCGAGTTCCGAGAACGAATGGATGACAGAGAGACAAATGGGTAACGCTTCCGAAATTCTTTCTTCTTATAAACGCACGCATCATCTTTGATTTTTCTTCGTAGAACTCAGATTCCTACCTAAAACGGGGGTAATGTTACGGTCATCCTTTTCCCCTAAACCTTTCACCCTTCACACCGTCACATTTCACATGCTCACTCTTCTAATATGTGTACTTCTAGAACATTCCATCGTATGATTCTCATTCTCTTTTTCTCATTGGCTCATTACTATTGAAGCTCCGCTTCTATTATTCATTCGCCGACTCAATACCCCTATATATACCTCTTCTCTACCGTTTGTACTCTTTAACTTGACCTACGCAGACCAGGGCCTGCAATACTACTGCTTTACTCGTACGACTCTAACACTAGGGTGTTAGCTAGAACTTTCGACTACTTTTGATTACTGCTAAGACGTCTGACGACGCTGAGCGTAACATGGATCCGGGTGCATATAAGTGCAAAAATTAGCCTAGTTAGCTTCATCACATGTGCGCAGGGCATTCGCGCTCCCGGCATTCTAATCCTATCGATGGAAGCCAGGAAGTGCAGGGTCTCCGGGATGATGTCAAGTTATGTAGGCAGAACAAACAATGAGTCAAATTTAGATGGGCCATCGATTCGGACTCCTGAGGCCTGAAGTTCGGACCGGCTATGTCCGCTCGAGCGCTCAAGAAGTCATTTCAGCACGTCCAATCACATCTCAGCGCTCAGCAGCTGAGTCACGCTCCATGCTGCATGGCTCTACAACAGCCAAGCTTCTTTCTGACAACTGCACTAGTAGGTTTCCATTACACTTCTCGATCATCAGCTTGTTTGTTCAAAAGGTCGTAATAGGACCATGCAGCAGCAGGCCTCGGAGCAGGCGTCGTCGCCGTCCTATGCATGCACCCTCTTGATCTCCTCAAAGTCAAGCTACAGGTAGCTACAACAAACCCACAGGGTGGTATTGGAAAAGCAATATGGCATTCTCTGCGCGACATTCATGCAAGTCAAGGGTGGAAAGGCCTGTATCGAGGCGTAGGACCAAACATCGCGGGGAATGCGTCAAGTTGGGGGCTCTACTTTCTTTTGTGAGTAGCATTATCATCAGTTTCTAATTTTTGGTGCACGGTACCGATATACTTCAGCTATAACATGCTGAAGAAGCGTGCAGCCGGAGATGACCCAAATTATAGGATGCCCCCTGGAGCATACTTGCTTTGTTCCGCTCAAGCGAGTTCGCACTTCCATTCCATTTATCCTTATGATGTTTTCTCACAAATATCAATAGGCGCGGTCACAGCAATAATGACCAACCCTATATGGGTCGTAAAAGTGCGTATGTTCACAACGCGTGCCGATTCACCAACGTCATATCGTGGCCTCTGGGGTGCGCTCTCCTTATGTTGTCCTCGTTTTGGTTTGTTAATTACTTCGTGCTATATTAGACGGCCTTGTTTCAATATGGAGGCAGGAGGGCATCTCTGGCTGGTGGAAAGGGACTAGTTTGGCTTTGGTCGGCGTTAGCAACGGTGCAGTGCAGTTCATGGCATACGAGGAGATGAAACGATGGGGTTTTGAACAAAAGCGAAAACGGTTTGCAAAGGCCGGAAAGGTGACGGAACCGGAGGATGACAAGCTGGTGAGTTTATCACATTCTTCTTCACCTCACGTTTGAGAAGTTGGACAGTCAAATATGTCGTACACGTTAATGTCTGGTGCGAGCAAACTCTGGGCTCTTGTACTTACTTATCCATACCAAGTTATTCGCTCTCGAATACAGGTGAGACAATTTATATTGTTAGCTACATCACATCTTTATTTCTGTCTTAGAACAATGCCACCGCTCACTTATACCCCGACATACCCACCACTATCAAATGCACTTGGCAAGGCGAGGGGGTTCGTGGGTTTTATCGTGGGATGGGGACGAACCTCGTGCGCGTTCTTCCTGGAACCTGCGTCACTTTTGTTGTATACGAGAACCTTGCATGGTTATTGCGGACATCTGCGGCGCGAAGGGAAGCAAGAAGACGAAACGTGACTACCGAGCTGGTTTGAATCTACAAAACTTATTTTACATCAGATATTGGGACTTCCTGTTCCATTCTATCACACACGACCGAAGGTCGATCGACGATGACTTCAGCTACTCTGTGTCCTTGTGCGAAGCTCATCAGCGTACCGCCTGGCTGTTAGATAGATGTTGTACGTACCCCCTAGGTGCAAGTATGTCGGATTGGCCATAAAATCGATGGAGTCAAGACGCTTTCGCACGCTTGTACTACTAATTAGCTATACTATCACTCCTGGGGTTCTGCAATATTTTCAATAAATCTTTTGTAATTCCTCAACCACATCATATTTTCTTCTACGGATTTGCACAGATGTAGATTCGTAGCTGCTCTATATGAAACTGATTTTTGCTGATTTTAAGGATTTTGTGGTGGAGTGTCGGATGAAGGCCGAGAAAATTCAGGGTCTGACTGGTATTCTGCAAAACATGGTCACGTCGTGTCACACATCGGCACAGTAGCGGCAACGTCAAACTTCACTCTCCGAAGACTCTGAGCTCTGTCGAATCTCGATGTCGCGCGTCGAATCTCGAAACTTTGAAAATGAATACTATTGGGGATCATGGTTCATATACTAATTATCGTGATTATAATGGTACTGATGGAGTCCAGACTCGTACAGCTGACGGCCTGCATCACCAGAGCCCCCGATGTCATACATCTGCACTCCACCACCAACTCGAAAATCCTGAGACATACTAGCGAGAGGTCTACCAACCGGTGTAAAGGGAGGGTGAAGAACAGGTGGAGACCGAGGTACAGAATGGTGCATTGGATAATATGGAGGTGCATAGCCAGGTGGGGGCAGATCCATGCCTGACATTGAGGAGTGAGTGACAGGCGGCTGTGGTGGATACCTGGATGGTTGGTGAATTGAATTTGGGGGAATTATATCTTGCGGGAATTCAGGAGCAACATTATTGTCATTTTCGAGACGGTGCCTGCGAGAACGGGGGGATTAAATAAACCCTCATAGCGTTGATTTTTCTCGAGTTCCGGGTGGTCGTTGAAGTGCTGTAAAATTCGCTGTAAGGATGCGAGAATGAGATGCGACGTGATGCGACTGGATGCCGTGTGTCAAGCCGAGTGTGCCGTAGAGGAGATTGAATTTCTTACACACTCTCCTATCTGCTGTCACACTTTCATACATGTCGTCAATCCTCTGTCTATAGCATCTTAAAACAAGAGAATGACCTCTATCGAAATTGTGTTCTGACACCCTGACAAGGTGTTTGATATGCTCTGGGTGTAACTTTTTGAATATCTCTCAAGGATCTATGGGATCTGGATCATTTATGATTATACAAGGTTGCAAATCACCACTATTCCGTCTCTCGCAGCTGCAACACTCAAGAAATTTTTATTCTACTTGGACAGTACATCATCTCTAAGTAGCCTACATGCATCTGAATTTTTTTGAGGTGATCCAAGCAGCGCATTGAGGTGTTTTGAACATTTTGCATATTACATGCCAGTTGCAGATTCCCAGGAATGATAGTATTACGTAGACTTGAACACCTTTTAAAGTTTCGCTACCTTTTCCCGGACCGTGGAGTCGCTGCGTTGGACCATCTTCCACTGATATCGCGTGAGTAGTCAGGCTCAGTAGATCTTTGATGGCGATGCGAATGATTAAGGCGGGTCGAATGCATCATAAAATTACCCCACCTGTGACCTCAACATGTTTGGTCCTTGGAGTTAAGCATTCGCTAGGTGATTCACGAGTCCACGATTAACAGTGTCGGACTACGTACGAACGAGTGTGCAATGTCCAGTTTAGGTGACGTCTGTGTTAGATCTTTTCCTGCACAAAATCTATTTCTCTCTAACTCATAAGATGCAGCACGAGGATCCTCTCACATATACAATAGTCGAATGCTGGACGACCTCTCAAGTTGTTGTAGACTAACGAGCATCATGCAGGTCCTGGTTGCAGGAAGGAGATGTGTGTACTCTAGCACCGAATCGCAATTTTCGTAGTGGTGTCCACCCTGCAGTTTGACGGGACATGTAACATTGTATGTACCTTGGCGCGGACTCGAGTGCACTTGCCATAGTTGTTTGTTGATATCCTTTCGACTGCTTTGCATGTTAGGGGAATACTGCCGTGGTCGCCAGCTTTTCCGCATTTCGAGCGGGTGTCGCAAGATGACGCTCCTTGTTTTGGGTGTTGTTCTGGTTTTGTGGGCGTCGTATCGCGTTCTGCCCAGAACATTACACTGGCACCTCCCCCTATCGGCACAGTTGGGTATCGTATCTGGGGTGTATCTCGTCTCTCCCCTGGCGACAAGACCGGCGACAACAGATGAAACATCTGTGAGCATCCAAAGAAATCAATTGGACGGTTGTTGATGCACTGAACCCTTCAGACATTGCTATAAATCGTATCTTCGAGCGGGTTGCTTCGCAGCGTTTACTGCACCCTTTCACAGGACACCAGAACGACTTAAGCTCTGTCTTCCTTTGGCTCGCTGACATCAATGCCCTTGCTACTTCCACAGAGCACCTTCACCTTACACTTTCTGGCTCAGACCTCTGGACCTTCGTGGACACTTAAGATCGCAGACTTGCCACCTCGTCCTCTCCAAGTATTTCGCCGCATTCAAATGTCACACGAGCAATTCACTGGATCACTCTGTACCGCCTTTCAAACCTAGCCTCCCGGACTGGGTGATCCTCACTCCGCCAAAGATCCCATGCTAGTTTTCACATGTCTCAGCCGTTCCCCAATTCAATGGAAAAGGACATCAAGATAAGAATGCGTCGCGTCTGGACTTCTCTCCCGCTTGGGTGGGGCATGGTTTTCCTGGGTAGGTATTGATTCTACGTCATTTATAATTGAGGTCATATTATGTCCCTCAGGTCAATGCTAGTCAAACGAATCTTTCTACTCTGAACTTCCATCGTCTTCGGTCATGTCTCCGTTATGGGATCTGAATACCCGTCTTACTCTCCAATAATAAACATTTTGTTTGTTTTTTGTTACTCTCCACGTTGCACTCATGCTTATGCGCTTTCCCTCTTCGGTGCTCGGAATCTCCCTCCATGGCCACGTTTCATCTCAATGTTCACGATTCTAGTACTCAAGTACCAAAACATCATTTCTAATTGATGTTTGTGCTGACTAATATGTACTTATACCATTGATTTCCGAATCTGTCAGTGAAGTTGAACATAACCGTGACGCACTCGTGCACTGGTGGATCTTGACTATGAACAGGAATACTACCAGAGAAGAGCGATCTGTATGTTCAGAGAAGCACGTCGCACTTGATGAGCTGGTACTCATTGGTTTTACAGGCATCTAATACTTTTATGACATTGCACTCCTGATCAAGAGGAACTCTCTTGAATTGTTCTCTGACAGTGACCTGTGCCACAGGTCGCCATCCGCGGTAATGTATCCAATGTACCTGTGTTAATCGTTTCGGAATCCAGGTTCAGCGCATCATTAAGTTGGGTCTAACTTTAAATGTTGATCGGGTGCAGTGTTCCGACTCCCATGTTATCTTCCCTGCACAGCCGCATCTGACGCGCTGTCCAGTATTATTAGGCTTGCGGCGATTAGTGATCAGCAGACAAAATAGCACAGTTTCTCGGAGTCTCCAGCTGCCTATTGATAAAACGCCCAGCGAGCAGTTGTTCACCTTTCATGATGGACGTTGTATCCAAAGCTGGCTTATTGGTCTCCCGCTCTACGGCCTCAAGTTCGTATGGCGTCTTTTATATGACTGCACTGATATGCGTTGCATTCTGGGCTATGCTGTGTTTGCAAGTGTGAGTGGACAATCAACATGGGATTTCTTGGATTTGACTCATTGTCGGAACAGGTTCTGGTACTTTGCAAGGTACACTTTGAGCTTTTCGTTTGTCCTCGTATTTACACTATTTGCGTAGCTACGACAGTGACAAAAAATTGCTCAAATTTCTGGTCTGTCAGATAGCGTGACTACAAAGGCTGGCACTGACATTTCGATAGGTCGTCTTTCTATGGTGACATGCGTACTACACACTATTCCGTTCTGTTTTTAACTTTTGTATAGGGCGATCAGCACGGCGCAGACGTATGTTATCGTGTATGGAGGTAAGTTCAGATGTTTCTCAAGTGTCACCGACAACTTAAACTGCCCACACAGCATGGGCATACATGATCGACCATTTCGGCGACTATTCATTTCTGATGCAAATGGTTTCGTACGTACTGCCTTTACTAAATGCTGACCTCAATATTAAGGCTCATGCCCCGACCGTAGTCCATTCGCTGTGAGCGGCACAGCCATTCGTATCTGGTCTTCTCTTGGGGCTGATTCTTCCCATTTTACTAGACGCAGTTTATTTTTGCAGTAGGTCTCGGATTCATCTTTGAGGCCCGGAATATTCTGGAGCTCACTTCAGTTATGCTATAGGCTACAGCCACAGTCACAGTCCAGGCCTTCTTTGTCTTCAGAATATGTCGGCGTAAGTCTGAAACACCTAGTCTCCCTTTACCCGTTTAACTTGTTTGTACAGTCAGCGGAAATAAACTGTGGATGATCGTCGTTGTGTGGGTATGTGAAATAGATCGATGGCTTCTTGTGATTGTTATTGTTATTGTTATTTTTACCCAGGCACCGTTGGCGATTTTCCAGATTGTTTCCGCTTTCAGTGAGTTTCACTCCCTATCTCAATCCTACTTCACTGACAAGTTTGATAGTCATTGTCGTCAAAACGTGAGGTGTTCGACTACCTCTGATTTCGTGTGCACTACATTGAATTCTGACACTGCCTTCAAAGTTGTCAATCCAACTACTCGCTATACAACTGGGAGCCCTTGCCGAAAGTGATCATTTTTTTCTTTTTAAACGGAGGCTCCGGGATTAAACTATTTGCTGAAGGATCTTGCGATCGCGTACCTCGCAGTTTCCCTCTTCATCGACATAGTCACCGCAATATTTCTGCTTGCACTATTGCGTCGGCACAAGAAACAAACCCAAATTCGAAGGTAGTCTTTGCTCCTTATCATTACCCTGCTGAGCTTCGCACTTATTTGTTCGCTTCCCCAGCACATCGAAAATTATCCAGCGACTCATGGTCCTGGCTGTCCTAAACATGGTCTGGACAACAGCATTTGCTATTTGTGATTTGGTCACAGTAAGCCTCCTTCACTCGATCAAGTCAACCGAGTTGACCACAGACTCGTGTCGCGCAGTTCGTTTCCCTCCAGGAAGATTCTTTCTACATGCTCTTTGATATGCCTATCTGCTCTTTGTACTGCAACACCCTCCTTGCAAACCTTAACATGAGGACGTCCCTTGGAGAGCGGCAATCATCGGCGGTGGATATGGACTTGGCAACATTTGATACAGTTGGACCCCAACCTGTAGCTCTGGGGCTAGGAAATGATACTAAGGTCTCTACGCAGAGTAGTTCGCGTGTGAGCTCGGAACCGGCAGTATGATCTTGGATTCCCATACTCGTTTGACGTTCGTTTATCTATTATGTCCCCCATGATACCGGACCTTTCTTGATTGTATGTTAGACATGTCCAGCCTCACGGACAACGGGTTACAGAGATTGTGAGTAGAGGGCACCAGCGAGTGAGGAGTATGTCACGTCTAACGAAGGTATTATACTTGATGCTCTCGGGTACGAATGTACAAACTAGAGTAGAAGAGCAAGATATTCAAATCATAGTTATTGATCCTGCCCAAGATCCAAGCGCTATTTTTCCCGTAGTTTCTGAGACAGCGCATACTGTAATGTCATCTTTCAGATCACCATCAGTCTCGGTTGTTCAAACGAATCTCATAAAGACCAACCTCGTAACGGTATATTATGAATCACTTGGCCATCGATCAGCCTTGGCCTTTCTGGGTCGTCGTTTGCTTGCAGTGAATCGTTACTCCATATTCGAGCTTCTCCTACGGTATTGCTAACATCCCGAGGGTTCGTGAACGCCACAACGCTACGGCTCATGTTGGTCCTAGACCTTGCCACCCAGACCCCGCGTCTTCCGTGGTCTCCCAATGCCCAAACTGATACAAATGTCCTTGTGTCCTGCACAGTTCCAAACGGGACTGGAAGCGCCAGTGGAGGAGGGAAATCTACAGGCAGTGTTGCCGAGATAAATTGGGGTGAAGTGATTGCCATGGGTCGGACTCCCAGAGGCGAGACCGACAATGATGGCAAGGGATGCACTGTTAACTTCACATGGAAATGAAATATTCCATGGAAGAGATCGTTTGCGAGTGCAGATAGCTCATAAATTTCGGGTTCATCGTCTTCGGCACACGTATTCCTCGTGAGAGATACACGACGATAGGTCATCGTGTGTGGGAATCTGAATGTGAGTTGGGGTAGAATGTCAGAACGCTCTTCAACTCCAAAAGTTATATGCGGCGGGAGAGGATACGCCTCAACGGTGTGCATTCGAAACACCAGGATATATGGCCCACAAATTCGCATGGCGGTGATGCCATTCCACTACAAAGAAGATACTTTCACATGAGTCGGTCATTTAAATTGACTAGACTCACTAAATCTCCGGGATCATTGGCGCGAAGGGCCACTGTAGCTTGCGCTTTGGTTCTCCAGTTCACAACATCAAAAGATGAGGCCGTGTTAGAAAGCAAAGCGAGTTCCAAGTCGGCATCAATCGCTCTGATGACTTGGGGTGGAAAGATTGAAAATTCTCCTTGAGTGACTAGACGTGGAGAACCTGATTCTGAAGAATTAAGAGCATCGAGAGAGATGGTTAACACTCTCGCAGCGATGCTAGAAAATGAAACTCGTTGGTGCTAGACACATAGAAACAAGCAGGAACTGACAGTTCGACATGCGTCAATACAATGGCGAGCACAGAGCCAACTGCATTCAAATGATATGCGGACGGATACCAGGTCGAGGAAGCATATGTGACGACAACCTCCGCAGCGAAAGGTGCGAAAACATCACTAATTTTCCACAAGTTGATTTTTCCCTCAGACCCCAAGGCCAGTAAATATTGGTCGAAGATAAAAGCTAAATGCCGGATACGAGGAATCGAGTTTCCAACGGTGTCGTCTGAATCATATCGATCCTGGACGAGGAAAGAGTCCTTTCTCGGCAGCAGCCATATCTGCTCGACGCGCACTGCAGTTTTGATCATGTGTTCCAACTGCAAACTCGACAGTGTGGCAGTGTCCGACTCAGAACGTGGCCACGGGAGGGCATGGGGCATCCGAGACATTAAACTGAGCCATAAGCTGCGGGCATGGGTGAATTGAGACAACGATGTGCACGTCTGCAATGCCTGGCTTTAGCTCACGCCTATGCCCACAAAGAATGAAGGAGGTGCCTTGCGCAGAGAAAGGATCGTCTCCACATCCAAGAAGCTGGCAATTTGAAGCTGAAGCTCAACAGGGAGATTCTGCATCTCTGCCGGCTGATCAGGAGCGAGTCGCAGTTAGTGACTGAGTACTGAACAGTACTCACTGCGGAAACGAGATTTTAGCCAGACCCTAATCAGAGGGAGACAACATATGTAACACGACTCTAAACGTACCTTGCTTGTAATCAGACGTAAATCCGAGTTGTCGGAATTTTTGTTCCCTCAGCTCACAGCCACAGATGTAAACAGAGACTTCATTATCACATCTTTGCGGACCCCCGCATATACATGCTATTCCACGACTATTCAGTCCTGCAATTTCAACCTTTCGACATCTGCTTAGGGTAGACTTAATTCAAGATCAGTTTTCAAAATTTTGGTAAAGTCCTTACTAGTGAAGTTAACTTCTGAAGGACTGAAAGTGGCTGTGCAATGTGTATTATGCATGTCACTAGTACTATGAAAATGAATCTGCGCTTCGATAAGTGTTCATGCCTGGAATCATGATTGTGAACTAAGTCTGGTAGTAAGTAATTGCGTGCAACTGGTCCAATCATTAGTGAGAGTGAATGCCAAAGGAGGTTGTCAATGAAAATTAATGTTATGTGACCTTGCAAGGGATAGTCAGCGACTGTGTAATATTACGGCGATTGTGATGACGAGGAAGACGATTGGCTGAGAAGCCAATGGAAAGCGTCCCGGGACGGTTGGTCTACCTGCGAGTCATCCGAATCCTCAGCTTCGGAAGCGCCAGGTATGAAGTTAATACGCCACCCGTCCGACGTAGTACTGCATGTTTTCAAATGAGGACGAGTGAAGGGGAAAGTAAACGAAGGAAGCACCTTGTAACTGATCTTGATCTAGCAATTTGAAGAGGAAATTTATTTGAAGTTGATGGTCCAGATGATCCCAAAGTGGGGTGCGGGCGTGGTACAATTGCAGCTTTCGACCTATGTGGTCGCGGAGTGGATTCTTCGTCAATTTCGGGAACAGTTTTCAAAGGTGCATCGTCGACGTCCACATCTGTGTCACGGTTGTCGCCATTGAACCGCCGGGTGCGAGATGATGCAGCATCAGAGAGTTGGCCCATGCCGTCAGTACTCGGAGTTGCATGCCTGGATGACCGTCTGAGTTGAGGTTGTTCATGTTCCTCCACAATTTCTACAGCGCTGTCATCAGAAATCTGCATGTTGGAAGAAACAGACTTGGCAGAAGAGGTCCGGTACATCATCCTAGTGGCCGTCCTTGAGCGCGTAGATCGCCGGCTCGTCAAACTATCCACAGACATGTTGTCAGTCTCAGAGTCCGTAGCTGTTCCTGAGCCAGTCTTCAAAGCATGGTTGGGCGGCCTGCGACGGGCTTCCGACTCACTCGCTTCGCTAACCTCGCGGGAGGTATATCCTGCAAGCTCCTTCGATTTCTGCAGTTGCTCTGCCCGCTGGCGCGCTTTCTCTTTCCTCTCCATCTGCGCTGTGGACCTACGCTTTGCCTGTTCCTCTTTCCACATCTGCTCCTCAATCTTTTCCTCTTCCTCGAGCTCCAACCTCCTGGCTTTGGCACGTTCCATAACAATGCGATCCGCGACACCCTCATCATCGTCATCATCAGCGCCGACTGCCGTGCCCTTACTAGAGCCGGTATCGGGGAACATGGCAACGCCGTACTGCGAGCTTTCACGGAGTGTCACGATTGCTTCGTCCCTGTCGAGATGAAGGTCTTGCATGATGAGCCCCACTGCAGCTTCTGGAACCAGTACGAGCTGAATGAACTCCGCGGGCGTGAGAGGAGCTATAGAAGAAGCATCAAATGACGAAAAGGGGAAGAGATTGTAGAGCGTTTGGTGTATTATCAACAAGCCGAGTTCACCGTAGCTAGGACATCATTTAGCATGAACATACTTACGATAACCGAATGGGCTTACTATCCAGGCTGAGTCTTCTCGAAGCTGGCGAACTGGCCCTTCACACCAGTGACAGTTCGACTGCCTCGTTTCTTGATTTCCTTCTTGACTTCTCTCCAGAAGGCACTTCGTGCTCGGGGACCCCTGGCATCGTCGTCCACGGAGTCCTCGTTATCACTGCAGTTATCAGCATCAGTGATTACAGCCTCAAGCGCGCCCTTCATCTTTTCGACCCTCTTGGGTACCTTCTTGAAGTCGATACTTTGCGGCCATCCTTTCTCCATAGCCTCAGGCAAGGAATGCGTTTCGAAGTGATGTCGCTGGCACGCTGAGATATAAATTCCCAGAGGAGCCTTGAGTCCACGAGGATTCCTGGGACGCGGGTCTACGTATGACTTCCGTTTCGCAGTCGCCAAGAGACTCTTCAGTTGTGGCGTTGGATTGCGTGGTAGTGGTTCGTCACAGTACGGGCACACCGTAGAAGGATCAACCACCCTGTCTATTTCAACTGCGCATCGAGGGTGTTAAATGGGATAATGTGTAATGAAAAGAAGAACATACAGGAGTCCTCATCCAAGTGGTCCTCTTCTCTCATGATCAACCTTGTCACATTTCTGCTGAAGCTATGAGATGGGAGGGGCAGTGATCGTGAAGAGGACTCACCTTGGATTGTCTTCCTTATGCCTCTTGGCTTTCCGCCCGCGTTCTCTATCGCTATCGTCCGAAGCTCGCTTGGACTTCATGCTCTCCGAAGACGACTGAGGGCTGCGACGATGCGCAGTCTTGATTTCCCGCGAGCCCATGGGGAAGGGTCTAAGGGTACCATTGGCCAGTGCAGTATTATGATGGTTCGTGGCAAGTTCATTAATATCATCCTCATCCTGATGAGGCGTCAGCGCACGTCCTTTACCCTTATTCTGTGACAGTGGTTGCGCTGGGGAAGCCAGCGGAGAAGGCACTGGGAAGTTTCCAAGTGTCTCTGAACGAGCAATGCCTGACTTGGAAGTGTGCAAGGGTAAAGGGAAAGGTTTAGGTCCCTTCAGTTCAGGGAGCGGGTGGCTCGTGGGCAGATTTGACTTCCCTGGAGGGCTCATAGGGAAAGGAGCGGTAGGTTTACGCGACAGCGCATTGGTCTTCTCCTTTGACTTGCATATAGGTATATTTGCGTTCTCCTTTTTTGCCGCCGAGGAGTCTCGAGCGCTCTTGCGAGGAGGAGACGCGTCGGAAGCACGTGAGCTCCCACTATGTACCGAGGAAAAACTACCCAGAGGGAATGGCTGAAGTTGCCTGCTAGCACGTGGAGTTGCTTCGGGACTCCGACCACGAGCTAATGAGCCCCCAGCCTTCACGGGTCCCTGCTTAAGAACGCGTTTGGGTGGCTCGTCGTCTGAGACTGAGGATAAAGTAGCTGCCTTCCTGAACAGGGAGTTCTTCCTTGGCCCTGGACGCGCAAGGTCTGCATCCTTCCCTCTCTTCGGCTTGGCTGCAGGTGGAGAAGGTAGGTTCTGAGAGATTAGGTCCTCAGATATTGGTCTGAATAGCTCTTGAGAGTTGTCTGCGTCGGGTAAAGATGATGATGGAGGCTCCTCTGGAATAGGTTCTTCTGCCTGCGACCCCTTCTTGTTCTTCGTGAAATTAGGAAACTTTTTCTTCGGGAGGAAATCTGGGTGAAACGGAAGACCGTTTGAGGCGAGATTGGTTTTCTGAGGCACCGACGGCGTCAACTTGCCGCGGACGACGCGTTTCTGTGTAGGTGACGTGCCCAATGGTTGAGCGCCTTCAGATAATAACAGTTCGTCATCACTATCACTAAGAGAGTCGAGTCCCAGACTCGTTACGATAGTAGCAGAGTTGGCTTTGCTGCCGGTCGCCTTGCCTTGCACTGTTCGAGATAGAGAGAACGAGGACCCCAAGTCTTCGTGGCTTCGGCCCTTGCCAGACTGAACAAAGAATGGTTCAGGACGCTCTGTCATTCTATGAGAACTGTCTGAGAAGTAGTCAGTTTTCTTCCTGTTCAATTCGCCTTCAAGCCGCTCCATCTTCGGCTATCAGGAAGTCACTGCTGAGGTAATGCAGAAGGGCAGTGATACGCTTCTTCTCCATAACCGACGCGTTATTTGGCTCAGTTGTTTTCTAAAGCTTTTGCCAAACTTGAACAGATACGGCTGAGCTTGCCACATCTTAATTACCGTGTCAGGAGTTGTAGGGAGCCGTCAGCAAGGCCGCAAGGGTTTCAAGTGTGCTGGCGATGTTCACGTATTCTTTAAAGCCCGAAAAGCTTTCTTATCGCCTTGATCCGAATCATGGACGCCAGACGACGCCGTAGTCTTGCTCAATTCATTCCATATTATGAATCCAAGCTGAGTCAAGTGCTACTAGTACTAGGTCGGACTTATAACCGACAGTTTGTGCCTGACTCACCTCGGATAAACTTTCTTGTCTGTAATTGACCAATAGAGTTAGGCTCACATGTACAGCCTACCAACGAATGTTATATTTCCCACTGCGACTTGGCTGGCCATGTGTTGTCCAGATATTGGTTTTTTTTCAACCTACTGGCATATGCGCTGGTGTGCGTGTCCGCGGACAACGAACCCGAGCCCTCGTCGGACTCGGACGGTCATTAACTAGGTGATCTCTTGAAATGGGTACTCCTAGTAGTCTCCTACGAGCTTGTCAAACAGCGGTCTGGGCCCTGTAATCCCGGGCTCGAGTTGTCCCGCTGAATACGAGGTGGGTCACAGTTCATCCCCCGGATCTACAAACTTAGTTGCTCATTGACCAGAACTAGCTATCAAATCAGACACGGCGCAACCCTATTTTAAACTGGTGCTCCTCAGTGAACTCTCCACCAATGACAGTGCTCGCTTCAGTGCTGGAGAAAATCTCAAGTATACACGTGAAGACAAGGAGCCTCACAGACTGGCATCACCGCGGGATGTGACTCATCTTTGATTTTCGGAGTCCACTCCGACTATAAATAAGGTTCTTGAACATGTCCTGGATACCAACGGGATTCCGCCTAGTTGCCTCGTACCCTTGCATAAGTGTGCAGCTGGCTCCCGATGACTCACCACGAAGGAGGCCCAGCCTTTCCCGTACTAGCGACTAAATGCAAGCATCAAGTCGCAAAACCTACCAATCCGCCCATCGCAGCGCCAGTATCACTTGCGCCCAGTGAAGTAGATGTGGGTTCCGCGTCCCAGAACGAGGAAAGGTACGAAGAGAGTTTGAAAACCATATTCCATGGATCGACTGTGGTAGAAAACGGATCCTTCTATGTCAGTCTTTGCACGGTTTATCATTTTTATAACTCGCTTACTGGCAAGGAATAGGTTGATTTTGAAGACGGAGATGGGCGGAATCCAGTCAACTTTTCTCCTGCGAGGAAGTGGGCAATTACGATAACTGCTTGTGCCTTTACGGGCATTGTAGGTGAGTCTGCAGGTCGATGCGAATGAACAACTTCATCTCTATCCTCTCTTGCTTTCTTAGCTGCTGCTTCGTCTTCGTATACCATGGGATATTCGTCAATGATCAGAGACCTCGATTGTACATCATTCCAAGCATCTGTGGGACTGGGCACGTACGCTTTAGGATTTGCAGTTGCGCCCCTGGTCACTTCGTCGTTCAGCGAGGAATTCGGCCGCTTTCGTTTTTACATCGTCTCGTCTTTCATGTTTATGCTGACAGAAGTTATGGTGGCTTTGTGAGTTCATGTCATCCTGGAGCATCTGCATTTGTCTAAAAGGATTGTCCAGGGCACCAAACATACAAACCGTCATTGTAGCTCGTTTTCTCGGAGGATGCTTTGGCTCGACGGGCGCAACACTCGTGGCTGGGACTATTGCAGACATATGGCTGCCTCATCAGTTAGGTTCACTGCCTTCTTTCTGGGAACTCGAGATCTTATAAATCTTTAGACGGGGTTTTCCTATGTCCCTCTATGCCTTGGCGGTTGTTGCATCTTCTGGTTTCGGCCCAATGGTTGCGGGATGGATTGAAGCCAATCCATCCCTGGAATGGCGGTGGATACAATGGATCCATGCTATGTGCGGTGTGATTTCTCCCACCTTGCCGTCCTCATCCTCACTATCCTTCTAGCGTCAGCGGCGTGTATTCTATCTCCGTGCTTGTTTTCGTGAGAGAGACTCGCTCGACCGTCATCCTGACTCGTCTGGCCCATCAAGTGCGAAAGGACACCGGAGACAGCCGATATCGTGCAAGATCAGAAGAAAACAAGTCCAGTCTTATGTCCATGATTGCGATTTCATGCACTCGCCCACTATGTGAGTGCATTCATCGTCACTAAACCTATTGCTGAATTGCAGCTAGGTCTCTTATTTACCGAGCCCACAGTTCAGAGCTTTAGTGTACGTAGCTCCTTACTGCGCTTCACCGCATATCAGAACCTTATAATGGATTCTACCTCCAGCTCTGGATTGGATTTGTATGGGGCGTTCTCTTCTTTTTAATCGAGTAAGTGTCACTTGGAACTCGGCGAATGCTGAGATCGACGTTACTTCAGCTCAGTATCGGGCGAATTTCAAAACATCTACGGGTTTAGTGTCGGAGAAACAGGGAGCGTTTTCGCCACCATATCGTAAGGCTTGTTCCTCAAAGTAATAGACAGTGCGTGTAACTGTGAACCGTTCAGCATCGGAAGTCTTCTAGGTTGCTTGGTTAACGTATACCAAGAAAGGCTATATAAGTAAGTGATCAACTTTCTGGCGAGGAATCCTAGACTGACCATAGATTTAGAAAATATGTCCACCGGAAAGGCCAGGAAGCCCGTCTTTACATGGCCTGCATAGCATCCATAACCCTTCCCACCGGGATGCTCATCTTTGCGTGGACCGCTCGAGAAGACATCCCGTGGATAGTTCCTCTGATCGGCCTTACGGTCAGCACCTTTCAGCCATCGATCTTCCCTATCACCGCTGATGGACCCGCCAGCTTTTCATGGCCTCCGCTTTCGTCATATATCAAGTCGTATTCGTGTACTTGGCAGATTGGTGAGCGCCTCATCCTTGTGCCAGCTTGCTTTGTTCGCTTGTTGACGAGCGGCGAACTAGCTACGGGCCCTATGCATCCTCAGCACTGGCAGGTCAGAGCTTGTGTCGTGAGTCCTTCCCCATTTCTGCATCGAGGACAGAATGTGATCAATGTGTCTCGCAGGAAACATACTAGCCACCGTCTTCCCGCTCTTCACGACCCGAATGTTCGAGCTCCTGACTTACAAATGGGCAAATACTCTCTTTGCGCTAATAGCGGCCCTCATGATCCCTATACCATATGTGGGTGTTTTGAAAGCTCTATTGTATGGATGTTTTCGTAATGATACTCACAATTTAACAGATTCTGTTCTTTTATGGTTCGAGAATACGACGGTGCAGCCGTGTCTCCCAGAAGATCCTAGCGATCGAGGAGGAACAAAAGAAAATAGAGTTGGAAAAGTCGTAAGCGCATATATCCGCTCTTTTCTCATCATCAAATATAGAGACTGCTTGCCGCATGCAGTCAAGTATGATACAAGTGATTGGTACTAATTAATTTGAAGCATCCCATAGCAATCAATTTCACTTAGATGGCATTTATCTATTCAATATGTCACTAGCAACGGCTGGTTTGGTTAGCTTAATTACACACTTATGTCGCCCATTTTCTACCACATGCCGCAATCAAAAGCCCCCTGTCAAAACTACATGCTGGTGTAGGCTGGCGTCTCTACTTCCATGTTTACCTCACATAAAGATTCGGTACTTTTTGGCGACACCTGAACTAGGGTTAGGGTTGCATCTCATGCCACTCTACTAACTGGCTTCATGACCTTCATCCGGTGTTAACGCTGTGACCTGCAGCCGCGATAAGTTCAAAGTCCATTCGGGAGTGGTGGTATGTCAACATGTTGAGTTGAAGGATATCACCATCGAACCATCTTCGCAATAGCTGGTCACATCGTAATTGTGGTTCGGGTTCAACTGAGTTGCATACAGTGCGTGGAGTAATCGTGAATCGCCGTAAAGACGTAATATGAGGGCCGGGGACAATATTTTGTCTGAAATTGGCTGTTGTAGGTATGTTCAATATTCCCATTTGTGCCGTCAGTCATGCATCATGTTCATAAATTCTTTCACGTGCGTCGAATGTTCCATTAGCAACATCGACACGCGGCGTGCGCGCGTCTACCATGCCGTGCAAATAACGAACTCCTGTGTCATCGGTGCTGCGTGTCGTGTGGTTCCTACTGTGGAGGATCTCACCGGTATACCCTAACTGCACCCTGGACACGCACAAAGTCCCTCGCTCTGCCACAGCTCCAACTCCGAGTCCTCCCACAGTGTGTTAGCACCTAACCGTCTTTGCCCGGCCACACCTCCCCAATGCAACGTCCTGCACTCTGTTGTTGCACCCTCCCCGCGCCGTATCATTGGCGAGTTCTAACGAAAGATCATATCATATTATTATACCCCCATCGAAATACAAGGTACTGCACAAATTATCCGAGGTTATGAGGGCTTCTCAAGCCTGGTTAATCCATTTTTCTGGGTATAAAGTATGAATGCAGTCTTCATAACGATGCAATGAACAGGAGTGCTCATCGGTTCATGGAGGAAACGCACCTCGGGGAGGTCGGTCACAGCCATATAGGCCGCGGGAACAGACCACAATGCTTCGGTTTTAGCGGCTTTCCTGTTGGGGACCACGAGGAGATTTAGGTTGTACGCACCCATAAACGCACCCGTCTGCTCTGCCATGGCGTAGGCTTGTACACATGGCTGTCCATTGATCGTGAATGTTTGATCGTTTCTGCGTGAGGTGTCGTCAGCTCAGTACTGAGAAATAGCACAGCAACTTACGGGACTTTGCCCAAATCAACGGATTTGGAGTCTTCTCAGACTTTCTGGAGGGCATTCGGGAATCCTAAATTGTGACGTCTGGCTCACCCAAGTTGACTCCATGCGATCCATGCTACAATTTAGGCTGTTTAAAGTGTGGACCCAACAGTATGCCGAGTGCAGAAGATGACGGAACGAGCTACAGCGTCTTAGGTTGACCTTGGGGTGGTGCATGATAGTGTTGTTGGAAGCATTTTCCATGACAGCCGCAACGATTAAATTTCATGTGCATTCCTACGTAGCTGGGGAAGATGTGAACGAGGTAAGCTGGACGCGTGTATCGCAGGCACTATTCCAAAGGCAGCAACACAGGTCCATAGTTTATTGACCAAGGGCGCTTGCATGACGAGGAGGATCAGCGGCACAATATAGGAAGCAGGTAGTGAGTACTCACATTGAACTGAGATAGTCGAAAACAGCGTATCAGACCAGGGCTGCCTGCTGTCATCTCTTTCACCGTATCTTGAGTATCGCCGCGAAGGGCATAGTGCCGTAGTGCCCCTCATCATCCCACAATGATACCGAATTCGGTCGCTGCCGATAATGCATGTTTGTCACCAGACTCATCCAGGAGAACACGCAAGTTACGGAATGTTCGTGACGCGCAAGCTCGAGAGATCCGTCTTAGTTGGCCGTAGCTACGATCATGAGCGCGTGGACAGGCACGATCTGGCAAGGTGGCATGAGCTGATACATAGACAATGAGTGAGTGGTGTGGTATCGAGCAAGTGGCGCCGGACTAATCTCCACGGCCCTAGCCATCTAGACCAATCGACCGTGACTGTGAGGCCGCGATTTTCTGCAGTCCCAATTGTCTAAACCCTTTCCAAACCTTTCCAAACCTCCCGGGGGGTTGCTCAGATAGCTAGTCTTGTTCCTCTACTTGCTCCGTCACTTGAGCCTTAAATCAAGGAAAGGTGAAAGTGGCATTTGAGTAAGTACCTTTGGGACACGAACAACTCCAATGTTGTTTATGCCAATGCAGCTGCTCCGGACACTTCCATCACTGGTCTTCGCCTGTGGAGAATAACTGCAAATTATGGTACAGGTGAGTTCGGACCGGCTATATCTTGTCTCAAGTTCACTGTCAGCTCCTAGACACGTTGACGACGCAGGAATATATTACCGTGGTAGATGCAAGTGGAAATGCCAGTCCCTTAGGGAGCGGCTTTCTTCCATCCGTTGTATGCCCAGGACCGATGAATGTCATGAACTAAACCTATGCAAGCTTCAGTAAGCCATAAAACATGCCTTCGTAGTCTTTGATCGAAACTCGTCCCCGTAGCGATTTTTTCACAAGGATTCTACAAGTATAGATTCCTTGGCGCGAGCGTGTGCGAAGTGGTCCCACTCTTGACAACAGTCCGTGCCAATTACTCTGGTGACCTAATTTCTTCCCGGGTCACCTCATCCACCCCTTTCCAGCCAGAGAATGCTAATCTACTGTCGTTCGTCGCTGGGGTCACGAGGTTTCAGTCAAAAAACTCCCAGGGGCTTATGAGCAGTGCAATCGGAGATACCTTGTACTCAATCTAGTCCTCGACAACTAACACATCGATCGACGACGATTTTGAACATCAAGCACAGGTTTATCAAGAGCTTGTGAGTTTCGTAGCGCAATATCTTTGTCAAGCCCTTATGATTTTCTTAGGAGGAATATTGGCGTGGTGTTGTTGAATTCTCTGCCACGGTGAGGTTTCTAGTCCCCTGGATACAATCCAAATTAACCTGACATCACTTCACAGTATCTCCGCTCCGGGTTTATGGTCGTGGGTAGCTTCCCCGATGATATTATCCCGAAAAACCTGTCTTCCCCGGTCAATGGGACCATGTACATATTGACGATAGGATAGACTAAGCGGTCGCCAACATATCTTCTTGCTATTCTTCACATCACCATCATCACCATTTGCACTTTCGCCTGCGCTTTGTACAGTATTTTACAGGCTTGGGAGGAGAGGAAGAAAGGTCGCTATACTATGACCACCTTCGACATGTCAAACACTCTTCATCTCATAATGGCATCCGCTGCTGGGTGTCTCGCACTCAAAGATTTCGACAAGGAAGGGATAATCTACAATGAGGGTGTGAAGGTTCGCCTGGAGTCCGACCACGACGACGATGCCAAAAAGAAGTTTATGGTAGCCTGATCCCCGTATCGGTGTTGTTGAAGGTATATACTCGTATAATTTTTAGATGCCATCGCGCTGCGGTAGTATTTTGTAACGGCTACGCTCGCCAAAGCGCATCAGTCCTTTCATTTCGTTCCTTTCGATCAGTTCTACTCGACCACTTCCCTTAGCTTGATCACTTTATTCAGATAACACTAGACTAGTAACTGACGTCCTCCCTTCATTCCTTACTAATTCATTCCTTACTCGTATCTCATAGTGCCTGTCCTTACTGCCCTCGTACCTTACGGATCACTTCTCAATCAAGACACATACAATGACAGATATTCTAGACGTTCCAGTAGGGTAACAGGCCCCCTGAAATTCCCCTATGGCTGTGTACTTTCCAAGGTATTGCCTTGAATCCACTTATCATGCTGTCCCCATCGCTAGGAGATGAAACAAGTGTGATAAAGACCTGCATGAGGAATTGAGAATCAGAAGTTAGTCTAGTAGCAATTGATAGACGCTGACGCCATGCAAACTAAGCATACATCTATTTGTGGCTTCAGTTTTTGCGGCGTTCTGAGGTCAAGGTACAGCCTTGCAAGGGTGCAGTCATCTGCGGCGATCCATACGGGGTCTCAAGACTGGGGCTGATATAGGCAACATACAAGCGCTCGTGGAGTCAGCTGATATATGAGTCGATAAGAAATTGTTGGGAAGTTGCACGAGCCCTGTCCTCCCGAAAAATACTTCCGTCTTGAGACATTGAATACAAGCCTCAGGGATTTATCGATGTACTTAATCGAACCATCACGTCCGTGAACGATAAACACAACACGTCTGACAACATGACGATCATACCGACCAGTTCAACAGCTAGCGCGAACGGATCATATCGACTAGCGTGAATGGCAACGGGTCTGTGCCAAATCCTCACCCCACCGCTTGACCTCCGGATGACGCAAATAAGGCAAGCTAGAATCAAAGAACGGCTGCAGATTCAGCGCATGCGCCGTTTCGTATTCACGCGCTACGCACGTACATGAACACAACATAATACACGAGGACGACGCAGCAAACGTACCTTGCAACGCCATCTCCAGCCGATCGAGATCTACAAACGCGCCAAATAAATCAACGGCACGGCACTAGTAAAGGCAAATACAGACCTTTGACGAACCTCGCCTCGTCCGTTTTCCCTTCCTCATATTCCTGCGTAAAAGCGTTGGCTTTGAGTTCAACCGAGTTGAGTAATACAGAACTTACGTTCCAGAGAGCTTCAATTCGCAGCGCTGCTGGGGAACCATGGAGCATACCATGCACGAAGTGGCGCATCGCTTCCTATAGGGTTTAGGGTATTTTTCGAGTCATAAGTGCGACTGGGGTGTGTGTATGATGCAGATGGCTGACCGCTTCTAAGCGTTGTTTTTCCTGTTTAGAAATACCCTCTCGAGGTGTGATGTCGCCCACTGCCACGACACTGTCAGCGCTGACTTTTACACGGAAATACAGGGCGAAATAAGATAAGATAAGTCGGGCACTTACCTTGAGCTTCGGCAAGATCATGCACCACAGCCATCATAACACATCTGTGGCATCATGAGCATTATTCCACAACTAAACTACGACTGGAAGCAGCGCACTTGGAAACATCGAGGGTGCTATCTGACGTACACATGGCGAGTATAGCCATGCGGTACATGTGATCTGAAATGCTGTCGGGAGCGAGTGCGCGTGAGCCATGTCGAGGTGCGGGAGGGTATGCATCGCGAACCTCTCTGCGTTTGGGATCTGAAAAATTGAGTGGTATGAGTGATTCAGCGGTTGATGTGGAGGGAGGGATATATTCCTTGTTATCGACCCATCCTGTGCGCTTTTGAGTCTGCTCGAATGCGTGAGTGTGAGCGTGCTAGAGTGGTATGGCGAGAGATATGTTACAGTACCTTTAAATTTTCCAGCACGTGAAAGAATGCGAGCCTGTCGAGGGACGCGTCACCCGTTGGCGTATACAAAGGCGGAAACACGCGTTTAGGAGGAGGGGCGATTTCAGATCCGTCCATGTGCGCAAACGTGAAAGAGAGGAGCACTCGCCAGCCTCGGAGTGCCGATCAAGTAGAAGCTAACGGATCTCCGAATTCCGACTTCCGATGATAAGATATAGTACAATTTCAAAATCAAATAAAACATGAGGACGCCTTACGAGACCTTGCCAGAAGACACTGCCGCTGCTCTACGCCGCTTACTACCCCTCCGAATTTCCATTAGATCAGCTTCTATATCTGCTTCTTTGCTGGGACCTAACATTGCTAGGCTCTTACCCAGGCCGCCGATGCCGACCATACTTGAGTGAAGCCCTGCACCTTTGGCGCGACGCCTGGAGCCATTGGCGCCGGTGCTACCACCTGCGCCCGAAGATGGATTAGTGAGGGTGACGGCCGTTAGGGGGAAAGGGAAAGGCGAAGGGAGTTCGTCGACGGAGAGGGAGTGGGGGTTGGTGAAAGGGCCGGTTGTGATGGGCGTGGTGCTTCCAAGCGAGCCATTGGCAAGGTTCTCTCCTCGAAGAGCGAGAGGTGTTGGGGGAGGAGAAGTGCCGACTTTGTTTCGCAATTTTCGAGTTATATGTGATCGAGACTGAGCGTCTAACGTTGCGTCTGATTGATGTGGTGATGAGAATGTTGGGGCATTGAGATGAGAAAGGGTGGCGTACCGTTTACTGTTCCCTCGCCTTCTTTTTCTTCTCTTGCGCGCCGCCTGCGTTCTTCTATACCTTCGAGGAGTCTTTCTCGTATACGATCACGGCCCTTGCGCCATTCTTCCTCGACTCTTTCACGTTCTTCTTCGTATGCAGTCTGTACTGATTCTAAGGCATGCTTCTCTTCGAACGCATGCTGGGCGAGCAAGGCGGAGCGCTCGAGAGAAATGGGGTACAAGCGGAGGTTATATAGAGGATGAGTTTCGGGACGAGACGCGAGCTGAATTGCGGTGCTATGAAGTGCAGAGATGTTTTCAGTTAAGTGTCGTCCTCTGACATTAAATTAAGCGGAGAAGAGAAAAGTGATAGGGAGGACATACTCGTCTCTACGGTCTGTCATCTCTTTGCCTACTTTTCCTGATATATCCTTTCTCTTTTTCTCTCTTTTTGGATCGTCTGTGGTCGCGAGGTCAGTATATTATGTGAAAGGGCAAGAAATGAAGACGTACCCTGCACGCGGGATGGACCTGCAGTGGGGTGTGCGTTGTGATAATGTGGATTAGGTCCCTGAGGCTGCATATTGGAATAAGAGATTGACATGGGCATGTTGTCAGGCTGGATAACGTCTGTGCGCGCCTTGTGGGTTGATGCATATGGCAGGGCAAACATTCCTGGCTGTGGTGGCATCCTACCCAAATAAATTTGCTGAATCTTTGATTTTAAGCGGAAATAGAAGATTAAGGAAACAGTGAAATAGATGGACTTGCACCGCTCGACAGTGCAGACCAAGCTGAACGTTCAGTGGCCGGGAGGAGGTTAGTTTTAATCCAAAAAAGGAAATTCATTGTAACCGATCAATACAGTCACGTGCCCGAGTCTTGGGTTGTTTGCTTACAGTCATGTTTACTTGTGACGGTCTCCATGTACTTCAAAGCCTTCAAACGCCCTTGCCGTGTTGCTTTCTGTACACCTGGAACACGTTCCTTATGTCTATAGCAGTCCGTTCGGTGCGCATACACTTTATAAATGGTCTTATACTAAGCACTCTGGACGCTTTCCCACAGCCTTCTACTGTGGCATGTGAAAACTACTAGTTTTTGGTAAGCCTGGAATCTGGATGGTAGCGCGATCGTCGCTTACGCTATATGTTATGCGTCATTGTACGTGTCAGACGGAATAGCGCACCCCACAGAGGATGCCGCTCGTATTGCGCATCCCATTAAAATCGACCTTGGAGATTGGTTGCTAAGAATATGTCAGCCTATTAGCAATTGTGTGCTTGCATCAGTTCCCTAATCAGCTTGGACCGTGGACACCGTCCGATGAGCCGTAGTATATAAGCCCGATCTCAGGAGAGAACACTCAAGCCCTCTAACCATACACAAACATGAGTTTATGCAAGCACTGCATCCAAGGTGCGTTCATATGTCATCGTCGATCGTGATCACCACCGAGTACTGATTACGAACAGGCGTACGCCACGAGGGTGAGCCCCTGGGTAAGCGCTTTCCACCTCGCCACGTTGCGCTTTCTCATCAGTCTCTTCACCAGGAAAACTCGAGACTATCGGCGGTGTCCCTTGCTACGTCGCTACCCCTGCTGTCGACTACCCCAAGGACAAAGTCATTCTCTTCCTGCCGGACGTCTTCGGCATCGAGCTCATCAATGCCAAGGTACGACCATCCTTTACATGATTCCCCTTTTTGACTAAAAACCGCGGCTCACAACAGCTCCTCATTGATGACTTTGGAAACAATGGCTTCAAGGTTTGACCCAAAACATAGTACACAGTGATGCGAGACTAATGACACAATACAATACAGGTCGTTGGTATCGACTACCTCAACAACGATGCTCTTCCCGCTGATGCCCTGAATGTCAGTTTTGATCAATACCTTCCGTTGCATCGTAAGCTCTGACCCCGTGTCCACTTACAGTCTCCCACATTCGACTTGGGGAAATGGTTCGGAGGCCATGGCGCCGATAAAACCCGCCCACCCCTCGACAAGGTCATCGCCGCACTCAAAGAGGAAGGTGTCACCAAGTTCGGGGCCACTGGTTACTGCTTCGGTGGTACGTCCGCCCGTTCAGTCTTTTCCCCTCGACCTAACGGTGCATGTCAGGTCGCTACGTCTTTGATCTTGCGCTCGAAAACGTCATCCAGTGCGCCGTCACCTCCCACCCCTCACTCTTAAAGATCCCTGACGATCTCAAGGTAACACACGTCATACTCTATCGCTTTCTCCCTCTGACCCGCACTTCTAGAAATACCTTGCCGACGCAAAGGCACCTCTCTTGATAAATTCCTGCGAGACCGATCAACAGTTCCCTATAGCAGCTCAAGCACAGGCCGATGAAATTCTGGGCAACGGGAAATTCGCCCCAGGATACAAGCGCGAGTATTTCCCAGGCTGCACACACGGGTTTGCCGTCCGTGGGGACATGTCAATCCCAGAGGTCAAGGCTGGGAAAGAGGGATCGTTCAAGGCTTCTGTCGAGTTCTTCCTTGAGCACCTGTGAGCAGTCTGTCTGTCATAGGGTCTGTATCAAATTCAATATTCAATCTTAAATGCACAATTAAGATTGCCACATGACATGTTGCCACGTCTCTAGCTGTGCGAGCAGCCAGCAATATCACAGTGTATTCATCACCATCTAGGTGTCACATACTATCTTGACTTCCGGCTTTGGACGCTAGTTTGAAATATGGCAGCATCAGTTTGCTTTATCAGCTTGGACACCTTTCCAATGAGCGGAACATAAGTTATACAATCCAATCTTATTCTAGGTTGTAACCACGCCCAAATATGAGTTTCTGCCAGCACTGCATCCAAGGTGCGTTGTATATTATCATGATCAACACTGAGCATTGATAGCGAACAGGCGTACGCCACGAGGGTGAGCCTGAAGGTAAGTACTTTTCCAATTTGCCACGTACCGCTATCTCATCGGCGTGCGTCAGGAACACTCGAGACCATCGGCGGTGTCGCTTGCTACATCGCCACACCTACTATCGACTATGTCAAGGACAAAGTCATCCTCTTGCTACCAGATGCCTTCGGTATCGGGCTCATCAATTCCAAGGTACGTACACCCATTCCTAGATAATTTCCCCCTCAACTTATACTAAAAATGGCCTACAATAGCTCCTAGCTGATGACTTTGCGAAAAACGGCTTCAAGATTTGCGCCCAAAGATGTACAAGTACACGGATACGACATCGGCACCGTACAGGTCGTTGTGATCGACTACTACAACGGCGACTCTCTTCCCCCTGATGCCTTGAACGTCAGTAGTTTTGACCGATGCCCTCATCAATATCTAACCCATGTCCATGTCCACTCGCAGGATAAAACATTGAACTTCAGGGGGTGGCTTGCCACCCATGGCGCCGAGGTGACCTGCCTGCCCCTCGACAAGGTCATCGCCGCGCTCACGGAGGAAGGCATCACCAGATTCGGGGCCACTAGTTACTGCTTCGGCGGTACGTCCCTGCACCCCGTCTTCTTGACTCAACGTGTTTTTACCACAGGTAGATATACATTTGTCATTGCATTCGACAAAGTCATCCAATGCGCCGTCGTCGCTCACCCCTCGCTCTTGGAAGTCCCCAAAGACCTCGAGGCAACCCTCATCGTTCTTACAGGATTCCCCCGCTGACCCCGCTCTTTTAGACATACTTCATAAAAGCAAAAGTACCTCTCCTTATCAATGCATGCAAGAACGATAGGTCGTTCCCTGCGGAATCCCAAGCGAAGGCTGGCGAGATTTCTGGGGATGGGAAGTTTGCTCCAGGATACAGGCTCGAGTATTTCCCTGGTTGCACGCATGAGTTTGCTGTCCGTGGGGATCTGACTGACCCACTTGTCAAGGCTGGGAAGGAGGAGGGATCGTTCAAAACTAGCGTGGGGTTCTTCCTGACGTACCTGTGAGCTGTCGAGGGCACCAAAATCATGTCTTCACCAGCCCCTGCGAAGCAAGAAGACATCTGCGATTTGATCAAAATTCAATGTTCAATTACAAATGTAAAAATCGTATGACATGTTGCGATTGTCCACTATAGCCACGTCGCTAGCCGCGCGAACATGCCAGGAATATCACAGCGTATGCAGGTCAATGTAGGAAGCTTCCAATGCATCATCATGGTGGTTGGCGTTCTCGAGTTCGTCGATCGTGTAGTTCAATTAATCAAGAGATCTAACACTCCCACAGAATGTTTTTGTCCAAGAAAGTTAAAAGGTATCACGATTCATTGGCTATCCTGAGTGCACGCTAAAGTTTACATATGGAAAACGCGGGGTTCATAATTAATAATGTAAAGGACGTACTCACATCATGTGTCGATAGAATATTGTATCAAGTCCATGCTGGTATCACAATAGAAGCGATAGTAGAACCGAAATACCCCAGGGAAGTCCACGAAACTATTCTAGCAACAAAAACACGACCGGCCGCCTCCATGATCTCCAGCGTTGATATGCACTGCTGCGGCTTGCTGTTGTGAATTGGTGTCTGGTAGAGAATCGTCATCACGTTCCAGGTCATCGTCGAGGAGGTGGCTAGGAGCACCTGCTGCAGCATTGCGCTGTAGATTTATGCATGAGACATTAAAGACGCAGTGATAAACATCGAGGGAGAGCACCTCTTGACCCTGCGCATAGGGAACGTCGATGACGTGTGGTGCTGCATGATTGGTGCGCCAGGTTAGTAGATATCTTAGATGGGATCTGAAGGTAGTGGCAGAGGTGGCAGAGGCTTGCGTAGTGGGCGGCACCGGTGGAGGAGCTGGACGAAGGGTCCTTGTCACAGCGACCCTGAGTCTCTTGAGGCGTCCTTGGCGCCGCTGAGGTCGTGATCGCGAACTTTGAGTACACTGTAACAAATGACGCATGAGTGAGAAAAATGTACTGTTGCACGCACGTCCATTCCCCGGAAGAAATCAGGTTCCGTGTCGTAGCCTTCTTGATCTTTCCCAGGGATCTCCATCTGGAAAACGGTCAGTAGCGAATGGGATGAGGAAGAGAGTACGTGCACGAAGAACACGATCGTTGGCCTCAGCGAGCGCGCTGTATTCTTGTCGGAAAGCTGAGTGGATGTGGGTAAGGATTATAGCATGGGGTAATGAAGACCTACCATTGGACCATTCAAGACAGTCGACCTTCGTGGTTTCATCAATGGTGTCCATCATGGATTGGTGGGATTCAAGGGCTTCGTCAATTTTACCTGCTGAAAGCAAAGCCTGGCAGAGTTTCTGGCTTGCTTTTAGCCACAAGGACTCGAGGTCCCATCCGAAGAGCTGCACAAACCACGGAGTTCGGCGTGAGAACGTTCGGATGAATCACGTCAACGTACCACCACTAAATCAACATATATAGTTTGAAAGGTTGAGAAAGCACTGGAGTTTACGGCGGCAGCGAAGTGACCAGCAGCTTCTTCGTGACGTGCGCCATCTGAGGCATTGATTCCGAGTTGAATGGACAGATATGCCTGATATGCAAAGTTCAAAGAGATCAGTGTCAATGCACCAACCTGGGGTGTACATGATACTCACTTCTATGACGCGACACACAACAGTATCATTATTCGGACAAACGGAAGCTAGCTCTCGGACGCGAAGAAATGCCTCTTCATGATATCCTGCATCGAAAATAGCGATGGCCTGCAAACTGAAATGAAGTGGGGAGTATGTAAGAAAGATGTAACGTGCCTTAATCAAGAGAATGAAACGAATGATGTCTGAATCTTCGTTTGCGAACATGAATGCCATGTCGAACGCTTGCATCGAGTCGCAGAACTGCCCTTTTTCACAGAGGGTGATACCTTTAGAGATATAGCCTATCAAGGACGGCTTAATGTTAATGGACTATGACAGTTAGTGTTTTGTAGGGAGCTCGTAATGGGTGGTCTATGTCACCTTGATTGCATCCTGAAGCGCGTGGTCGCATTGATGTTGTCGTGCCATAACAATTGAGTGATGTGCGTAGGCGTGGTAGTCGTCGGCATCAGTGTCAATCTCTTGCGTGAGTAGCATTTCAGCGATAGACAAGTCCCCGGCAATGCATGCATCGCGGAGTGACGATGACATATTGATAGGGAGGATCTGGATGAAGCATGTTTAAATTGCACTATGAGAGTCAAAGACGGAAACATGCCTTGAAATGACTGTTCTTGGGTATTTCCCGCTCTGAGATCAGGTTGTCATCACCTCCGCTGAGGATGTGCTTGCCGTCCGTTGAGAAAGTGATGCAGCACTGCGGGTCTGAGTGCTGGAAGATGGCAACAGTTCGTCGATCTGAGAGCCGCCAGAGACGGACATGCTTGTCCTCAGATGCGGAAGCGACAAGTGTACCAGCAGGGTTGATGGCAATGGCATTGATTCTACCGGTATGGCCCATCCAGCCATCACCGACCTCCTTCCAGGTTGATGTATCCCACTCCCGTATGGTGGGATCCTTGTCACCTCCCCCTGATAGAAGGCGTGTGCCATCAGGCGTCCACCTCAGTGAGTTGTTCCAATAATTTGTGGGAGCCTTGAGTTTGAAATTTGCGATGCTTTCCCTTGTACCTGGATTATAAATTTCGATGTTGCTGAATGTCGCGATAGCAAGAAGTTCGCCAGACGGCGAATACCGAATGCAGACGACATCATCACTACAAATGATTGGATCTCCTTGGATCTCCCATGTTTTCGTACTCCACAGTTTCACCGGATCATTGGGTCCACCAGTGGCGAGCACTGTTCCTTCGGGAGAAAAGTCCAATGACAAGATCTGAAAGTGGGATTTCATGGGTTGGGTGAGAGGTTCCCCAGTTTCTCCGTGCCAGGCGATGAACTCTCCGCTGTCATCACCGCTTGCTACCAGTTCCCCATCTTGTGATACTGCCAATGCCACCACATAGCTCCCATGTCCCTCCATCTTCTTCAACACAACGCCTGTCTCCAAGTCCCACAGACAAACCGTCTTGTCTCCGGAGCCGGTAGCCATTCGTCGTCTATCGGGGAAAACTGCGACTGCCATCACACTGCTCTCATGATCTTTAAACTCCCGAAGAGGTGTGTTGCTTGTAATGAGCTGCGCCATTTTACTAGAGGTCACGGTCGGGGTGATTTTGGGTCGAGGCATTGTGGGCTGAGCTACAGAGGTGAGTGTTTTACGCTGTTCGCTTCATTAAGCTGCCTTGTGTTTTCATAGACACCCAGGACATGAGGCTGTCCGCATCTACCCCTCCATTGGGCTCTGTTATCCCTTCCTCGACAGTATAACCCTCTCTGCGCATCTGCATATGGCTCTAACTCGTATCTCCACAGCTTTCAACATGCGTCGTCTTATTTCCACTCGGAATTGGGATACAGACCAGACCGTACCCGTCGAGTCTTTCTGGGTATACGGGCCGGTCCAATGTCACGACCGCTATCTATCCCACGGCTACATGAATGGTATCGTGTTCCTACGTGCCGAGCTGATGCACCAGCACATCATCATGAAACCTGTCGGGATGGTCAACATTCTCGGATGCATGTAGCTCACGGTACTCGAATGCACTTTGCATTTGACAGGCCTCGCTTCTCGCGTCCCAAATGACTATTAGTTCTGCACGGAGCCCTTTCCACCTTCCAAGGCATACTTTATTCCACAGTTTGTGTGGCAATTTTTTCGACAGCATCACTACCTTTCTTCCAGCACTCTGCTCGTCGTTCAATTCACTCCTCAGCTTCACCACTCCCGGAATGGGTTTCAGTCTTTCACCTGCTATCCCTTCCCAAATCATTGACATCCTGGATCATACAAGTAGAGGTGCAATTTGGTTGAAATATTCTACTAACATCGGCGAGCTCTCTAAGCACTCGAAGCTACCCGAGCAATTGTCACTGCGGACATTCGGGAATGCTATCTACGATGAAATAGATGGACCCAATCCTTGGACCGCCGGGGGAACACAAGTAAGTATCACAATATTTTACCTAATACTCTGATCCCCATTACCATGCACCAGGTGCTGGTTGATTGATCTCGCGAAGTAACTTGCGGTCAATGATACATGGTTATTCGGGAACACCGTGTACTATATCCATCTTGAATAATAATTGATGCATACTGATGATGATGAAACAACTGCTACGCGGATGGAACGACGGGGTCATGTCAGAGCATCTCATCTCCCGCATTCACATCCTTGACGTCCACGGCCAAGTGAGCAGGCTATCATACTCGTGATCACTTGGGTATTATGGGGAAGGCGATGGCGAATGACATGGTGCTGTTCATGATCCCCATGAATCACTTGTTCATTACCGCGTCGAAGATAATGTTCCGGTTGAACAGTACTGAGGTGCGCCTACTTGCAGACCTGGGTGTTGGGTATACGAGTGCTTCAATATCGAGGCCTAGTCAGGGGATCCGGGGTGTACTGGACAGATCACTTTGTAGCCAAACTCGCGCCCTCCGATCGTCGCAGTACGCTGAAATATTAATGTTCCAGCGTTCAAGTCTCCGACCACTGAAGGCATGTCAAGACTACCTGAAGCTGGCTTGTGCGTTGACGTCTATGGTTACGCGTCAGGTGGCAGTGAGTATGGGAAGTCGCCGTAGGAAGCATCCCTTCAATCTCATCATGGAGGTGGGCGTTTTGCAATTCATCGACCGCGCAAGAGCTCTACGGCTCCCACATAATGTTTTCATCCAGGGACATTAAAAAAGGACGTATTCATCACGTATCGATAACATATTGTTTCAAGTCCACGGTGGTATCACAACAGAAGCGATAGTAGAACTGAAATACCCCGGGGGACATCCACGAAATATCTCTACAAGCAGAAACAATACCGGCCGCCTCCATGTTCCCCGGGATCAGGCTGCACCGCTGCGGGTTGCTGTTGTGAATTGGGGTCTGGTAAAGGATCGAAATAATCATCAGGTACCAAGTCATCGTCGACCTGGCTAGGAGCACCCGCGGCAGCATTGTGCTGAAGTTTACAACGCATTTCCAAGTACCTGTCAATGAATCATAAATTTGGATGTCCCAGTTTGGCAAGATGTTTGCCAGACGGCGAATACCGAACGCAGAGGACCGAATCACTAGACTTGATTGAATCTCCTTGTGCGCTGTGATGGGTTGGGTGAGAGGTGTTCCAGTTTCTCCGTCCCAGGCGATGATCACTCCATTGGCATCACCGCTTGCTACCAGTTGCCCATCTCGTGATATCGCTAATGCCTGCACTGAATCATGGTGTCCCTCAATCTCCTTCAACACAACACCTGTCTTGAAGTCCCATAGACGAAGTGTCTTGTCATATACCTTTGCAGGGGAGACACTACGGAGTGCACTTGTAGCGCTGCTGCTGCAGCCAGCACACGTCAAAGTCGAACAAACAATGCTTGTGTATACCCTATGTCTGCTCCCTGGCCAAACCCTACAAGGAATTCGAAACATCAGGGAGACGGGACGAAAATGTTGCACCTGAAATCCGTCCTTCCCCCACAGTGCACACTGGACCAGGCCACGCATCTCAGCCGAAGCTACGCGAGGTGCGTTCGATTGTTGACCGACTGTCACTGCGGATGTCCAGGAACGTTATCAACTCTGGAGTAAATAGACACATTCCCTGGACCATCGGAAGACCAGATAACTATTGCAACATTCAAGCAATGTTTGATGACTCAAATCTTTCTAGCACGATGACATTTTAGAAAATGCTCTGACTCTGTCCCCAATCACCATATGAGAGGCTTCGCGAATGACTTCCCCCTTAATTTATACTAAAAATTATACTAAAAATGGGTGCCTACAATAGCTCCTAGCTGATGACTTTGCGAAAAACGGCTTCAAGGTTTGCGCTCAAAGATGTACAAGTATATGGATAAGACATCGGCACCATACAGGTCATTTTGATCGAGTACTACAACAGCGATTCTCTTCCCCCTGATGCCTTGAATGTCAGTAGTTTTGACCGATGCCCTCATCAATATCGCAGGTTCTAACCCATGTCCATATCAGAGAATTGATGAGTCCTTGATATCGTAGCCGTGGGAAGTATAGAACGATGTAATTCTGCTTTTGCTAAATACATGTCCACTCACAGGATAAAACATTGAACTTCAGGGGGTGGCTTGCCACCCATGGCGCCGAGGTGACCTGCCTGCCCCTCGACAAGGTCATCGCCGCGCTCACGGAGGAAGGCATCACCAGATTCGAGGCCACTAGTTACTGCTTCGGCGGTACGTCCCTGCATTCCGTCTCCTTGACTCAACGTTTTTCCACCACAGGTAGATACACATTTGACCTTGTATTTGACAAAGTCATCCAATGGGCCGTCGTCGCTCACCCTCACTCTTGGAAGTCCCCAAAGACCTCGAGGTAATCCCCATCATTCTTACAGGATCCCCCCGCTGACCCCGCTCTTTTAGACATACTTCAAAAAAGCAAAGCACCTCTCCTTATCAATGCATGCGAGAACGATAGGTTGTTCCCTGCGGAATCCCAAGCGAAGACTGGTGAGATTTTTAGCGATGGGAACTTTGCTCCAGGGTACAGGCTCGAGTATTTCCCTGATTGCACGCATGGGTTTGCTGTCAGTGGGGATGTGACTGACCTACTTGTCAAGGCTGGGAAGGAGGGATCGTGCAGGGCTAGCGTGGGGTTCTTCCTGACGTACCTGTGAGCTGTCGAGGGCACCAACTTCATGTCTTCACCAGCCCCTACGAAGCAAGAAGAAATCAGCGATTTGATCAAAATCCAATGTTCAATCACAAATGTAAAAATCGTATGACATGTTGCGATTGTCCGCTGTAGCCACGTCGCTAGCCGTGCGAGCATGCCAGCAGTATCACAGCATATGCAGGTCAATGTAGGAAGCTTCCAAGGACATCATCGTGGTGGTTGGCATTCTCGAATTCGTCGATCGTGTAGCAAGAGATCTAAGACTCCCACAGAATGTTTTCGTCCAAGAACGTTGAAAGGTATCACGATTCATTCGCTATTTTGAGTGCACGCTAAGCTTTACATATGGAAAACGCAGGGTTTGTAATTAATAATGTAAAGGACATACTCACATCACGTATCGATAGAATATTGTATCAAGTCCATGCTGGTATCACAATAGAAGCGATAGTAGAACCGAAATACCCCAGGGAAGTCCACGAAACTATTCTAGCAACAGAAACACGACCGGCCACCTCCATGGTCTCCAGCATTGATATGCACTGCTGCGGCTTGCTGTTGTGAATTGGTGTCTGGTAGAGAATCTTCATCACGTTCCAGGTCATCGTCGAGGAGCTGGCTAGGAGCACCTGCTGCAGCATTGCGCTGTAAATTTATGCATGAGACATTGAGAACGCAGTGGTGAACATCGAGGGAGAGCACCTCTTGACCCTGCGCATAGGGAACGTCGATGACGTGTGGTGCTGCATGATTGGTGCGCCAGGTTAGTAGATATCTTAGATGGGATCTGAAGGTGGTGGCAGAGGTGGCAGAGGTGGCAGAGGCTTGCGTAGTGGGCGGCACCGGCGTAGGAGCCGGACGAAGGGTCCTTGTCACAGCGACCCTGAGTCGCTTGAGGCGTCCTTGGCGCTGCTGAGGTCGTGATCGCGAAGTTGGAGGATACTGTAATGAATAATACATGAGTGAGAAAAAATGTATGCACTGTTGCACGCACGTCATGCATTCCCCGGAAGAAATCAGGTTCTGTGTCGTAGCCCTCTTGATCTTGCCCGGGGATCTCCATCTGGATGACCGTCAGTAACAAAAGGGATGAGGAAAGGAGTAAGTACGCGAAGAATGTCGTTGGTCGCAGCGAGCGCGCTGCATTCTTCTTTGAAAGCTGAGTGAAATGTAGGTGAGGATTATGGTATGGGGTAACAAAGACCTACTATTGGACCAATCAAGGTAACTGGCCTTCGTAGTTTCATCAATGGTGTCCATCATGGATTGGTGTGCTTCGAGGGCTTCTTTGACTTTACCTGCTGAAAGCAAAGCCTGGCAGAGTTTCTGGCTTGCAGTCATCCACATGGACTCGAGGTCCCATCCAAAGAGCTGCACAAAATACGGAGTTCGCGTGAGAAGCATGTTCGGATGAATCACATTGACGTACCACCACCAAGTCGTCGTATATATTTTGGATGGTTGATGTAGATCGGAAAGCACTGGAGTTGACAGCGGCAGCAAAGTGGCCAGCAGCTTCTTCGTGACGTGCGCCATCTGAGGCATTGATTCGGAGTTGAATAGACAGATATGCCTGATATGCAAAGTTCAAAAAGATCAGCGTCAATGCAGGCACCTGTAGTGTACATGATACACACTTCTATGACACGACATATAAGAGTATCATAATCATAATTCGGACGAACGGAAGCTAGCTCTCGAACGCGGAGAATTGCTTCGTCATGTTCTCCTGCATTGAACATGGCGATGGCCTGAAAACTGAAATGAAGTGGGGAGTATGTAAGAAAGATGGAACGTGCCTTAATCAAGAGAATGAAATGAATGATCTTTGAATCTTCGTTCGCAAACATGAATGCCATGTCGAACGCTTGCATCGAGTCGCGGAACTGCCCATTTTCAGAGAGGGCAATACCTTTAGAGATATAGCCCATCAAGGAAGGCTTAATGATGATGGACTATGTCATGATGACAGTTAGTGTTTCGTAGGGAGCTTGTAATGGGTGGTCTATGTCACCTTGATTGCATCCTGAAGCGCGTGGTCGCATTGATGTTGTCGCGCCATAACAATTGCGTGATGTGCGTAGGTATGGTAGTCGTCGGCATCGGTGTCAATCTCTTGCGTGAGTAGCATTTCAGCGGTAGACAAGTCCCCGGCAATGCATGCATCACGGATTGACGATGACATATTGATAGGGAGGATCTGTATGAAACATGTTCAAATTGCAACATCAGAGTCAAATACGGAAACATGCCTTTAAATGAATGGCATGTGTTGCCCACTCTGAGATCATGTTATCAGCACCTCCGCTGAGGATGTGCTTGCCGTCCGTTGAGAAAGTGATACAGTACTGCGAGTTTGAGTGCTGGAAGATGGCAACAGTCCGTCGATCTGAGAGCCGCCAGAGACGGACACGGTTGTCCTCAGATGCGGAAGCGACCAATGTACCAGCAGGGTTGATGGCAATGGCATTGATTCCACCAGTATGGCCCATCCAGCCATTACCGACCTCCTTCCAGGTTGATGCATCCCACTCCCGTATGGTGGCACTGTCCCCTAGGCCTGAGAGAAGGCGTGTGCCATCAGGCGTCCACCTGAGTGAGTTGTGCCAATAATTTGAGCGAGCCGAGAGTTTGAAATTTGCGATGCATTCCCTTGTGCCTGGATTATAAATTTCGATGTTGCTGTCTGTTGCAATGGCAAGAAGTTCGCCAGACGGCGAATACCGCAAGCAGACGACATGATCACTACAAATGATTGGATCTCCTTGGATCTCCCATGTTTTCGTACTCCACAGTTTCACTGTTGTGTTTCTTCCACCGGTGGCAAGCACTGTTCCTTCGGGAGAAAAGTCCAATGACCCGATCGAAGAGTGGGCTTTGATGGGTTGGGTGAGAGGTTCCCCACTTTCTCCGTGCCAGGCAATGAGTTTTCCGTTGATATCACCGCTTGCTACCAGTTGCCCATCTTGTGATGCTGCCAATGCCATTACCGTACCGCCATGCCCCTCCATCTTCTTCAACACAACGCCTGTCTCCAAGTCCCACAGACGAACCGTCTGGTCGAACGAGCCGGTAACCATTCGTCGTCTATCGGGGAAAACTGCGACTGCCCATACGGCGCTCTCATGATCTTTAAACTCTCGAAGAGGTGTGTTGCTCGTCATGGGCTGCGCCATTTTACTAGAGGTCACGGTCGGGGTGGTTTTGGGTCGAGGTATTGTAGGCTAAGCTGCGGAGGTGCGTGTATTGTGCATTTTACGCTGTTCCCTTCATTAACCTGCCTCGTGTTTCTATAGACGCCTAGGACATGAGGCTGTCCGCATCCACCCCTCCATTGGGCTCTGTTATCCCTTCCTCGACAGTATAACCCTCTCTGCGCATCTGCACATCGCTCCAACTTGTATCTCCACATGCGTCATCTTGCCTCCACTCGGAATTGGGATACAGACCAGACGGTACTTCTCGAGTCTTTCTGGTAGGGCTAGTCAGGTGTCATGATCACTATCTGTCTTACAGGACTACATGAATGGTGTCGTGTTTATACACGCCGAGCTGATGCGTCAGCACATCATCATGAAACCTGTCGGGAGGGTCACATTCTCGGATCCATGTCGCTCATGGTACGACCAATTCAATCATCCCTTCGATTCCCAATACATCGAATGCACTTTGCATTTGACAGGCCTCGCTTCTTGCGTCCCAAATGACTATTAGTTCTGCACGGAGCCCTTTCCACCTTCCAAGGCGTACTTTATCCTACACTTTGTGGTGTTATCTTTCGATGGCATCACTACCTTTCCAGCATTCTGCTCATCGTGCATTTCGCTCCTCAGCTTCATCACTCCCGGAATGGGTTTCAGTCTTCACCTGCTATCCCTTCCTAAATTCTTGACATCCTGCATCATACAAGTAGAGGTGTAATTCGGTTGAAATGTTCTACTAACCTTAGCGAGCTCTGCGTTCAATCATTAATTAATTATCACCGCGGGTGTTCAGGAACGCTATCTAAGATGAAATAGATGGACCCAATCCCTGGAACGCCGGGGGAACACGAGTAAGTATCACAATATTTTACTTAATGCTTTGATCTCTATTACCATGTACCAGGTGCTGTGTCATCGATCTCGCGAAGTAACTTGCAGTCAATGATAGATGATTCTTCCCGAACACTGTACTATCCCCATCGCGATTCATACCTATGAGGTTGAAACAATTAATGGAATTATTACATTGTGAATGTAGAACGACGGGGTCATGTCAGAGCATTTCATCTCCCGCATTCACATCCTTGACGTCCACGGTCAAGTGAGCGGACTATTATAGGTCACTTGGGTACTATGGCGAAGGCAGTGGCAAATGACATGGTGCTGTTCACGCTCCTAGGATCCTGATGAATCACTTGCTCATTACCACGTCAAAGATGGTATTCTGGTTGAACAGCACTGAGGTGCGCCTACTTGCAGCCCTGGGTGTTTCAGTGGTTGGGTATACAAGTGCTTCAATATTGGGGCCTAGTGAGGGGATCCGAGGTGTACCGAACAGATCGCTTTGTGGTTAGTATTTTTTGACGAGAGTGAGTACTATTCTTATACTAAGCTCTGAGCCTCGCTATCACCTCGACCGTCCAAAAGGAACTCAAACTTAAACGGGAGTCCAGGCTTCCCTTCATCCTTACAGTCTGCAATGGTGTCTTGCTTATTAGAGCCCGTTCAGCAACCGACATTTGAACAAAATTTAGCCAACCAAACAAATTGTGCATGAGCGGCATGAAAGCCGACATGTCGGAGTTTGAATTCACTTGCCCTCCGACTATGATGACGATTCCTACTACTATTAGCCATCGATACGGTCCTCTGCAGCGAAAGCGCATCTTTGCAACTGTAGCTGTTCTCACTGTCTGTACCCAGTTTCAACTCCTGTCTATGACCAGCATCAGGAAAACGTCCGAGTGCTTAAATCATTCTTAAAGTGCCTTATTTACCTTATTTCACTGCTTCGAGCCCATTTTTTATCACTTGAAATAAGGACCATTAAGTAGGTCCATGTCCTTATAATAAGGCCAAATGACATTTAAGGCACGTAAGGAACACAAAAAGAATACTATTAATGCGTCTTAGACAGCCAAACATAAGGGGAAATAAGGAGATCTGCAAGTTTAAGGAAGGGGGGTATATATTGTGTCCATAGTAGAATGTGATACCTAGTTGTGGGAATGAGCTGAAAAAAAACAGGGTATATAGAGTGAGTTGTCTGAACCAGTGCCGACTTGGAGGTAGATGTTGAACAGGTGTGTTCTATTCAACAAATATCAGCTGGTGAAAAGAAAATGAAATAAAAAATTACAGATGCGCAGGCGGGCATGCTTGTTAGCAGGAGCGATTGAATGGGAGGAACCAGAACTATCCTCTGCTGCTGAGTGACGATTGTGATGTGGGTGCTTCATGTACTCTTCGGCACAAGTAAGAATATCCTGAATGCGAGAGTGTGGCAAATCTTTGACGCTGTCCATGTATGCCAAGGTGTCTGTCTCCCAGTTCCCAGAGGAGAATGCTGTTCCGGTATGGCTCATCTTGTTCGTCGCTTCATTGAGTGTTTGCAGGATCTTGTGATTCTTGCCACCACTGCCGGAGGGGTCGCTATCGATCAACAAATGACTTTGAACCAGGATGAGAGCACGTTCAGCCTGTAGATACACTAGTTAATGTTCTGCTGGTGCAAGATAGAGAGTGAAAGAGGGAAAATTTGGGCACTTACTGCTGCGGCAGCAAGCGCAAGTGCGGTCAGATACCCAGGCTTCCCGAATTCAACCAGGTCATCAACCCTCACTTTCCCAGATATTGCGCTGAGATGGGAGGCGAAAATGCATAAGATATACTCTGATAAAAATGCGCCAGGTTGCTCTTCATTGTCAGGATCTTCATACACAAAACGGCAGTCCTGGAGTTGATCTTCAGCGTACTCTTCACGAGCTTCCTGGGTCTTTGTCATATACCTGATCCGACCGCTCTGATATTGATATCCACTCCGCTTTCCGACCCCCTCCGCCCCATCCATCCTCCGCTCTGTCCAATCACAAGTCCACATTCCACCCCTATGCTTCCGCTCGACTGCTCAACCGGTCCCCTTCCATAACCTGTCCATTCAACTGGACCTCTTTCCCCTTTTAGATATATACTTTCCCCTTCGGTACATAGACCCTTACTTCCGGATCACCGGTAATTCCTATTGCCGCCCGATCACTGATCCGACACGTACATATTGATATCCGCTCTGACTTATGTCTTCGCCTGTGTAAAGTACTTACAAACTATATCCTTGGTACATAGCTTTACAACATAGTATCCTGATCACTGCCTCATACATAGAAAGTATATAACATATCATGTACTTAGATATTTTCCTCAGTCTTAATATTACTTGTCTTCTCGCAGTTACCTCTTGTGGGAATTCTCAGTAGGACCTTGCCTCCTCTGGACACAAGTCTCAACTTGTTGTCACCTCCGACCCTCCGCTCCGACTTAGAGCCGTGCTCTAAGTGTTCCTCTTATTCCTCCACCCCTATCAATATTCCCCTTATCCCTTTTCCCGGCCTCCGCATTATCCTCTGCCTTCCCCACCCCTACCAAACCTTCTCCCTGCTCCTATCCACCCTCTGCATCACTCCCCGCCTTCTCCGCTCCACTCCTAGTCGGCTCGCTGCTAGTAGCTCTTACTTCCCGACCCTCAAAGCGGACCTAAGCGGTTCACTTGTCCTATCGTCGGACAACGTCGGACCCGCTCCAAATTTGGGGCATGTACTCGGCTAAGGGCACAGTGCGAGAGCTGAAGCCAAGCCCCGACCCCTCTGCCTCCTGAGCCGGCACGGTACCTAACAGTCTTGTACTCGGGTGTTGAAGCAAAATAGGCCATCAAAACGCTGACAGCAGTTGAACCAAATGCAGCACGCCACTTGTGAATCCTTTGGCATACCTGGGATGTCTGAATGAGCAGCTGTATCTAAGTTGAGTGAAAGGTAAAACAATGCAAACCAAATGAAATGCAAAGCCATCAGGACAGAAATCGCTGGGTCCTCGGCGGCTACTGTACACGGCATTGTATATATATTCAAGGGCACTCTTGAGCTCGTTCTCTGGGATGGACCATCCATGGTCACTATTACCCACCCAGTACATCAACATGGGAAGGAAACTTATGCGCCATTGACCTTGTTCAAGGGCTCCGCTGGGTAGGTCTGAATTCTTGGCTTTACCTTTTTTGATCTTGGTGCGTGGATTGTCAGAGATGGTATCCTCAGTCTTGACCAGCTTGCCGGCGATCTTTGAGTCCGAGATATCAACTGACATCTATCAGAGTATCAGGTGCATTTCTATCATGATTCATCAAATAAATTCTTACCAGACTTGTACGTTGTGTCACAATAGCCTCAGCCTTCAAGCTTTTTTGATCTGCGCATCCATCATCATCCACCATTTCCATATCGCCATCATACTGCTCCTCTGCATTTCCAGCAGCCTCTGAGTCATCGAGAAGCTCAAATTCTTCCTGCTCGGCATACTCAGCTTCTTTCGGGGCAGGAAGTGGACGCTTGAGGCCTTTCGAGGTGTTTCTTGGTTTCTCCACCAAATGCACCAAGTCCTGACTTAAGTAATTACACATTCCAAACTCAAGTAAACTCTAACCTTTCTGCCCTGGGTTGCCAGCGGCTCATAGTACTCATCATCATCAAGGTCAGCATCAAACTCCACTATTTGGGGTGTCTTGGAAGTGCACGTGCTAGGTGGGCAGATGGCTTTAGCTGGGCCTCAGATGCAACTTTTTCAGCCCAATCCGGAATAAGGCCTTCAAGATCTTGGACACCTGCCAGCTTCTGATTCATGCTTTTGTTGCATGCACAAATGAAATCAAAATAATACAAGGTGAGTTCTGTTAGAATCAACATCATGGACAAAAGAAACTTACAAAAATCTGATTTTCCCATCGTCAACCATGCTTTCAACACGTGTGTCACTGTGACTTGTAGCAATCGTGACTCTGCTATTAGACACCTTGCGATTAGCAGTGACCCCATCACGAAAGTTCATCTTCAATCCTTGATGTTTCCTCCTTACAGGTTGGTCAGTCTGACCGTCTTCAGTAGCTGGCTCTGCCAGTGATTGAGCCACTTTACAAGCATCAAACAATCAGCCTAGTAGGTGAGTCATTCAAGCGCTGGACTACTCACTTGTGACTACTAAATTTTCTTGATTAGTTTTACTCTTACTGCCAGTGACTGCGTGAGGCTTTGGACGTGGCCAAACGAGCTTTGGCGGACCCATCATCTGAGCATTCTGCTGGACGGCCATAGCATCTTCGACAACTGCAATCACTGTGCATGTTTTTTTTCGGCTTCGGCATGAACATCCTTCTGAACTTGTTTTTGCAATTTTTCAGCAGCAACTTGCTCTTTGGTTCGCTGGTGTGCCTTGTTTGCATCCCAGACAATCTGTCTGGGATGCTTGTTCGCATTACTGGGGCGTGTTTGTGGACGAGACATTGGGAAACGAATGAATGATAGAAATGAGTGACAGGAAGGAAAATGACAGACTAACGATCAGAAAAAACATGGTTCGGGTGAGGGTTAGTCTCTTTGCTTTCAATTCAATCTGACCCGAAACAAGTAAGTTCACACAGTCCAGTAACACTGTTCAAGTCGGCAACTCATTGCAGAACTCAACAAAAATATGGGTGCACTTCCTTGTCTCATGCCTGGCTGCAAGCGTATTTTCAAAAATAAGTCAGGCCAAATGAAACACATGTGTATGCTGCATCCCAGGCCTTTGCGCAATCATAGGAAGTTTCATCAAGCAGCTCCTGCACCACCGCATTCTCCAAGTCCTGAGCGTCACAATGAAGATGATGCACTTCATCTAGATGAGAACGGCCCAGGAGACGGTTTTATGCCGGATGCAGACACTTGTGTGCAGTTGGGTCCTTTATTTCAAACATTTCGTCCTCATCTCACAGGTAAAATTTTGTACTATATGCTCATTCAAATCTGACGTACTAGTAGGACTCAAGTGCAACATCAATGGTGATTTCATCGACCAGAACTCGCCCCCGCCACTTCGAACCAATGCATTACCTACTGACTGGACCCCATACAAGAGTCGAGTTGCATTTGAAACAGCCGAATTCCTCTTCACACGCAATCAAATGTCCGCAGGGCAGATTGATACCCTCCTTGATCTCTGGGCGGCAACACTCATCCAATATAACGATTCCCCTCCATTTGCCTTGCACTGTGACCTGTATGACACCATTGATTCGACACCGCTTGGCGACGTTGCTTGGGAGAGTTTTTCAATGTCGTATAAAGGAGTCAAGCCAGCGGAAAATGTTCTGCCATGGATGAAGGTGACATATGAAGTATGGTTCTGTGATCCTCGTCTTCTTATTCACAACATACTCGCCAATCCTGAATTTGATGGCGAGATTGAATATACTCCATACCAGGACTATGACGACAATAATTAATGCTGCTTCAAAAAAAATTTCTCTGGTGACTGGGCTTGGCAGCAAGCAGTAAGTTTATATGTCTTTCCTTTTCTTTGAGCTAATGACACGTCACATTACAGGATAAGATTGCCGAGGATCCAGAGATGCACAGATCAACCTTCGTGCCTCTGATTGTCGGAAGTGACAAGACTACGGTATCAGTAGCTACAGGTCACACTGAATACCATCCACTATATCTCTCGATTGGAAATGTCTTCAACAGTGTTTGACACACACACCACAACAGCCTTGTATTGGTAGGGTTTCTTGCAATACCAACAAGTGAGTTAATATATTTCGTGTTGCTTCAACCACTCATTCGTCACAGCCACCAAAGAAGATGCTGATGATGTCGACTTTCAAAACTTCCACTGGCAATCATTTCACTCCTCTCTCACCAATATATTCAAGTCCTTAAAGAAAAACATGACGACTCCTGACGTTGTTCACTGCCCTGACGGCCATTATTGATGAGTGATATATGGGCTAGGACCGTATATAACTGATTATCCAGAGCAAGTGTTACTCTCTGGGATTGTAACGGGTTGGTGTCCGAAGTATGTACTTTTCAATGTCTTGTTATTGACTTCTAACTAACGTTGTTTAAGGTGTTTGAATAATCGAAATGCTCTTGATGGTGATGGATTACTCCAGTGCCAAGAGCACATTGACTTGCTTGTTCAAGAGCTCCAGCACAAACAGTTGTGGTACGAGTACGGTATTGTTGGAGATGTTGTGGTATGTTTTTTTATTTATTCATAGTTATTGATTCTAATTTGTGTTCAAGCCATTTACAAATGATTTTGCTCATGCAGATATACACAAGCTTCTTTCGCCGGACCTCCTACACCAAATCACCAAAGGTACCTTCAAGGATCACCTCATTGACTGGGTGGGAGAATACCTAGAGCATATGCATGGTAAAGCACGCACAGTGGAGATTCAGGATGATATTGATTGAAGGTGAGTGAAGTTTTTCAATTGTCATCGCTACATTATATCTAATCTTTCAACAGGATAGCTGCAGTCACTCCTTTCGCAGGTCTGCAGTGCTTTCCTGAAGGGTGAGGATTTTCCCAGTGGACTGGTGATGATTCAAAAGCTCTTATGAAGGTATGTTACTGTCTTTTGAAATAATTTATAAACTAATGCTACAAGTACTAGGTCTATCTGCCTGCCATTAGAGGCCATGTTCCCCAAGACATCATTCGTGCATTCAGTGCCTTCCTGGACTTTTGCTATATTTTCCGGTGCGAGGCACTTACAGAAGACGATCTTGTGCAACTTCAAGATGCACTTGATTGTTTCCACCAGTATCACGAAGTGTTCAAGACCACAGGAGTCCGACTCACCTTTTCACTTCCCCGCCAACACTCTTTACAGCACTATGCTCAAATGATACGGCTCTTCAGAGCACCCAATGGCCTTTGCTCATTGATAACAGAGTCAAAGCACATCAAGGCTGTCAAAGAGCCCTGGCGCTGCTCTAGTAGGTATAAAGCACTAGGTCAAATGCTACTGACAAACCAGCGTCTCAACAAAATTGCTGCTGCATGCAGTGACTTTGAGGCTTGTGGTATGCTCCATGGATCATGTGTATCTGATGCTTTGCAAATGCTGAAAAACCGTATGTTTTTATTACTTCTATCTAAGTCTATTAACATAGTATTTTACAGGTCATTCACAGTCTCTCAGTGACGACGACGCGCTCGTCATGCCTCAAGAGCCTCTGATCCAAATACAAGTCAATGAACTGCAACACCAGACCACCGAGGGCGAAGCAGCTGACATCGTTGATGGACCAACTGTTGAAGCTCATGTGGAGCTTGCCGCAAAACCAAGTAAGTTTTCTATTACTACATCGAACGCATCTGATTTTGCGAAACATTCATTGTATTAGGTGGTGCATGTGATGTCCCTACTCTCACTCTCACTCTTGGGCTCCCTGAGTTTCCCGCCATGATCCAACAGTTTCTGTACGACCAACTTCACCTTACCAACCGTGAGCATGCCGCGTTTGATCCAGCCACAGCCCCAGCTTTCATGGGCCGCATTTTGATATATAGTTCAGCGGCTGCCTCATTCTATGCCCCCAGTGACCTCAGCGGCACTGGAGGCATGCAACACGAGCACATTTGGGCAACAACCTCATGGTGAGGAGGTCCTGCCCAGAATGATTGTGTTTTTGTTAGTATGAATGATGAGGTCAGTTGCGGCTTGGATGGGCTCACCGTCACAAGAGTGTTGTGCTTTTTTAGCCTCAAGTACCGAGCAAAATATTTGCAGTGCACAGTGGTTCGGTGGTTCTCATATGTCACTGACAGCCATGATCCTGACACAGGGATGTATATTGTCGCGCCCTCAACCAATGATAATGGCACACCCGATGTCTCAATCATACACATTGATTGTATATTCCACGCAGCTCACCTCATCCCTGTCTACGGCAACAATTTCATACCTTGTGAAGTCACCCTTCATAACTCCCACAACATGTTTCACACCTTCTATATCAATAAATATGCCGACCACCATGCATTCGAGGTTGGTGTCATATCCCATACCTCCGGATCTGGAATTCTGGATCTACTTCATTGAAGTCCGGTCCTCTGTCTTACTATTCTGCCCGGCGCTCCGCCTTCATCTCCGCACTCACCCCTAACTCCTTTTAGATTAGCTATTGCTCCGGTTACCGGTTATGTCCTATTCTGCTATGCTTACTGATCCATCCATTCTTACTTCATTTCTGACTTCACTGCTTTGATCCGTTATACTTAGTAATAGACTTTCCACATGCTCCGTACATAGCCCTTACCTTTGCTGACTGATTTACTTACATGATACCTAAGTATATAAACCCCTGTAATACTCCAGAACTCCTCAGTTTGAATATCATCTTAGTTCTGCTCATTCCTGCAATCTCTGGACTTGAGTCTCACCTCTTGTCCACCTCCGAGTCTTAGGGGTTAAACCTTAGGACTACTTCTCTGGCTCTACCTTAGGGTAGTCTAACCTCTGTTCTGTTTCTACTCTGGACTTCCATAGTAGCCTTACTCCGTCCCCACATAAGCCTTCTGGAGTTCCGCCGAACTCCATCGACACTAGTCCTCCAGAACTCCCCGGACTTCTGTCGGACTTCCCCTCTGTCCCCCGGAAATTAAAGGGCATGTACTTGGGTAAGGGGTGCAGTGCACGAGCTGAAGCTGAAGCCCTTTGAGCAACCTCTCCCTTGAGCATGACCTTAACAGTTGGGTAACATGCAGGTCTGTCATTATCTTCTGTCATTGCTGTCATAGTCTTATTTTTTGCTATCTACACCCTGCAGCATTATTACCTGGCCCAAGGTATTACTGCCTTTTCACTCCCAATCAACTCGATATGCACTTCACCACACCTCCCTTTGTTTTCAGCTTGCAAGTAAAGCCCCCACATTTTATTACATATATTCTTTGCTGCACCCCCCCCCCCCCCCCCCCCCCCCCCCCCATCTTCTTACTTACAAGTAATGCTCCAAGTCCCACATTTTATTGCTTAGACTCTCTGCTGCACCCCCCTCTGCTGATCTGGTCCTGCTGTCACTTTCATGCTCAAACGCAGAGGCCTTGGATGGCTTTGGATGGGGCCATATCATGTCTACTCTTCCAAGCCCTGGGCCTGTGGCTGGAGGTTCTATGTTCCCCCCTCCCCCATCTTCAGTGGCAGCTTCTAGCACAGGAAAACGCTCACACTCCGATATGATCCTTTCCACCACCACCCCCAAAACCTCTGTTCCAGAGTCTCCCACCAGCAGCACTGATAAAAAACCTAGATTATCAGCACACAGCGGCGGCAGCAGTAGCAACAACACTGGCATGTCACGCATCACTAGCGGCTCCGGCAAAAAGGCTGCCAAGGACACTGCCAGCACCGCTGCGTTTATGAACCTTCAAGGCTGCATCAACCACCTGATGGATAGTCTCACAGCATCGATGGTCAGTACTGATGAAACTCAGGTAGCGGATGAAAGATCGAGTGCCATGTCCATGATGCAAGACGAAGATGGTGTGTCAGGAGATGACAAGATCACCCTCATGAACGTGTTCATGAGGAGCCCAGTTGTATGCTCCACCTACTTGCTCAACAGGCCCAAGAATTGTCTACTCTTTTTAGAATCTGTTATCCGGCAGGCTCACAGGGGGGAGTATGGTGCATTCTAATTGTCTTCTCGCTCATCGAAATCATATCGCCGTCTTGTTGCTTCATCCTCTTTCATATCACGTCTTACAAATCACGTTACATAGCCTCCATTCATTGATATGCAGTGCATCTTCATGTTGTAGTCCTATGTACACTATACATCGTGAATTTATGCATCGTTACCATCATCCTCACTCCCATAGTACTCGTCTATGTTGTCCTCATTCTCCGAGTCTTCATCGATATCCAATGAGTGAGCTATGTTGATCAGATCACGCTCCTGCAAAATTGTCTGGTAATCTTCCCACATCTCAGTCGCCATGCGATCACGAAATATGTTGGCTTTGTTGTGGATGGTTGTGGGTTCGGGTGGGTTGTCGCATGCTTCACCAGGTCGTCCTTGATGGGTGGGGTTGTCGTTGAAGATGGCTCTCTGAGGTGGAGGCTCTTCATATGGGTCATGAGCGTGTATGTAATTATGAAGAGCGCATAGCACAGTGGGTATGCGCACCTGAATCCCTATTTTATACTCCGGGGATACTAAAAGAATGTGAAAGCGCCGCTTCAGAACACCGAAAATATGTTCAATAACGTTGTGAGCGGATGCATGGCGAAGATTAAACAATTCTTCCTTGTTGGTGGGTCTGGAAGCAGTGTTGGATGAGCTGAATAACAAAAAAAAGAGCCTATGACATACCTGACGCTGGCACAACCCCATTCAGCCAGATGGTACCGAACGCCGTGGTAAGGGACCAAAAGTTGTTGGCATGAGGGGAACCCCAGGTCTGCGAGAAGATATTTTCCTGCTGGAAGATTCAGCCTGTCATTGCGAGCTACATCCCAGAGCCGTGCATCGGTTGCGGATCCCTCCCATCCAGTGAGTGCAAAGGTGAAATTGAGGTTGAAATCACAAACGAAGAGGCAATTTTGAGAGATGAAACCTTTTCGATTGTAGTAGAGGTGGCGGGTGGCGGAGGGAGGGAACACATGAATGTGACTGCCATCAATCACTCCGATAGCGTCCCGGAAGTATGGCCATCATTTTGGGTTGTCGCGAATAGCACTGGAGACAGGGGCATTGTTGGCAGGAAGGTGTACATGTGTCGTATAGAAGGGGTGGGAGGCGAAAATCTCTAAGATCTTGCAGAAATACCTACAAGGGAGTTAGTGTCAGGCATGAAACATAGATCAAATCACAAACTTGGAAATAGTAGCGTTTGAATGCTGGAATCATTCTGCAACATGTCTGACCGTCAAACCTGTGACACAAGTGTACAGAAAAATCGTCAACTGCTCCTCGAGTGATACAAAGCGTGAATCTGTGTGACCGAAGTTTCGAAGGTCACACACCAAGCTTGCAGCGGATGCGCTCTGGGTGGCTGACAATCAACTCCATCACCCACTCTTGCCCTGTGAGGGCAGATGTGTGGTAGGGTTCAGGATCATCCTGGACTTGCTGTAGGAGGATATGTGCTGTGGCGGCAAGTAGAATATTGAGGAGGAGGGCAATGTAACGAAGCATATGCTGGCGAACTGCAGCTTGCGGTAAACGAGTCTGGTTGGGGTGAGTCTGTACTGCTAGTGGTCAAGTCAGCTGGGCTATGAGAGGTCTCTGTTGAATAAGAGGGTTAGTCAATGGCTGCCTGAATACTGGATCCATGGCTAGTATGTTATCGATAACGGTCAATCTTACCGAGGGCTTTCAAACTCAGCTTACATCTCAGTCACACTCGTGCCACTGACAACTTTCAAATTGGTAAAATTTTGTTCAAATGTCGGTTGCTGAACAGGCTCTTAGGCTGTGTACATAGCATCCAACAGTACAGCCAGTCCATTGACCCAGATGCTAATTTTAGCTCATCCGAGCTGAATGTGACACTCAGCACCGAATTACAAAGGCCATCGAGTGTTGGGAGGACTGCGCCAGTCTTTGCATCCCATACATCAACCGTGCAACTACCTGATGTGCTAGTGAGTCTCTTGCATTGGGGGAAAATCACACCGACCATAGTGACAGTGCCTGTTTGCTTCACCAGCAGATCGAATATCATCTGTTGAAACGATGATTGACGAATGGTAGCGTGGATTCAAGCGAACTCGCACAGTCGTGACCAGATGTTGCCAAGGCAAAAATCAAATGGTGCGTCTTCTCTAGCTACCAAATGCTGGAGACATTTGGACACGATGCCATCCTTGTTGATGAAGGCTAAAACCTTCTTATTGCTAGAATAACCAACACAATCATGGTTCTGATTGACAGTTGGGTATGACAAGGTATATGGTCTGGTCATTGGAGTGCCTGGAAGGGCTCGTTGGATGTAAGGATTAAAGTCATATCTCCCGGTTTCAATTCGAGCCTTCCGCTACATACTGTGAGCCCCCTCATAGTCATTTTCCATGTCGTTTCTGATTTTTATAAGAGCATTGGTATGTTTGCAGAGCTCCTTAGCTCCTTGGACCGACTGTGATAATGCATCGAGACTTTTCCTGCAGGCAGTAGAATCACTGACCTACACAAGTGCCCAATGCATGGCCCAACATCCACCATTCGTCAGTTCCTCACTCAAGGCAGAAATATTGTGTGCAGAGCACTGCAATGGAGCGGGCCCTCTCTGATATATTTCATGAAGGTTTGGAGCCAGCACTAGTCACCACCTGTGACTCCCACATAAGTACTGTAATTAGTAGTGATAGACCAGGCCCTCCGCACCTCTAAGTAGTACCGGATATAGTGAACCAGGGCTTGGTTCAATAATTGTTCAATATATATTCCCAGGGACTTGCAGTTTCTTTGCCCAGCAGCGTGTTGTAATGGTAGCTGTGGCTATAATTAGAGATACCGCCGGGTAACAATGTCCGTTCCTGACACCGGCAATGTCCGCCCTTTGTGCTCGCTGTGCACAACAGCGAGCACATCGTTCTCACTCATACCTGGGTCAATTTGTGGCGCATTTTTTTGCATTACGGAGGGCGTAGCAGGTACATAAAGAGCAGGTGGTACATAAAGAGCAGGTGGTACACGGTAAGCTTAAACTATGTATTGAAGTAGTAATGAATAAGTCCTTCCCACCCACTCCAACCAACTCATGAGTCCATGGCGATATGCAGAACATTCTGTAGGGCTTCGGCAGCCTCCTTCATATTCATTAGTTCCTCTTCATCATCATCAAGATCATCCGCAGACTCTGTAGCAAGCGGCTTCAAGCTGGAGGAGGAAATGAGGGTGTTGGGTGTCAGGAATGTCAGCCTTGCAGGAATGCTGGCGTGCGGTAGGCTTGTACTCTCTCTGGTGCCTCTAAGGACACACTCTCCAGGGACAATGGTGCCAGAGAACCCAGGAAGTCTGGCAATGTCTTGCAAGCGTTTGATGTGATGAAAGTTGAACCTGCCTCAGGCTTGCCGCCACAAACTGATCTGATGTGCAAGAGCTGGACTAAAGGCCTCCGCTGGTTGCTGACACTCGCAAAGGTAGCAATCCTCATCATGTATATATGAGGCAAGGCGGCGCACCTCAACATTGAGTTGGGTGATCTCTTCTTTTGCACGACAGTGTTTGAAATATAAGTCAGTGGCTTGGCGAGCTGCTGGTGTTGCCCATTGCTGTTGTGAGACGTCGGAATGTGAGTCACGAAGGAGGTCGAAGTCTGCAAGAAATGCATACTCCACCACCTCCTCCCATTTCAACGTCCAGTGTGGAGGGGACAATGCATGCACTGCAGCATTATAGCAGTCAAGAGCATTCCTGATTGCCGTAGAACGAGTTTGCAATGCCTTGGCGATGTGTTTGCGCATCTTATAGCCTATAAAATTTTGATTAGCAGTGGCAGTAGTGTGAAGGAAAGACTCACCCATGCCAGACCTATTCATTTTGGTGAGCTTGAAAATCCATGCCACAATGAGGCCTTCCAACTGGTCAAGCGAGCGCTGGTATTTTCAGTTGGCAATGAGATGTCCTGCGTTTTGCCAGTCGGCATCTTCGGGTGTCCAGTGATGCAAGATCCCGAGTTTTCATTCAAGCTCTTGCACGACTCCCAAGTCCTTCTCAAAGTTCTCCAGGGCATGCCTTCTGGTCATCTCAAGCCGTCTTGTCGCGCTCTCGTCGGATGCCAAGCTATGGGCATTTGAAGGTGTGGACATAGTCCACAGTGAGCTGGCAGTATCCAGTTCATTCCTGTAAAATTATGAGTCAGTCAGTGGCTTAGTGCAGAATCCAAGAAGCTTACTTGCTGGCGCTCAGATTGACCAACTTCTGCCAATACTCCATCTGCAATGTCTCGAGCTCAGGCTCGGTGCAAAGACCCTGGAGGTAAACTTTCTCCTCTTTCAACCACTCATCGAAAGTAGATTCCTCGGTAATGTTGATATCTTGCATGAGCTTCAGTAGCGTTATTTGGCTGTCGCAAATGATATCAAGGGCTTGCTTGTAGTTATGGTACAGAAAATTTGCTGTGAGACTAGTTAGAACACACTTTGGTACAATTGAGAGCGAAATACGTACATAAATTCACGTACATCTCATAGTTATCATTGTGTTCGAAATAATTTGTAATACCTTGCTGATGGTGGAAGATGCTGGCATAGCGCATTGTCGACGCTAATGCATTTGACTTCGAAAAGGTATGTTCGCATGTCTCCAAGTCTTCGAGCCCTAGACCAGAAACATATGTTGCGAGGTGGTCGAGCTGACAAAGCCGTTTGTGAGTGTGCCCGTGAAAAGCACCGACCAGCGATGTGTAGTTGAGGGATCGTGCACGGGTACCCAATGAACTGTTGTTGAGCATTGTCTTGAATTGACATCCAATGTCATATCCACCACCGAGGTCGCTACAAAATGTGTTCAGAAGCTTCGAAACCACAGCAAGTGGATATTTTGCCCTGACATAAGAGATGATTGAAGCCGTTAGTTAATTATTGAACATCGGAGAAGATGCAACTCACAATTCCCTGCTCTGTACCATATTAGCCATCACCAGACTAAAGCCATGGCGGCAGATGGCAATAAATATACCTGTTTCATCATACACTCCCCACATCTGTTTAGTCTTTTCATCATCCATGTTTTTCCATCACCCTGCACACGGATTCTCCTGATGTTACAACATAAGCATTGAATGAAAAAAGTACTCCACATGGCACACACTGTGTCATCGGTGCCTATAGTAGTGTTTGCCTCTTCTTGACGACCATTTCCCCAACTGTTGACATAGTTGTGAGGGAGATATCAGTCACCTCGGACTTGTTGCATTGTGGGGAGTTCAGATGACTGAGTGTCCTCGTCATCTACACAAAGTGTTCGCCAAAGAATGCGCTTCAATGAGTTGTTGCCATCCATGGCGTACAGGAGCTTGAATGTGAGTTGTTCTTCGTCCGCCAATGTATAAGTGCATGATGGACATGCATGCTTGAGGTGCCAATTGGGCGTGTTGCGATTAAGGACTTCAGCCACGAGTGCATCAACACTTGAGTGGACCTGTAGATATAGATCAAACGCTATGGTCAGTTGACATGAGAGGTAGCGATGATATTCAACCTTAAGTCTTGTCAATAATTAGTGAGACAGAGGGCCGAAAACGTACCGCATGCAAATCACACAGAGTCTTGGCAAATGCTTGCATTGAGAAATGCAGGTCACATAGATGTGCGATTTGGTAGAACTCAAGGGCATCCACTGTCACAGCAACAGATGGAGAGATTGGAGAACAAGGGATTACACCCTGATGAACGAGGGCAGAAGCGATAAAGGAGTCGTTGGCCTTGAGGGTGAGAGTTACCTTCTCAGTGCCTATCACAATGCTGTGAGGTGCTCACAGCTGACAAAACAAATGAGCGACTCACAAAATAAATCAATGATAGTCGCAGTCCATGATCCTGAGTCTGCTCCTACCTCAGTGAGAGCATCCTTTGCCATTTGATGGAAAAAGCCAGGTCTTGTCCCACTTCGAACACGCTGCAAACTCCATTCAAGGTAAGCTTCCGTAATCGCCGGAAGCTGGGCATCAAATGCATCTACACAGCGTTGGACTCGATCACGGTGTGTGCGATGATCATTTCATCATGGACCATGGCCCTTGAGTGTGGTCCTGCATGGTTGCAGCCAAGGTAAGTTCAAGAAGGAACATAGAATAATGGACTCACCCTTTCCAGAAGTCGCCCATTATCTCCTGAGCAAGGTCTTCCAACTCTCTCCCGCTCTGACTGATTTCGAGTTGCTGATCTCCTCGCAAGATCTCGTTGAAATCGGATGAAAAGTCCATACTCGTGTCATCGTCAGCACCATCATGACGCTCAACCAAGGCTTGTAATGCCTGGCATTGTTCTAAAGTCATTGCTAGTAAAAGGTTGTAAGTTTTTCAAGAATTCCAAGAATTCAAATTGCTCACCTTCCAGACATTCGATCTTGCGAGCCTGCACACGAGCAGCACATTGCGAGAGGGCTTTAGGACATGCAAGAGTGTTAGTTGCCAACCAATGACCATTCCGATCGTGTGTTAAACCCAGCTGCTGGACCTTTTGGCTGGATAGTCCAGTCCGATTGTGCAGTCTTGAAGATCTTGGGGCCATCAATGTCTTTGGTCTTGACCAATCAACAATGTTTGCGTAGACAATGTCACGGTAAGTCTTTACTCACGTGACATATGATAGAACACTTGTTACACATTTGCCAGTGACTTCCTCACTCAAAGACATGAGGTCCCGCCATTCAACAATGACCTCTACTAAGTCTTCCCACTCCACAGCAAGCAATAATACCAGTGGTGGTGGACTTGAAGATTTTCTGAGCACAATGAAGATTTCAGGTTCATTTTATTTGCTCACTTTACAGTATCCGAGTCTTGCTGTATCTCTCACCCATTGTCAGATATAAGCTTTGACTCCATGACGTACTCAAAGAAGACAGTCGAGGAATCAGTCACTTTCAAAATTGGGGATCCACACCGCACACCACGATTGCCTTCTCATTCACGCCATGCACCACAATCGCCTTCTCATTCACGCCATGCACCACAATCGCCTTCTCATTCACGCCATGCACCACGATCACCCTCTCCAACACACTCCATGCTGTCATGTACTTGTTCGGATGTACCAGAGCCAAAGCATCATGATCGCCGATCAGCTGCAGAGTCGGATACTGCACAATTCAGTACCACTCAACAAGCGACTGTAGCCTCGTGCACACCCCATCCTGATGAGCTGTATCTGCCTGCTGGCACTCAAGTTCAAGGATACTATGTGGTAACTGTTGGTCAGGAAGTCGGTATTTTTTTCGCTGGTATGTTTTGATCACATTTTAATGCTGTTGCTCACAATTGATTTGTTAGGCTTGATGCCAAAGTACGCATTGATGGAATCAGTGGCGCATCTCACACCAGATATGATCATTGGGCTGACATGTTGGAGTTGTACATGAGCCACTACAATACGGGACTGCTCCATGCAGTTCCCACTGTTGGAGGATCGTTCTGGCCAGTTGGAATCATACACCCTACTCCACCTCCTAGTCCGACCACTACAACCTCATCTACCAACTCCGAGGATCTTTGGTCTTATCTTGAAGACTTATCTGAGCACATGAGTCAGGTTTAACTGAGTACATACATTTATGTTGCACATTAGAGGATGTTTGGGACTCCTGGTGTGCATCGAATTTGAGTGCAGAGGAAACATAGTACTTACAGCTTAGAATGATATACTACAAGTGTACCCACATTTTGAAGAATAGAAATTTAAGTACGCCATTGATATTCACGATAATGCTGTTGTGGCAATGGAATGGTGAGAGGCAGGAGATAACACAAGGCCATGTCGTGTGGTGCGGCGGCACACGCAGACAACCTTGAATGAGATGTTGTTAACTTATGCAAACTGAGCTGTCCAACAAGAACTCTCAATATGCTGTTCACACAACAAATGCTAACCTTTCGAACATCAATGAAATCCAAGAGACAGGTCATTGTTATAACTTCCAAGCATTTTTGGACCATAAATCACTCTGATAATTGAAACCGAGGGCAAGACATTTTAATAGCGAACATGTTCGCTATGTTGTTCGCTATGTTTGCTATTGATTTTCAGTCAACCTCGCAGTATGTCACATTGATTGGGATGAAAGATGTGCAAAAGATCGGAAAATCACATTATATTACGCTTGTTCATAGTATCGTGTAGACGATGTTCTAGATAATGGTACAGCTGGGGCATACTCGTCAAGTTTTACCTCAAAAAACCTCACTTCCGACAACACCACTGACAAAAGATCATGCAATTGAATGCACTTGTCCCTTGCCAGTCTCCCGTTACATGGGCTATAAGCGATGCGCTTGAATTCATTGAGAAGTTGTTGACCATCAGTAGTGTGTGCCTCGCACTGGCTAAAAAAGTCGTTCACTGATCCACTCCCCCGATCTTGCGCAGACCGCAGTTTCTCATTGAACGTCTTTTCCCAAAGATTGTTGGGTCCCCAACAATATTGCCACTGACCAATCAACAGGCGCATTTCGGCCATACTTTTGGCCTTGAGATCTGGCAGACACAGAATGGTTTGAGCTGACAGGGACTCTTGATAAAAAATCAGAGATGCCATTCAAGAGAATACTAAATGCTTACCATAGGCTGACTCGCACTCGATCGTGACTCCTTTTTCCTGCAAAACATAAGTGCACTGTGCTGTCACTGATCATTCTCATCAGAACGTACACTGCACGGAGCCTATGAGTGAATATGAGATGTCAGCTATGAGTTGAATATGAGAAACGAACTTACCTTGCCATACGAGCACGAGCTTTCTCATTTTGAGTTTCATGAACCCTGTAAGAAGCAAAAAGTCAGCCAGATCACCTTCGCTGGAATACAAATTTGTCACTCACATAGGTTTAGACATCCAGCACTGAGTTGCAGCATGCTGGCGTTGTCCTCGGTGCATCTAGTCTTAACATCAATCAGTATATGACGGTTCTCTTCAAATGAGATTGATGCTTACTATGCTTGCGACTCTGTGAGTGTCGATTCTGATGAGTTATATGCCGAAGACGGATGTCGCCAGCCATTGAAGTGTTGAATGCTGATGCTGACAAAGCAGGACACAGCAAATTCCTGTATTGTTGTAATGTGTCATGGAAGCAAAGTTGTCTAGGCCCCACATGCTACAACACCGATACCTATTTTCATCTGGTAGGTTGAACTCATCAGCATCTGTAGGTCTAAAGGCCACACACCAGTTCTACTAGAGATGCAACATATGATTGGTGAGGTGTAAGTGCACACTGATAACAATTAAGTACTTGCACAGTGTCCCCAAACTGCCAACTGCCTCGGACATGACTTGGACACGTGTTTTCGTGATAACAAGTCCACAAGGTGTGAGTAGGGTGATTTTTGTTTACAAACTACAACATCTCACAAGTCACAATTTAGGTTTTACAATTTACGATGCATCTAGTGCAGATAGGCTGTGGAGAGCCATCACAACAAGGTAAGTTATTGTTGTATTTTTCTTCACAACTTAACTCGAACACTTAGGTATCGGTCAAATGCTTCTGGTGCTGCCATGGTCAAACGTGAGACATGGGGACTTCAGGTCACGATGCATCTGATTGAAATGGGCTGTGGAGAGCCAGCGCAGCAATGTAAGTGTGATTGTCATATCACGATCATTCCGCTTATATACTTAACTCATGCGTGTTAATTCAGTCTTGTGCAAGACACCATGGAAGATATCAGCTATTGGACAAATGCTTCTGGTGAGTGCCATAGTCAAATGTGAAACAGGGGGACTTCATACCAGTACAATGGCACATGATCTGGCAGGTATTTGATGCACGGTATGTACAATTGATGTACAATATTCATTTATTGCGAAAATCACCTGTGACTGTGTATCCAGATCTCCTGAACAACGCGATGTGACAGACGCGACATTCGAAAAATGCAGTGTGACAGACACGACAAATCCAGTTGATCCGACGTGCTATGAACATTTGGTTTACTTACCACCACACTCAAGACCCAACATGGATACTACCCTCTGTCCATACGGCTCCAATCAATTGAAAGCATCTACAGGTGATTTGCATTGCACACAAGCTCACACCATTCACTGGAATTGATTTTTTTTCAGCGACTCATCAGACTTCCACCTGGCCATCTTCAGCCACAAATGAGCCTCAGGCTTCACTTCTCCCACCTGCTCAGACAGTGGATGCGCAATCTTTCCCTCCTGGACCAGGAACTGAAGATATCTATTCATGGGAGGCAAATATCGATAATCACAGCAACTCTGCTCCGTTCTTCCCCCTCGACCCCAGTTTCTTGTCCATGGATTGGAGCAACCCTTCTCTATTCATGTTCCCACCTACAAGTGACACTCCCTCCTTTCCAGTGCCCTCGCTTCCAGCGTTCACATTCCCACCTACAAGTGACACTCCCTCCCTTCCAGCGCACGATTCCATCAATTCAGCATGGAGTGACCCTTCTCCATTCACGTTTGCACCTGCAGATGGCCCTCCCTCCCTTCCAGCACATGATTCAGCAGCTCTACCTTCAGATCGTGATACCTCCCACTTGCAAGTCACCTCTCCTGACGATGCCCAGGAAGGCATTCAAAACATGGACCTGCAGCTCCATAAGCAAGGCAACAACTCGACTTGGGCTGCGCGCAACCCCGGTCGTCCAGTTATCCCTACCCGTCTCAAGGGTGCACCTTTGACACAGGCAGAAAAAGCCTCTCGTGCCCTCAAGGCAGCCCAACGGAAAAAAAGTGAGAAGGCACTTGATGACACCATCAGCAGTTTCCTTGACGACCAGGACAAAAAAATGAAGGATATTGGCGCATTGCACAGCGTTACTGAAGCCCACGTCAAGAAACTGATCACCTACCACACACACTACAAGAACTCCCGCGGACCTCAACTCTTCAATGCACTGGTTCATGCTAAGAACCAGGAGGTCAATGGAGGTTTGTTTTGCGTGTCGGAACTATTAACTCTCACTGACAGTCATTCAGCTCGTCCAGTCAGAAGCAAGTTGAAGATACAGGAGATTCGCCAGATGGTGACATCCGATCCATCCATGCAGAAGGAGAATTTGACCGATGGAGAGATCAAAGAATATATAGCTCAGCTCCAGGAGCATCAGTCGCTCAAAACTGGTGGTTTGCGCAGCAATAACATAGCTGCAGCACAAGATGTTAACGCTACTACTGACAGAATTCGACGAGAGGTACATTTTGACTTTGATGTCAATTTTTTGCTAATTGTTGCTTAGCTTGATGGGTTACGCAAGCAATGTGGCACCTACGCCACATTCTTTATTGCAGGAGGGCACGTAAACGATCAGACACCAGCAACATGGTATGCGACAGATGATGCCGCAGACTTTTGGGAAGATGTCTTGGACCTCATGTTGAATGATGTTGCGCGCAAGTTTGACCAATTGGTGTGTAGCCAGGGCAAAAGTACGTTCGGACCGCTCATCTCAAACTGTATATCATTGTTGATTCACCTTCACAGATATTGTAGAGCGTGACAGCCTCGAAAACATGCAGAAGCAAGTTGGACGACTCATCCTCAGCGGTCTACGTATGTTACATATGTTTTTTTTATATTGCATGCTTCAACTCACATACCATGGCAGGCCAAATGACGGGCAAGGACAACATCGGCATGAATTACCCAAACTACATCAAATCAATTGTCCTATCCTACAGTATAGTCCTTGATGGCTGGCCTGCAACTATTCCTTTCACGTCGCCCTGGAATATCCATACTGTCTGTGAAATACAGGAGTTGCGTGATGCTCTTAAGGCCGGGACTTGCGCTTGGAAGAGATTGACAAAGACCGAGCTCGAAAAGTATAAGGAGGATCTTGAGCGACGTCGGGCAGCAGGAGAAACGGTTGGCAAACCTCGCAAGAAGCGCTCCAACTCGGGGACGTCTCGCAAATGCAAGAACATGCAGCGAGAGGACACTGAAGGTGAGTGTTCTGCAAAGAAGTCGAGGAGGTCCAACAAGACAGGAAAAGTGTCACGTCTGGAACCAAAGAGTCGCGAGATTATCGAGAGCAGCGACAAAGAGGCTTCCATCAATGGAGAAGACCTGGATTAGTAGTTAGCTCCTCTCACCCCACCTGATGCTTCCCTATAGTACTACATTTTGCTTCACATCACTTGTAGGTACCTCAATTAGTATGTTTTGTAGCCCTTTGTTCTCGCAAGCTCGTATCCCTGCAATGACATTAACTTACTCTATCTACTATACCCTCCATAGTACAAAAAACGCGCCGCAAATTGACCAGGTATGAGTGAGAATGACATGCTCGCTGTTGCGCACAGCGAGCATGAAGGGCGGACATTGCCGGCGTCAGGAATGGATGTTGTTACCCGGTGGTATCTCTAATTATAGCCATGGCTACCATTACCACACGCTGCTGGGCAAAGAAACTGCAAGTCCCTGGGAATATATATTGAACAATTATTGAACCAAGCCCTGGTTCACTATATCTGGTACTACTTAGAGGTGCAGAGGGCCTGGTCTATCACTACTAATTACAGTACTTATGTGGGAGTCACAGGTGCTAGTCACACTGTCTCATAAGGATGCTGCACCCATTCCAGCCTCTTTTATCTGGAACTATCAAGACATTGTAACCACCTTATTCATGATTCGATTACAGATGCACAGTTCTACTGGAAGTTGACTGACCATTTTTTCCAGAGTGGTCAGAGTGGATCTGGCGCGATCTCTGTTCCTTGTTTTGGTCACCGGTGAGATTATCCAATTCTTTTTGTAGCCAAACTTGCGCCCTCCGATTGTCGCAGTGCACTGAAATATTAGTGTTCCAGCGCTCAAGTCTCTGACCACTGGAGGCATGTCAAGACTAGCTGGAGCTAGCTTGCGTGTTGACGCGTCAGGTCGCAGTGAGTACGGGAAGTCGCCATAGGAGGCATCCCTTCAATCCCATCATCATGGAGGTGGGCATTCTGCAATTCATCGACTGCGCAAGAGCTCCACAGCTTCCACATAATGTTTTCATCCAAGGACGATAAAAAGGATCACAATTCATTTACTACGACACTCACACTATGCACACTAAGCTTTACATATGGAAAACGTGAGGTTCATAAGTAGTAATACGAAGGACGTATTCATTACGTATCAATGACATATTGTTTCAAGTTCACGGTGGTATCACAATAAAAGTGATAGTAAAACTGAAATACCCCAGGGGACATCCACGAAATGGCTCTAGAAGCAGAAACAATACCAGCCGCCCATGTTCCCTGGGATCAGGCTGCACTGCTGCGGGTTGCTGTTGTAAATTGGGGTCTGGTAGAGGATTGAAACAATCACCAGGTACCAAGTCATCGTCGTCGACCTGGCTAGGAGCACCCACTGCAGCATTGCGCTGTAATTTATGTATGAGACATTCAAGATGTGGTGATAAACAGCGAGGGGGCGCACCTCTTGACCCTGCACTAAATGAACTTCAACATGTGGCGCTGCTTGATCGGGCCACCAGGTTAATAGATATCTTAGATAGGTTCAGAAGGTGGTAGGAGCAGTGCTGGGATTGGTGGCAGATGATAGGGTGGTGGTTGACATTCTCGAATTCGTCGATCACATAGTTCAATTAATCAAGAGATCTAACACTCCCACAGAATGTTTTTGTCCAAGAACATTAAAAGGTATCACAATTCATTGGCTATCCTGAGTGCACGCTAAGCTTTACATATGGAAAATGGGGGGTTCATAATTAATAATGTAAAGGACGTAGTCACATCACATATTGATAGAATATTGTATCAAGTCCATGCTGGTATCACAATAGAAGCGATAGTAGAACTGAAATACCTGGCAAACATCCCCTCTAGCAGCAGAAACACAACCAGCCGCCTCCATGGTCTCCGGTGTTGATCTGCACTGCTGCGGCTTGCTGTTGTGAATTGGTGTCTGGTAGAGAATCGTCATCACGTTCCAGGTCATCGTCGAGGAGGTGGCTAGGAGCACCTGCTGCAGCATTGCACTGTAAATTTATGCATGAGACATTAAGAACGCAGTGATGAACATCGAGGGAGAGCACCTCTTGACCCTGCGCATAGGGAACGTCGATGACGTGTGGTGCTGCATGATTGGTGCGCCAGGTTAATAAATCTCTTAGATGGGATCTGAAGGTGGTGGCAGTGGTGGCAGAGGCTTGTGTAGTGGGCGGCACCAGCATAGGAGCTGGATGAAGGGTCCTTTTCACAGCAACCCTGAGTCTCTTGAGGAGTCCTTGGCGCTCCTGAGGTCGTGATCGTGAAGTTAGAGAATACTGTAATGAATAATACATGAGTGAGAAAAAATGTATGCATTATTGCACGCACATCATGCATTCCCCAGAAGAAATCAGGTTCTGTGTTGTAGCCCTCTTGATCTTGCCCAGGGATCTCCATCTGGATGACCGTCAGTAACAAAAGGGATGAGGAAAGGAGTAAGTACGTGAAGAATATCATTGGTCGCAGTGAGTGTGCTGCATTCTTCTTTGAAACCTGAGTGAAATATAGGTGAGGGTTATGGTATGGGGTAAAAAAAGACCTACTATTGGATCAATCAAGGTAACTGGCCTTCGTAGTTTCATCAATGGTGTCCATCATGGATTGGTGCGCTTCGAGAGCTTCTTCAACTTTACCTGCTGAAAGCAAAGCCTGGCAGAGTTTCTGGCTTGCAGTCAGCCACATGGACTCAAGGTCCCATCCAAAGAGTAGCACAAAACACGGAGTTCGTGTGAGAAGCATGCTCGGATGAATCACATTGACATACCACCACCAAGTCGCCATATATAGTTGGGATGGTTGAGAAAGCACTGGAGTTGACAGCAGCAGCGAAGTGGCCAGCAGCTTCTTCGTGACGGGTGCCATCTGAGGCGTTGATTCCAAGTTGAATAGATAGATATGCCTGATATGCGAAGTTCAAAGAGATCAGTGTCAATGCACCAACCTGGGGTGTACATGATACTCACTTCTATGATACGACATGCAAGGGTATCATTGTTTGGACAAGTGGAAGCTAGCTCTCGAATGCGGAGAATCGCTTCGTCATGTTCTCCTGTATTGAACATAGCGATGGCCTGAAAACTGAAATGAAGTGGGGAGTATATAAGAAACATGTAACGTGCCTTAATCAAGAGAATGAAATGAATGATCTTTGAATCTTCGTTCACGAACATGAACGCCATGTTGAATGCTTGCATCAAGTCACAGAGCTGCCCATTTTCAGAGAGTCCAATACCTTTAGAGATATAGCCCATCAAGGAAGGCTTAATGCTGATGGATTATGTCACAATGACAGTTAGTGTTTCATAGGGAGCTCGTAATGGGTGGTCTATGTCACATTGATTGCATCCTGAAGCACGTTGTCACATTGATGTTGTCGTGTCATAACAATTGAGTGAAGTGCATAGGCCTGGTAGTTGTTGGCACCGGTGTCAATCTCTTGCGTGAGTAGCATTTCAGCAGTAGACAAGTCCCCGGCAATGCATGCATCGCGGAGTGACGATGACATATTGATAGGGAGGATCTGTATGAAGCACATTTGAATTGCAACATCACAGTCAAAAACAGAAACATGCCTTTAAATGACTGTTCTTGGGTATTTCCCATTCTGAGATCATGTTATCATCACCTCCACTGAGGATGTGCTTGCCGTTCGTTGAGAAAGTGATGCAGTTCGGCAAGTTTGAGTGCTGGAAGATGGCGAGAGTTCGTCGATCTGAGAGCTGCCAGAGACGGACATGGTTATCATAAGATGCGGAAGTGACAAGTGTACCAGCATGGTTGATGGCAATGGCAGTGATGTTGTTAGTATGGCCTATCCAGGCATCACCAACCTCCTTCCAGGTTGATGTATCCCACTCCCATATGGTGGCACTGTCCTCTGAGAGAAGGTGTGTGCCATCATGCGTCCACCTGGGTGAGTTGTGCCAATAATAACTTGCATGAGCCTTGAGTTCGAAATTCGCGACACATTCCCTTGTGCCTGGATTATAAATTTCGATGTTGCTGGGTGTTGCAATGGCAAGAAGTTCACCATCCGGTGAATACCGCAAGTAGACAACATCATCACTACAAATGATTGGATCTCCTTGGATCTTCCATGTTTTTGTACTCCACAGTTTCACCATTTTGTCTCCACAAGTGGCAAGTACTGTTCCATCAGGAGAAAAGTCCAATGACCAGATCCGAGAGTGGGCTTTGATGGGCTGGGTGAGAGGTTCCCCAGTTTCTCCATGCCAGATGATGAACTTTCCGTTCCAATCACCGCTTGCTACCAGTTGCCCATCTCGTGATACTGCCAATGCCATCACATAGCCGCCATGCCCCTCCATCTTCTTCAACACAATGCCTGTCTCCAAGTCCCACAGATGAACTGTCCTGTCTTGCAAGCTGGTAACCATTTGTCGTCTATCAGGGAACACTGTGACTGCAATTACGGTGCTCTCATGATCTTTAAACTCCTGAAGAGGTGTGTCGCTTGTAATAGGCTGCTCCATTTTACTAGAGGTCACGGTCGGGGTGGTTTTGGGTTGAGGGATTGTGGGCTAAGCTGCAGAGGTACGTGTATTGTGCATTTTACGCTGTTCGCTCCATTAACCTTCCTCATGTTTCCATAGACACCCAGGACATGAGGCTGTCCGCATCCACACCCCCATTGGGCTCTGTTATCCCTTCCTCGACAGTATAACCCTCTCTGCGCATCTGCGCATGGCTCCAACTTGTGTCTCCACAACTTTCAACATGCATCATCTCACCTTCACTCGGAATTGGGATACAGACCAACTTTGAACTGATACCCCTCAAGTCTTTCTGGTAGGGCTGGTCAAATGTCATGATTACTATCTATCCTACAGGGCTACATGAATGGTGTTGTGTTTCTACACGCCAAGCTGATGCCCCAGCACATCATCATGAAACATGTAGGAAGGGTCACATTCTCGGATGCAAGTAGCTCACAGTACGAACATTTCATCCCTTCGATTCCTAGTACATTGAATGCACTTTGCGGTCATAAGGCCTCGCTTCTCGTGTCCCAAATGACTACTAGTTCTGCACGGCGCCCTTTCCACCTTCCAAGGTGTACTTTATCCTTCACTTTGTGGTGTTATGTTTCGATGGCATCACTACCTTTTTTCCAGCACTCTGCTCGTCGTTCAATTCACTCATCAGCTCCACAACTCCCGGAATGGGTTTCAGTCTTCACCTGCTATCCCTTCCCAAATCATTGACATCCTGGATCATACAAGTAGAGGTTCAATTCGGACATCACATTCTAATTACTCACCTTCAAGTTGGCGAGCTCTCTCTGCAGCCAAAGATATGCAAGCTATTGTCACTGCGGACGTTCGGGAATGCTATCTACGATGAAATAAATGGACCCAATCCTTGGAACGCCAGGGGAACATGAGTGAGTATCACAATATTTTACATATTGCTTTGATCTCCATTACCATGTACCAGGTGCTGCGTGATCGATCTTGCGAAGTAACTTGCAGTCAATGATAGATGATTCTTCCTGAACACCGTACTATCCCCATCGCGAATGACAATCAATTCATACCTATGAGAATGAAACAATCAATGGAATTCTTACATTGTGATTGCAGAATGACAGGGTCATGTCAGAGCATCTCATCTCATCTTGACGTCCACGGTCAAGTGAGTAGGTTATTATACTCGTGGTCACTTGGATATTATGGGGAAGGTGGTGGCGAATGATATGGTGCTGTTCATGATCCTGATGAATCACTTGCTCATTACCATGTTGGAGATGGTGTTCTGGTTGAACAGCACTGAGGTACACCTACTTGCAGCCCTGGGTGTTTCAGCGGTTGGGTATATGAGTGCTTCAATATTGAGGCCTAGTGAGGGGATCCGAGGTGTTGGATCTCATGTGATCCTTGAAGTTTGCAACACATTTCCAAGTACCTTCATAAATTTGGATATCCCAGTTTGGCAAGATGTTTGCCAGACGGTGAATACCAAACGCAGAGGACTGAATCAATGCGTTTGATTGAATCTCCTTGGATCTTCCATATTTTTGTGCTCCACAGCTTTAACTCATTATTATTGTCCATTCCACCACTGACCAATACTGTTCCATCGGGAGAAAAATACAACACATAAGTTGTATGGGTGTGTGCTGTGATGGGTTGGGTGAGAGGTTTCCCAGTTTCTCTGTCCCAGGTGATGATCACTCCTGTAAGGATTGCATATCCTCTACACACCGATCACGCTTCAAAGCAAAGACGACATGACTCTGTTACTCTTCGCATCCGAGTCACGCGGATATATCTCTTTTCATCTTACCATTCAGTACCTTACCTCGCGCTCACATTACACCATCTTGGTTCCTTCATCAAGTATTTTCACTTCGCCATCAAGTATTTTCATGCTCGATCCAGCTTAAACAAGTATTCAAAAACATATATATACTACCAATGTACACTCATACCTACAGCGAATCCTATATTCACATCCCCGCTCCAAGAACGATTGAGAAGCCTCACAGAAAGTCCCCACCTTATACTTTTACCGACTCGTCTAGATCACTGTCGCGCTTGTCATTTACTCACTTCGTTTCGCTCCAATTCCCCTTCAAACTCACAACAAGCCTTACAAATTTGGAGCCCACCACGAGGGGAATTGTTTTCGAGCAACCCCTTGCACCCCGAGATGGATTCGCTGATCTACTAATGATCTTCTAGTCTTTCTCTTAGTACCTGGTCGCTTGACCACTTATCTTCACCATCTCAAACCACACCCATCCCGACGCGCAGAAATCCTTTGAACAGCAAGAAACACCATTGCGCTTGCCCCGTCGAAATTTGCCTACTGCTGAAGAAGCATGAAAGAAGACACATCAACTGCTATTAAGAACGAAGCCGCCCCTGCAACAGATATCTACAATGCCTATGCCCCTGTATCATTCCTAAAACTGTTCGCTTTCACCCTAATCAATCCCAAACCTCCAACAGAACCACAAATCCTTCCACTCTTCCTACCATTCAAATCGCTCCCTCGAATTCTTCAGTCACAGCACCTGCCTCGCAAGCCCCAATTCCATCTTCTGCACCATCTCAGCCTCTTCCTCCGCCCATCACACATTACACTCAAATCCTACTTTGTCAACAGTTGTGTCACTCATGTCGAATGCAAATGAGGGAATATTGGCAATGCCCGGCCCTGTTACACCGAAGTATAACACAGGCAAACAATAGTCAATAAGACCAAAGGTCTATCAATATGTTCAAGACAACAGTCTTAAGAACGTCCAAAGTCAAATCAAGGCTAAGTACCGAAGAGGTAACTTAGAATCAAGTCAGATGTTTCAGAGGAAAACCAGCGTAGGTTAAGCTGAAGAATCAGCGTCACCTAGCCAGGGTTTATATAGGATACTGGGTACAGGGTGTGACGTAATAATAGGTATGTATCAGTAAGCACATGCGTAAGCAATGAGGCGTCTGAGTAATACCGAACTAAATATAGCATGATAAGAGACATGCGTAGTAAGTGTGGATCAAGGGAAAAAGAAGCAAGATAGCACAGCCGTAACATCACCCCCTTCTTACGTGGAAAATCCCAGATTTTCATTCAAGACCACGACGCCGATCATCCTCAGTTCCTCCTAGTCCATCTAGGGCTTCAAAGAAACCTCTTTCCTCCATAAGAATCAACGTCAATTGTTGAAGCTTCTCTTTGATGTCTCGGATGCTATAATCAAGAGAGAAGAGTTCATCTTCTCTGTACTCGGCATTATGCCTTTCCAAGGTATTCTCGAGACGATCTCCAAGTTGGTAGAGGTCGTAGAGGGCATTAAGAGCGGGTTCCGTGTCAATAGTGTCTTTGATGGGGTTTTTGAAGAGTTTGGATGACAGCATGATCCTACGACAAAGTCTACGATCTTCAAGATCGGACAAGTAGGGGTCAGTTGCTACTCTCCAGGGAGCTGCTCGTCTACGAGCTGCAATGCGCTCACGGTTACGGATAGTGATGGGACTAGCAGGGGTATCGATAAATGTGGGGATAACTGGTTCGTTAAATATTTGATACGGGGACGATTGTCCCGACGGCGGCATGGGAGAAGTCGGACGAGGGGGTTCAGGAGAGTTCCTCTGACTGATAGTCATATAGTGAGGTCGAGGGGAGAAGACGGGGAATCTGAGGTTAGGAATGGGGACATTCGGGGCACTGTTGTGCGTGATGACAAGATTTATGTCTTTGTCACTGGAAGAGATATAGTTGCGTCCACCGGTAGAGGGCATGGTCTGAATGGTTGAGTGATGATGGTTCGAGTTGAGAGGGGAATAAGTCGATGTGCCTGCTTATATCTGTTCAAGATTTCAGCGGAGTTGGTTAAATCAGACTCCGACAACCATTCATTATTGGCCAATGGGTAACCCTTCCATTTGACAAGGAAGCGTCGTCGTGAGAGAGTTCCTTTATGTCCGAGGATGGCTTCTACCTCGTGTTCTTCTTCTCTGTCAATTAGGTCAGGAGGTGGCGACGGGAAATTAGGACTGTGTTCTTCGTTCTCACGATAAGGGGTAAGAAGTGCTGCGTGGAATACCGGATGAACACGCCATTGGCTCGGGAGTTTTAGATGGTATGTGACTGGTCCGAGGACTTCTGAGATAAGGAAGGGTCCTTCTCTCTTGGGTGCTAATTTCCTGTTGGGGTAATTGAGATGAAGGTTCTTTGCTTCTAGCCAAACCTTGTCACCTTTCTTAAAGGGTGTGAATGATTGGGTGATTCTTTGTCTCATGGTTTGTCTAGCGAGTTCGTGTGAAGATAAGGCTTTTTCTTGAGCTTTCTGGAGTTCTGATATTCTCGCTTTGACGGCTGGGAGATCCGATTTCTTGGTAGCCAATGGTAATGCTTGAGGGTGATACCCCATCATGAGATAGAAGGGAGAAGCATTTCGTGCGGAATGATGTCGGGAGTTGTGTACAAATTCTGCCATGGGAAGTTTCTCTGACCATGAGGTCTGATCATTCGCACAGAAGATGCGAAGGTACACTTCTAATTCTTGGTTTACTCATTCGGTTTCTCCATCTGTTTGTGGGTGGAAGGCGGTCGAGAGTGCGATTTTGTATCTGAGAAGTCGTCCTAGTTCTTGCGCAAACTTAGCTGCAAACTGAGGTCCTCTGTCAGAGATGATCTTGTCATAGAGTCCGAAGCGTGTATAGACGCGGTTGAAGAATATGTCGGCAACTCCTTCTGCATCAATCGTCTTGTTGCAAGGCGTGAGTACCACCCCCTTCGTAAGCCCATGGTCTACCACAACCATGATAGAGTCGAAACCATTCGATGGAGGAAGGTCTACGATGAGGTCAATGGAGCATTGGGCAAAGGGGTGGGATGAAGTGGGGGCGGGAATAGGACAAAGTGGCGGCGTTGTAGGATGAGTGTTGACCTTATTCTGCTGGCACACAGCACAACCTTCGACATACTTGCGAACAAAGGTGGGAAGGCCTGGCCACCAGTAGTCACGAGAGAGGATTTCTTGAGTTTTAAAATGACCAGGGTGGCCGGCAGTAGGGGAATCATGATGCAAGGAGATCAGTTCTTTCCGTAGAGGACCCGGAGGGACGTAGTTTCGACCTTTGAAGGTAAGGATAGCATCGGAAAAGGTCCAATCAGAGAGTGCCGATTTCATAGGGAGGGGTAGGGAGGGATTAGAAAGGGCATCGATGGTTTGCTGAACTACGGGATCTACCGAGGAAGAAATGCGAAGTTTCTCCTGCATGGAGTTGTCAATGAGGTTAATTAATAGTCCATTGGGGAGGACAGTGACATCGGAATTGTCCTTAGCGTCAATGGGAATATGATCAGGTCTGCAGGATAGGGAATCTGGAACAGAAAGGTCTTTGCCAGGTACATGTTGGAGCTGAAGGTCAAATTGAGAGAGGAACAGGAGCCAATGAGCTTGTCGACGATTAAGTTGTTGGGCTTGGCAGAAGTAAGTCAAATTCTTGTGGTCGGTCATGACAAGAACTGGGAAAGGGGATCCTTCGAGGTAGTGACGCCAAGCCTCCAACGCTCATATGATAGCTAACAGTTCCCGGTCAAAGATTTGATAGTTCCGTTCTGCCGGGGAGAAGGTTTGCGAGAGGTAAGAGCAGGGGTGCCAGTCACCATTAGAGTCTTTTTGAAGAAGAACACCACCGGTAGCATAGAGAGATGCATCAACGGCGATTGCGAACGGTGCGTCTTTGTCAGGGATGGAAAGTATGGGAGCAGAGAGGAATCGGTTCTTCAAGTCGGTAAACGCCTTATCACAAGCTGATGACCAATCAAAGATAGCATCTTTCTTCGTAAGGTCAATGAGTGGTCATGTGATAGTTGAATAGTCGGCAATGAATCGGCGATAAAAATTGGTGAATCCCAAAAACGATCGAACATGTTTGACTGTCGTGGGTTGTTCCCATTTGACTACTCCGTCTAGTTTGACTTTGTCCATGCAAATTTGTCCAGGACGGATGAGGAGACCAAGGTATTCGACTTCAGTGGTGTCGAAGACACATTTTTCGGGTTTG